CTAAATTTTCCCTTTTTTGGCCTCTAAGTTAGGTCATTGCTAGCTGCAGCTAAGGAAAGAAGGTGAATTGTAACTTACAGAATGTCAGTGAAAGGTAAGTGTCTCTTGTAGCCAGCCATTATATAGAGGGGTTGGTAGGGTAGTGAGGGCACTCAAGAGGGAGAGGCAGGTGGATCTCTGTGAGTTTGAGGCCAGTCTGGTCTACATACTGTGTTCCAGGACAGTCAAGGGTAGTACATAGTGAGACCCTGTCTCAAAAAAAAAAATCCCCCTATAAAAAACAAACCAAGTTGCTTTATTTCTGGAAACCAAATTTCTTTTGTTGGGGAGAATTGTCATTGTTTAGCCAAAATGGAGGTGCTTTACAAAACAGTATTCTAACATAGCCTAACCGTGGTGAGAGCTGGCTGCTGTAGCAAACGGATCCCCAATTACACAATGGCTGGACAGTGGCAGAAGTTGGTTTCTACTCATGGGAAGTCTAAAGTCACCCTTTCTCCAGGAAGCCACTCAGGGCCCAAACCTCCTCCGTGCTGTGGCCACCCTTTTAACATACCTATATGTTAGCTGACGGGAGGGGAGCCAGAAGACCGACGGCTTTGGGGGTGTTTGCAGTTCAGGCCTGGAAGTAGCAAACATCTCCTAAAAGATGAAAATGCTTAAAAACTCTCTGCCTTAGATCAGGTGCCCTTGGGGCCAAGCATCAGGGACCCTCTGTAAGTGCTTATTAAAGGAGAATGCTCAGAGAACTAAAGGTAGAATCCAGCCTCTGCTCGGGCCACAGTCTCAGCAGCAGCCTCCTCTCACAGAAACCCTACTGAGACATTTTTTTGTGAGTCCCTAGTTAGTAGACTATCTGGTGCCAGGATCTCATACCTGGGAAATGAGTTTACATCGAAGCCGTACTTCCTGCTTCCAACCACTTCCCTGGCATCCTGGGAACCAGAGAGCATGCCTGCAGTTCCTGCAGCAAAGCCTTCCCATCTCCAGAAAGTACAAGAACGGATTCCACTTCTACCACACAGGCTCCGATTTCGCTCTTTAGATCCCATGATGCTGTCTGTCACTGGTGCTGGGGCCTGAACTAGCCTTGGAGGCCCTGCCATGCTTTTGCTCTTCTGTCTATCTGTCCATTAATAACTATTCCAATAAACACCTTCCTATCCAGTAATCTTACCTAGTGTTCTCTGACCCCCCCCCCCCATCCAAGGCATGACAGGGCAAACAGAATTGTGTCAGGATAAGGGCTCGGGAGAAGTCTGGCCTCATCTTGAGCCCCAAGGAGTTCTGGGACAGGAACAATGCTAAAAAGGTCCCTCCTCTATCCCATGGTAGAAGTGTCACTTCTCTGTGATATTTTATTTGTGCTTGGATAAATAAAGCTTGCCTGGAGATCAAGGGGAAAAGGCCAGCCATTTTAAGTAAACAAAGTCAGGCAGCATATGCCCTTAATCGGATCACTTAGCAGGCACGTTCTCTGTGTGTTCAAGGCCATACTAGGGAACAGAGCCAAGCGTGGTGACACACACCTTTAATCCCAGTACCAACCATAGAGACCTGGAGGTCTGTACAGACAGGCAGTGACAAGGAAGTGAGGTAGCTGGGCTAAGAGCCAATGAGAGGGCAGAAAAGCAAGGCATATAAAGGCATGGGTAAACAGGAAGTAGCTCACATTTGGAAGCTGCTGAGTTGGTGAGGTAAGGTTGGCTAATGGCTTTTCTTATTTCTCTGATCTCTAAGGCTTTCACCCCTATATTTGGCTCCGTGTTTTTATTTAATAAGACCATTCAGAAATTCATCTACACTTCTCTGACTTCCTCCAGTCTCCAGTGAAGTGCATCTGGGAGCAGTGGGCTGGAGCACAAATCCTAATTGATCTTATTAATAAAAACCCAGAGTCAGATATCAGGGTGAAAGCTGAAAGATCAGAGAAGCAGAGCAGCCACCTCTACGAAATCCTCAGCAGAAAAGGGCTCTCAGCTCCTGTCTCCTCCCACCTTATATTCCTCTCTCCACCCAGCCATATCACTTTCTGTCTCCACCTCCCTAGTGCTGGGATTAAAGATGTGAGATCCCAAGTGCTGGGATCAAAGGTGTGTGCCACCACTGCCTGGCTCTGTTTCTCTTTTAGAGTAGATCAATCTTGTGTAGCCCAGGGTGACCTTGAACTCACAGAGATCCATCTGTTTCTGCCTCCTGAGTTCTGGGATTAAAGATGTGTGCCACCACTGCCTGACTTCTATAGCTAACTAGCGGCTGGCTTTGCCCTCTGATCTTCAGGCAAGCTTTATTTGTTAGGGAAATACACAAAATATCACCACCGTGGGCAGCCCACACTCCCAGCAGACGGCATGGGTAGGGTTAAGGCTGCGTCCTCTGCGGCAGGAGAGAAAGTCAGTCTCCAATAAGATTTTGGAGACAGGGGCTTCAAGGGTGGTGTGGAGGTTTGAATGAGAAATGTCTCTCAAGGACACTTGAGCGCTTGGTCCCCAGCTGGTGGTGCTGTTTGAGGAAGCTTGGGTGGAAAGCGGAGACGGGCTTGAGGAAGTATGTCACTGGGGTTTGAGAGGGGATGCAGTGAAGAAACTGCCAATGTGACTGCTCCGTGATGTGGTTACGGTTTGTACTGTAGATATGAGGGAGAGAACAGTCAGAGGCGCCTGAAGAGTCCAGAGCATAGCGAGAAAGAAGTAGACTGAACACGGCCAGTTGGTTGGACATAGCCAGGGCTAGGGGAGTGGGAGAGTGGGAGAGAATAGTGGAGATAGCAAGAGATAGAGAATAGAGCATAGTGAGGGACAGTAATAGAATAAGAGAAAGTGGATAGCAATACACACACACACACACACACACACACACACACACACACATATACAGAGAGAGAGAGAGAGAGAGAGAGAGAGAGAGAGAGAGAGAGAGAGAGAGAGAGACTAGTGGGTTATAAAGAGAGTGAGTAGCTGTGGGGAAGGAAGGACCAGAAGACTGGCATGGGGGCTTTGAAATGTATAAAAGTGCTTGTGAGTAGGAATTGAGGGAGCCTGGAGGCCATCATGGGCTTTGATATGCAGCCACAGATGTGTAGGTCAATGGAGAGCCATGGATCCCCTCTTCCAGTGATCAGGGAAATGACTCCTTTTAGCATTCAGGTTTCACAAGTTCCTAATGAATGCTGGCTTTTATCCAATCACCAGAAATCCTCCATAGACCAGGTTGAGGTCATATCTGGGTATTGCACAGCCTGAGACTAACAAATGGGAGTGGGCTTTGATGTTTCAAACCCTTATACCATTCCCATTGTGTTTCTATTCCCAGTCTCTTTGTTAGTCTCTGTATCTGTCTTTGTCCCTGTCTCTCTGTCTCTCTCTCTCTCTCTCTGTCTCTGTCTCTCCCCATGACTTCTCTTAGCTTCATGCTTTTGGTTCCAGATGTGAGCTCTCAGCTTGCTCACACTCCCATGCCTGCTGCTTGCTGCCATGCCTCTCCACCATGGCAGACTCTTCTCCCTCTGGAGCTGTAAGCTCAAATAAACTCTTTCTTTTATACATTTCTTTGGTCATAGCCACAGAAAAGTGACTGATACAGGTGAGGAACTAGAATATCTAAGCTCTCTCCACCCCCCTGAGCTGGTCATTTCCCAAGGACACGGGGAGGAGAATGGGGGAAAAACTGAACATCATTTGAGAAAAATGAGTGGCCAGGGAAGGAGTCTGTGTTCCAGGCAAAGGAATCAGCCCCGTGGCCCCTCAGCTGAGATCTGAATGGAAGGAGGAGACAGGGACACAGCTGGTCATCAGGTCATCACACTCCCATGCTCAGGCCTGTGGCTGGGCATGGGATGGGGTGGGGTGGATGGCTGCTGGTCTAGGATGGCTCTGTGTGGCTCACATCCTCCACTGGGAGGACCAGGAGATAGTGATGCTAGGGGTCTGACGATGTCCCATCTGCCCACATCTCACACCCCATGTCTTGCAAAAATTAAAAGATAAAGAAGGGGAATGGGAAGAGGTATGAGTTAGGAGTGGCTATTCCCACCTCCCCCACTGGCTGTCTGTCCTCTTTGCTGGCCCTGGGCCTGCCACCAGTCCCTTGGTGACATGCTACTTCTTTACTTTCCTTGCTGGTTGTAGCTCACCTCTCACAAAGAATTCCAAGGGAACATCTAGAAATGCCATGTCCCATGTCCCATGACAGCATACTGGGGAGAGCAATTCAATGAGTGCCAGCCAAATGTCAGGTCAGTGCTGGACACAGCACCACAGACCTCCTGTCACCCAGGGACCAATGTTGTGGAATAATCTTTTTGTACACTGTGAAGATGTGTTACTCGGATTGGTTTAATACAAAGATGAATGGCCAATAGCTAGGCAGGATTTTGGGGGCAGAGAGGACTGGGAAGAAGAAAGTGGAGACGCCAGGAATGCAGAGCAAGCAGGATGGGCACTATGGAGATGAGGTAATAAAATCACAAGGCAGAAAATAAATTAGTCGAAATGGGTTAAATTAAGTTATATATATTAAGAGCTAGTTAGAAACAAGCCTAAGCTATTGGCCGAGCTTTCATAATTAATAAGAAGTCTCTGTGTGGTTATTTGGGAGCTGTAGGTGGGAAAGAGAAAGACCGATTACAGACCAATGCTCCCAGAGTAAAGCTTTATCTTGCTTCACTTTCCTTCCTTCTTTCCTTCCTTCCTCCTTTCCTTCCTTCCTTCCTTCCTTCCTTCCTTCCTTCCTTCCTTCCTTCCTTCCTCCTTTCCTTCCTTCCTTCCTTCCTCCTTTCCTTCCTTCCTTCCTCCTTTCCTTCCTTCCTTCCTTCCTTCCTTCCTTCCTCCTTTCCTTCCTTCCTTCCTCCTTTCCTTCCTTCCTTCTTTCCTTCCTTCCTTCCTTCCTTCCTTCCTTCCTTCCTTCCTTCTTTCCTCCCTCCCTCCCTTCCTTCCTTCCTTCCTTGCTTCTGTTACTGTGGTACAGCCTCTGTGGGGCTAATGGATTCATCCTCTGTTGTCCCTGGTCTGACAAGAAGCAAGGACATATAACATGGGCTAATTCTTCTAAGCATCAAAATGACTCTAAGAAGCAGGTTTTCTTTCATTCCGATTTATTTTTGGAGGTGGAGATTGAGACAGGGTTTCTTTGTGTAACAGCTCTGGATATTCTGGAACTCGCTCTGTAGACCAGGCTGGCCTTGAACTCACAGAGATCCACCTGCTTCTGCCTCCCAAGTGCTGGGATTAAAGGCATGGGCCACCACTGCATGACTCTTGCATTCTGATTTTAAGGATGACAAAACTAAATGATAAAAGGTTGAAGCAATTTACCCCAAGAAGTGGCAAAATGGGATTGTGGCAACCTGGCACCCAATTGGGCTCAGGGAGTCTGTTTGTTGAATGAATTAGTGACTGTGCCCCACCCAAATGGGGAAACTGAGGTCAGGCATTGACTGTACTGCCTCCAAATCTGTGTGCCCCCCCCCCCCCAAGGCTCCTTTGGCCCTCATGTTCTGCGTGTGGAGGTCCAATCAGAGTGACTGGGCTTCCTAGTGCTCAGAACCTCCTTAGTGCAGGAGCCCAGCATACTTGAAAACCACCATGCACTCTGACCTCAGAGGCAGTCAGGGAGTAGGAGGGGGCTCTGGAATGTCATTAGGGAAAGTCGTGGAGCTGAAGAATGAATGTCCCAGAGCACAGTGTCTTTCCTGTTCCTTGTGAGCAGTGGTCCTCACTAAGAACCTTGTCTAAATCTACTGACCCGGCCTCCCCACCTCCTGCTTCCTCAGTCTAGAAAATTGTTTTATATTCTGCATGGCTCTTCTCTGTTCTGGCTGAGCCCACTGCCTAGTACAGGAGCCTCTGGACAGATCCAGGGCTTCAAATTCCAAAACCCAGAAGGCCAGACTCAGGAAAATCAAATGGCATCTTATCCACAAAAACTGGCCTTGGTTCTTAAAGTCCTATCATTTGAAAATCATTGAAATCTGAAAAATCCAGCCTTTGAGATTCCAGGGCTGGCAAGATGGCTCAGTGGGTAAGGGTGCTTTTTGCCAAACCTTATGACCTGAATTCGATCCCCAACCACACATGATGAGAAGAAAGAATCAACTCCAGAAAACTATTCTCTGACCTCCACATGCTGCAGTATATCCACACCCACACACATACACAAAATAAGTAATTCTAAACACAAACAAACAAAAACCCTCCAGGCTTCCCTCCCCTACCACCACCTACATTCCTGCTCTTTATTCTTCCCTGCCAAACACATGTTGGGATGAGTGTGACTTCAGAAAAGAGGAAAGAGGTTCTCTCTCTCTCTCTCTCTCTCTCTCTCTCTCTCTCTCTCTCTCTGACTAGCAAGGCTTGATTTAGGGGTTGACCAGATAGCTCAGTAAAGGCTCAACTTGAACTGGCTTTGTTGTGTGGGAGCCTGGAGACTTTGAGCACCGCCGTGAAAACCTCAGACTCTCTCCTGAAATAGGTAGACCTAACTGTCCTTTGAGGATGATGAGGCTGGAGTTTGCCCAGTTTTGGATGCCCAGCCTACAGTGTGGCAGAATTTATAACCCCCGGCCCCCTAGTCTGTCTTCTTCTAGCTACCCCAAGGCTGCCATGTGGCAGGAGTTCCTAGTTGCCGTTGGCCATTAGACAGATGTTTCTGTCTGCAGGACAGAATGCTGTGGCATAGATTGTCCCTGGGCACAGCTGGGCAGAGGCTCTGGATCCAAGGCATATCTGATTCAGAACAGGAAGTTTGTTCACCAGCATTCCCAGCTTGCCTCAGGCAAAGGCCGGTGAATGGAGCTATAGGGAAGGCAGTTGGAGAGAGCTCAATATTTGATGAATACCTACTGCATGGCAGCCATTATCTGTGGGCACACAGAATCTTTGTGCTGAGTTTTGGTCTAGCTAGAGAGACAGATGTTGATGAAGTAACCGCTTGAATTAGTACACATCTTTCAAAGTCAGCCAACCTTACAAGGCACATTGAGGGTGCTCCAAAACCCAGCAACTGCTGTTGCTGTCACCCACCTAGCTTCGTGTTCTTACCTTTTAGATCTTCCTCTGGGGACACTTCTGCCTTCCGTCCACCCTCATGACCCAGGCACGATGAAGTTAGGGCCACTTTGGGTAAGCACTGACTTTAACAAATCAGAGCACTCCACTCCTTGACCTCTCTGATGACTGGTCAGAGATGTGTTTGGGACCTAAGTCTGGTTTTTGCAAAGATAACTGAGAGAAAAATGGAGTTCCTACTCAGCTGGGAGTTCTAAACTGGAAGGTCAAAAATCTGGAGCCACTCTGGGGCCCTAAGGGAGAGTTCACCAAAGCCCGGAGCCCATGACGGGAGGTGAGAGACCTGTCATTGGCAGACTCTGGCAGTGCCCTTTGAGATCCTAGATGCAGCATTACTCAAAGTCAGACATCCCCCAGGCTTTTCTGTTATCAGAACCAGCAATCACCCTTTCTGGCTCGAGTCTCGCTAGGTTTGCTTGCCCATCAATTGCAATGAGAGCTTAGTCTGATGCTAGCGGACTAAAGGGTCGAGGAAGGCTACCCCGAGACAGGACATTCACGCTGAGCACTGAAGGGCAAGGAAAAGAGAAGGAGATAAGAGACATGTGTGAACTCAGCAGTTTGGGGATCTGAAAATCGTGAGATATTCAGGAATATCTGAATTCATTCTTTGTGGCCAGAGTCACCGTGGGGGTAGGCCAGTCACAATTACACCCACTGCTCATGTCAGTCTCTGCGTTCAGTTTCAGTAAACATGGAAACGGTCATCTGTATCCAACTCCGGTAAGACCTATGCTCTAATGCATTCCCTGTGTGGGCAGAAGATGGTCTTTCTGTTCTGACCAGTCTCAGGAGAGCAAGGCCCCAGCGGCCTTCAAAAAGCACCCAAGCTTCAGGCTGTGGAGGCAGGAAAAGAGAGAGAGGGAGGGAAAGAAAAGGATGGGGGTGGGGACAGAGAAAGAACAATTAAAACAAAAAGCAATAACAAACTGTAAATGGACCTACTTTTTAAATACAAATAAGCATTTCATAATTTACTAGCTTTATAACATCATATAATTTTGTGGTTTCGACTTTCTTCAATTTTAAGTGTTTGTTTTTTCATTATGAAAGTCGTAAAACTCCTTTTTGGAATGTGCAAAAGAGAGTTGTAACTCTTTATAATGTTCTTATTCTAACCCCACTGCAGTCAGGTTTGTGGTACTTTTCTGTTTGGCTGCTTCCAAGCAGTGTGAGCGCAGTGCCGCTTTTCAAATGTGGACGTGCACACAGGTCCCTAGGGATTTATTTAAATGCAACTCGTGCCTCAGTGGGTCTGGATGTCACTGGGATTGCAGATATCTGATATGCTTCAAGGTGTGCTAGGTGGTTTCAGACCTCAGAGTGAGCTAGGCCCAGCCCGACCAATGCCAGGCTGTGTGGCCTCAGGCTTTTGTCTGACCCTGTGAATCCTGGTTCTTAGGGAGGTCCTGTTAATCTCTAGTTGAATTAAAGGGTCAGAGTCAGCGGGTGTCTAAGTACCACTGCAGTGCCACTGGGAGAATTGGGTGGCTTTGGAAGGGCAATCTTGTGAGGCCACTAAAGCAGGGGACCTGTGGGAGTCTGTTCCAGAGGGAGTTTCCTAGGAGTGTGGCCCCAGAAACTGCTGAGAAGTGAGATTCAAGCGTTGCAGGAATCAAGCTTGCCTCAGAGGATTGCTCAGAATGTGCTGTAGATGCACACACTGACCCCCACCTTCCTCACCCTTCCTCCTGCAGGACCCATGTGAACGCTCGGTACATGTTTAATTAGGTTGGTTATTGCTTCCGTTTCCTTTCTGTTGCTGTGATAAAACACTCTGACCAAAAGTAACTTGGGAAGGAAAGGGTTTATCTGACTTATACTTCCAGGTCACAGTTCACCACTGAGGGGAGTCAGGGCAGGAACTTGAAGCAGAAACCATGGAGAAACACTGCTTTGCTTGCTTACTCAGATTCATGCTTAGCTAGCCTTCTTACACAACTCATGACTACCTGCCTAAGGAATGGTGCTGCCTATGGTGGATTGGGTCCATCTACATCCATTAACAGTCAAGACAATGCCCCATAGACATGCCGATCTGATCTAGGCAGCTGCTCAGTAGAGGTTTTCCTCTTAGATGATTCTAGGCTGTGTCAAGTTGACTATCAAAGCTAACTGGGCTAGCAACTATGGTGGGTCATATAACTAGCCTAGCTTGCTAACCCTCAGCCGCAATCTATGCTCACTGCCTGTTTCCACTGAAATCTTCCATTCTAAGTCTACAAATGTCTACCTGGCGGGGGAGGGGCACCTATTTATTAATTCTCTGGGGTCCCAGCAAAGCTAACCTTGCTCTCTCTTTCACTTACCATGAACAAGCACCTGCCTATTGCCCACCCACATAGCCTGGCATTTACCTTCCCAGGGCCTGGCTCCTTCGAATGTGTGAGCTGGCTTTCCCTGGGGTCAGAAGATTGTTCAAGGTTCCTGAATAAACGGCAGAAAGGAGAGCTCGGTGTTGTGTCTTCCTTGCTGGTCGAGGTGGTCGCGTCACAGCTGAGCTGAAGGGCTTCCAGATCCCACCTCTAGGTTATCTGTCCTGTCTCTGTGTTGGTCAGCTTTCTGTCACCGTAACAAAACACCTGAGGAAGGAAAGATTTCTTTTGACTCTTGATTTAAGGCTACAGTCTCTGGTTCCATTGCTTTGGGACTGAAGTAAAGCAGACTATTGTGGCAGAGAGGGTGTGCTAGAGCAGAAGTGGTCCTCTCCCTGTAGCCAGGAAGCAGAGAGCACACAGGGGCTAGTCACAATATACATCCTTCATGCCCCCCCCCCCCAAGTAACCCACTTCTTCCAACAGTTCCCTCCACCTCCCGGTAATATCACAGGTCGTGAATCCACTGATGCATTGATTCATTGATCACGAGAACCCCCATGATCCTACTACCTCTCAATGATTAGATCCACTGTCTGGGAACCAAGCTTCTAGCCCATGAGTCTTTCAGAGGGATGCTTCAGATCCAACAGTAATAGCCTCAAGTGCTGTTGTCCCCTGCTGTGATTCCTAGCGAACCAGCTTCCCTCCATCCCTCAGCATCTGGGTCAGACCTTCTACTTCACAAGTCTTCAAGTCCCTTAGCTACAAGGGCTAACCTCGCCATGTACTGTCTTGAACTCACCATATATAAGGCATGTGCTCTGGGGAGCAATAAGCTTAGGACCAAAACAAGGGAGAATTAATATACAACAGGGAAGTCTGATTCAAGTTCAGACGTCCTCACTTCCCCAGCAGGCCAGCAAAAGGCCAGAATTGAATATCTTTGGTCCACTCTGGGTCGTGTGCTGATGTTTATGCCAATTGCTGTGACTAGGAAAATCAACAGCCCTGATTGGCCCAGCTCAGCTCACATGGCTACTACTGGAGCCAGAGGGATTCTAAGTGGAGGTCAAGTTCTGGAAGCCAAGGCCCACAGGTGCCACCAGGGAAGTTACTTAGACAACTTTCCCATGACTGTGGCTGGTGTCTGTCTCTCCTCCAGCTATGCAGGGAGCATGTCTTTCCAGTGTGTCATTCCAGAATATCATTCCAGATGAGGGGATGAGGAGTTTCGTAAATGACCATCAACTACTTTTGATGCAAATGACTTGCTATGTAGGTCACCTAGGGAGCAAATTGGAGCAGAATGTGACAAGAGATCTTTCTGTGTGACAACGTGTATTAAGGAATGTGTCCTGACATTTGGAGGGTCACCGGCTGAGGCTGGCTCAGCGTCTGTGTCAGTGTGAGAGCACCTGTGTGTTTCACAGACTCTGCACATCTTGCAGGGGAGGGTGGATGGGGGTGGGCAGTGTGGTGATATATTGTGTCCCCCAATATATTGTGCATCCTAATAAACTTATCTGGGGTCAGAGAACAGGACAGCCACTAGATAGACATAGAAGCCAGAAAATGGTGGCATACACGCCTTTAATCCTATCACTTGGGAGGCAGAGATCCATCCGGATCTCTGTGAGTTCAAAGCCACACTGGAAACAGCCAGGCATGGTGACTTACACCTTTAATCACAGGAAGTGATGGCATAAAGCAGAAAGGTATATAAGGCGTGAAAACCAGGAACTAGAGCTGGTTAAGCTTTTAGGTTTTTGAGCAACAGTTCAGCTGAGATTCATTCTGGATGAGGACTCAGAGGCTTCCAGGCTGAGGAAACAGGATCAGCTGAGGAATTGGTGAGGTGAGGTGGCTGTGGCTTGTTCTGCTTCTCTGATCTTTAAGCATTCACCCCAATACCTGGTTCCAGGTTTGTTTTTATTGATAAGACCTTCTAACAATTCATGCTACAGGGTAGGACTTCTATCTGGATGAGTGAGGAAAACAATGTCCAGGGACTTCAAAGCTTTTATCCCAGGTGACATAGCCAGCAGAATCTTAATCCCTTTTCTGAAGCCCTGTGCTATTGGGTAGGGAGGCTAGTGTTCTGGGACTTTCTGATGGCTTGCTAAGGGGGCGGGGGTTCTCAATTTCAAGGGTCAAGGAGGAAGGATCTAGAATACCTTGTATTAGTTATTTTTTTATTGCTGTGATAAAACACCATGACCAAGGTGATTTTAAAAAGGAAGGTTTCTTTGGCTTCCAGTTCCAGAGGGATAAGAGTCTGTCATGGTTGGGAAGTGTGGCAGCAAGTAGCAGACATGGTTCCAGCAACTAGATGTTGAGAGCTCACATCTTGAACTGCAAGCACCAAACAGAGGGAGCAAGCTAGGAATGATACCAGGGTTTGAAACTTCAAAGTCCACCGCCCGTGACGTACTTCCTCTAGCAAGGGCACACCTCCTCAATATACCCAAACAGTGCCATCCACTAGAGACCAAGTACTCAAGTGTCTCAGCATATGAGGGACATTCTCATTTATACTACTACATCCCCTTTGGGACCTTGTGGAAGTGTACCTCTTAGTTTGGCTCTCCTCAGAGGTGGACCCAAGAGGTGGGAGGTCCAGCTGTGGTTTGGAGGGGACAGTGTACTGAGAGGCCTTGAGAACAGAGAGCAAGCAGCCAGTGCAGAGCACTGGGCCCACATGCTGTCTGAACAACTGGAGCAGAAGGCCGGGGACTTGGAGACTCAGGGCAGAAGCACTCATGAATTGTCCTACTTGAATGCTGAAGGAGCTGGCATGCATGTGCCTTGACTGTTGTCAGCCATTGGTTGGAGCTGCTCCACAGGGGTGCTGATTTGCCAGCAAGTCTAGCAGTGAGAAGGAAGCCTCAGGCGCTGCCAGATGGACGGGACTCTGTGGCCCGCCGAGGGTGAGGGGGTCTAATGGTGGGTGGGCAGAGGCCGGAGAGGGCTTTCCTCCCAAGCTTCAGGTGAACCAATCTCTGTAGGAAAGGAGGGCATGATTCTGAAAATCAGGCCATCCTAAGTGCTTAGTATTGGTGGATTCCAGAGGCAGAGGCCATGAGGCCTATGGTAGCTTCAAGGCCCGAGGAGCCACATGGCAGGTGAGGCTGGCAGGGCCAGGACTAACTGTGTTTTCTCCCCTGCTGTTTCCCTCTGTCTTTTATGAATGTACCTGGGGCTGGAGCCAGAGCCTCCTGAGAGCTGGGAGACAGGGCAGGTTAGCTAGTTCTCACTGCTTTTAACAGAATCAGGATAAAATGTTTAGATTCACAAAGGGGAGAAACAGTGGTTCAATGGACATCCACATGGAACCACTCTAAGTGTACGGTGCCGTCCCAGGCTGGAGAGAGAACTTGGCTGTTGCAAGCTGGACTCACCTCTTCAGGAGGTAAATGGGGCTTCCCGGGTCTCCCCAACATCTCCTAGCAGGTGAGGTCATGGAAGGTAACAGGAAGCATGTGCCTGTCCTTTAGAACCAGACACTGTTGTTTCCACCAAAGTAAGTCATGAGGCCAGGGAACATTCAGGTGGAGAGGAATGTTGCCTCTTTCAACAGGTAGAGCCATGAAGTCGCACTGCACAGGGTGGTGGGCCCAGAGAAGCCACAGATGCAAAGGCTCCAGCACAGTGGGGACACACGGAAGTGGCCGGCCAGTCTCTGATGCCATTACTCTTAGCTGATTTCCAAAGTGCTTCTGAACAGAGAGAAGAGGAAGAACGGCAAGGAAGGAAGACCAGTGTTCAGAGCCTGTATTTCTTCACTGTCCCAAATCTACCGTATGGATGTCCCATGCAGACTGGGCATGGACAGCAACTTCCAGACAATGCTCCATGGACTCATTCAGGGACGATACACCAGCCTGTGGTAAATGCCTCCCCAAATATGAATCAATTGTTTGACTAACTAGATAGTCCTTGACATTGTCTCAGACCCCCAACTCAAAACTGATGTGAGTTACCTGGAACCTGAGAGCCAAGTACTTGACTATGATGAGGAAGTACTTGACTATGATGAGGGTGCCCTCTGGGTTTGTGGGGCACATTGCATGTGGGCCAAGAAACAGACACTCTGGCTATATGTTTCCATACCCAGGATGATCCCACTGAGAGTGCTGGGTGTAGACAAGTGAACACAGTAGCTTGTAGGACTTGTGAGAGCTTAGCGGTTGGCCATCTGTCCCATTCTTATTTCTGAGGTGTCTAAGTTAGGGTTTCTATTGCTGTGAAGAGACGCCATGCCCACAGCAACTCTTATAAAGGAAAACATTTAATTGGGATGGCTTACAGTTCAAAGGTTTAGTCCATTACCACTATGCAGGCAGACATGGTGCTGGAGAAGGAGCTGAGAGCTTTTCATCTTGATATTCAGGCAGCAGGAAGTGCGGTCTGAGACTGGACATGGCTCAAGCATATATGAAACATCGAAGCCCACCTCCACAGTGACACACTTCCTCCAGCAAGGCCATACCTATTCCAACAAAGCCACACCTCCTAATAGTGCCACTCCCTCTGGGGACCATTTTATTTCAAACCACCACATGGGGACCTTGCTCATTCAGTCTGCTAAAGGGTGTGTGTGCCACATGACTGTGAGAAGCTGCTATGACAAAATATTAATGAAGTCTCATTCTAAAGGTAAAACTAGGAACAATCCAGATCTTCTTCCCTCTGCCTTCCCCCAGTCCATGAGCACAGGTGCATCTCAAGAAGTGGAGCAAAGGAGGTGTCCTGTCTCTCAGCAGGCAGGTGAGAAGAACTGTCATGGAGCCACATGGTAGCTACATCCAGATATCTCTGTCCCATCCACATTGGCTTTGAGGGGTGACCAGTTTTGTCTGAAGCATCGGATAATGAACCTAGGGCCTTCTCATGTGTGCTGGGCAGGTGCTCTGCCACTGAGCTTTGAGTAATACAGGGTCTACCACAGTAACATTCCACACATGCATCCCCTCCCTCGTGGGTTGGATTGTGTCGTTAAGTGTTCCTGCAGCTGAACAGCACAAACAGGCAGAAGCACAGCGTTTGCCAGAAAGAGCCAGACAGTGGCAGCTGTGAGTGTTTCGTGTGGTCAGTGCACAGTACACACATGGGAATCTCTAGAGCACTGTCTCGAGGGAGCTAGAAAGTGCAGGACCCTTCCTCAGTCCACAAATCTTGGCATTCCTTTTCTTTTTCAGTTCCTGACCTCAGCTTTTATAATGCAAGTTTTCTCTTGCCTAGGCTTGTAATCTGAGGATGAAGTGATGGCTCCCCATAATACATCAGGGCACTATGACCAGAAAGGAGGATGGGAACTTCCGCAGAATCCCTTCATCTGGCCACCAGGGGCTTGTCCCTAATCTGTGCCCAGAAGACACTCATTATTTGTTAGGTGGTGGGTAGCTGAGACCCTCTAATGAGGACGTCAGAGCTGCCTCTTCCAAAGGGCCGGGGGAGGACGGCACAGGGCCCTATGCTGGGTGAGAGCCTTTGGGCTTCCGTAGAAGAACACCATAAACACAGTGACTTAGAAACTAATCACAGCCCAGGAGTCATTAGGACAGTCACACAGCGGGTAAGAATTTCAGTACATGAATTGGAGGAACCCAGGCTTTGGGACTGTGACACTTGTCCAGGATTGATGGTGTGAATTAGTTTTCTGTGTTGATTCCATGCAGAGAGAGCCTGTTTTCTCTAATGAAACAAATTCTCCACTAACGAGTCTCCCTATAGCATGGAAGAGGTGGAGTTTGATTTGGTTTTGGTTTTCTTCTCTAAATTACCAAAAGGACTTTTTTCTTTTAGTAATGGGAAGCAGCATCCCATCTGAAGGAAAGTCATTAGTCCATCAATGCCACCATTATGCTTCTTGTTCATGACTCACTCCTCAGCTCCACCAGGCAAAGCCCCTGTGTTCTCACTGCGAGTCAGTTACAGATCAGTGTGCCGTCACATCCACAGACCACACATTCACACAGGGCTCAACATGGCCTCATGGTTCCCCAGGCCAGCTGCATAGACGACAGTGCCTGAAGGAGGCACGTCTGCCCCTCACAGTTCTGCAAAGCTTGTTAATTCTTAGACAGTTGGGTGTGAATATCGCATTGGCATTTATAGTGTCTTTGACACACTCTGTCTCACCCACTCGGAACCACGCACCTGCAGAGGGAAGGCGTGCGTACAGCAGCAGATGTTGTGTGCCCTGGGAATGCTTAAATATGTGCTTGCTATAGAAGGCGTGTGTTACCCAACACAGACCTGGGGGAGGAGGAGAGGGAAGGGTTTTTAACTTTTCTCTCTCTTTTTCTTTCTTCCTTTTCCTTTTCTTTGATCTCATGTGGCACAGGCTGACCTTAGACTCTATGTAGCTGAGGATGACCTTGAACTCCTAATCCTCATGCCTAGTTTATGTGGTGCCAGTCTTCTGTGCATGCTAAGAAAGCTCTCTGTCAATCAAGCTGTATTCCTGCCCCCTTTTATCTTTAAGAGCAGGGTCTTGGTATGTTGTCTAGGGCAGAGTGTGGTGGCTACTCCCAGGCACAGTCCCACTACTGACACTTAGTGTAGATATCCCTTGCTTATAACACACAATAGTGGAAAACCTCACAATGCTCAGATAATCCTCCTGCCTCAGCCTCTGAAGGATGGGAACAACAGGTGCTGAATGATAGGTATATGCCACTGCAACCAATAAACTTTATCTGTGTGTGTGTGTGCTTGAGTTGTGTAGGTGTTGTGTACACGTGTGTGCAAATGCATGTGGGTGCGCACACATGTAGAGGCCAAGTTCAATGGGTTTCTTCCCCTGATCATTTCCTACTTTTATGTGTTTATTTTTGGAGACAGCGTCCGCCAGTGAACCTGAAGCTCCTCAGTTTGGCTAAGCTGACTGGTCAGTTAACTTCGGAGATTTCCCTGTCTCTGCCCTCCAACCTCCAGCGCTAGCGTCACAGAAGCACGGCAACTCCCTGGCTGCTTACATGGGTGCTGGGTGGGGATCCAAGCTGAGGTCTCACTCTTTCATGAAAGTCACTGTACCAGTAGCCTTCTCCCCAGGCCAAGACTTTACCTTTTAAAACAAAACCGGGAAGATGTTGGAACTTATATAAAAAAACAAATAGAAGAAACCTGGGCTATAGAGTCAGATACACCAGGTTGTAAGTTCTAACTCTACAATTTAGTAAGCTGTGTGATGGTGGGTTACTCACTTGGGGTCTCTGAGCCTCTCATCTGTCAAATGGGGCTCTCAGAGGAATTTCCCTGTTAGGGTTGTGGCAAAGACAAGTTTAACCAATCCCCAAGCTGGACCATAAAGAGATGAGCATTTCAGGGCTGTGGAGATGCTCAGTCAGTAAAGTGCTTGTCTAGCAGACAAGAGGCCCTGAGATGGATCCCCAGAACCCATGTATAGATAGATATCAAGAAAATTCAGAAGCTGGAGAAAGAGTTCAGCAGCTAAAAGCCCTGGCTGCTCTTGCAGAGAACCTGAGTTCAGATCCCAGCACCCACATGGTGGCTCACAACCATCCTTAATTCCACTTTCAAGGAATCAAATGCCCTCTTTTGACCTCCATGGGCACCAGGCATGCATGTGGTACACAGACAGACAGACAGACACACACACACACACACCACATGTAAACATAACTTTTTTTTAAATCTGAAAAATTAAAAATAAAAAATGAAAACTCAATCATGGTGGGGTACTCCAGGGACAGAGATGGGCAGATCTCTGGGACTCACTGGTTGGCCAGCCTGCCTAATTGATGAGTTTCAAGCTAATGAGAGATCCTGTCTTAAACAAATAAGCAAATAACAACAAAAACAAACCAAAAGGTGAAGCCCAATGTGGTGGCACATGGGAGGCAGAGACAGGGAGATCTCTCTCTGGTCTAAAACCAACCAAACAAAAAACTCAACCAAACAAACAAAAACAACTGGATAGTTCTTGAGGAATGATGCCTGAGCTGAGGTTGACCTCCTGACCTCTGACCTCCAAACACTTATGCGCATGTGTCCATGCAACTGTATGTACATGCATATACACAAAGAAATAAACATCTCATCATTAAAGCATGGTAGTTAAGGGTGGCATGCTGGGACCTCTCTGCCCTGATAGAAAAGGCATTTAGTCTTTTCCTGGATGTCAGCTTCATACCCTCAGGTGACATATCACAAATCCCAGGGACAGGTCCACACAAGCAGGTGCAGTGGCAATGCATCCACAGGCTCCAGCCTGCCACTAACTGATATGGGGACCCTCGGCTAGAGTAAGTGTGTAGGAGGTTGGCTCCCTGTCTTCATCTGCTTTCCATTGATACAACAAAATATCTGACACTGGAAGTTTACTCTGCTCAGATTCTGGGGACTGGGAAGCCCGAGAGCATGGTGCCAGCATAGAGTGAGGCCCAGTGTGTGTGAAGCCATGGAGGAAGGGCATTGGGCCTGATTTCCAGGATGGGCACTGCCACTCACGAGTGAGCATTAGGCAGATAAGGTCACCCATGCATGGGTTCCAGTGGTGCTGTCAAGTCCTGGTGCTGTCACTTTTGAGGGTGCCAGTCCTGGCGGTCTCCCTCTTATACCACCATGGGGCTAGCAAATCCCCAGTCTTTCTTTAGCACTGTGACCCTGGCTGCCTTCCTGCCGGAGTCATGGTCCCAGGCACAGATACCCTCTCTGCTGTGGATAGTCTCTCAGGAGGAATCCAGGAGGGAGGCAGCTGTCCTTGTGGTCCTTGTGACAACCACAGTCTCCCCCACCCCCGCCCCAGCCATACCTCCCAGCTTGCTGTCTCTATCTGTATCCATCTAGACCAGGCAGGAAATTAAAGTGGGCACCAGGACCTTGGCAATAAATAGCTCAGCCCTGAGGCTCCTGTCTGCAAAAAGGAATGTGATCTGGGACCTTTTTTCAAATCAGCCACATGTCAGGCACTGGGGCCACGGGGGAACTCAGACTACTTCTATCTCCCCTCAGCGGGGAGGAAGCAGAGAAAGGGAAAGAGAGAAGAGATCTGTCCAGGAGCCCATGCCTTTGGAGAGCATGGGTGAACAGCTCCCTGATGGCCTTGAGTGAGGTTCCAGGCCTCTTTGAGGAGCCTCAGCTCCCTAATCTCTAAAGTAGGGACAGAGACGAGCCTGCCAGGTGGCTCTTGTTAAAATTAAATGAGTCAATCCGGGCATGGTGAAGCACCCCTTTAATACAGCACTCAGGAGGGGAGGTGAAGGCAGGCAGATCTCTGCAAGTTCAAGGCTAGCCTGATCTACACAGAAAGGTCCAGAAAAACCAGGGCTACAAAGAGAGATCCTGTCTCAAAAAACAAAAAATAAGCTGGGCAATGGTGACACATGCCTTTAATCCCAGCACTTGGGAGGCAGAGACAGGTGGATCTCTGTGAGTTCAAGGCTAGCCTGGTCTACAGAGTGAGTTATAGGGCAGCCAGGGCTACGCAGAGAAACCCTTACTCAAAAACAAACAAACAAACAAAAAACAGCCAAAATAAGAAAACAAAAAAATTTTAAATAAATCAAATCCATCAGTGTCCTGGTCTTTCTTTACTGATTCCGGCTTTATTTTGCTTTTATATTTTCTTCTAGTTCCTTGGGGTAGAATGTACTTTATTTTATTTTATTTTTGAGACAGGCTCTCATTGTGTGGTCCTAACTGGCCTGAAACTTGCTTTGTAGTCTAGACCAGCTTTGAACTCACAGAGATCCGCCTGCCTCCCCCCCCCCCCCCCAGTGTTGGGATTAAAGGCGTGCGCCACCATGCCTGGACCAGAATATTGCTTATTTAAGGTCTTCTTTCCCACCCCCTGTTTTGACGTAGACATGTCCAGCTGTAAATTTCCCTTCTGTTCATTGCTGAGCTTTTTGCATTAGCTAAGAGATGTAAGGATCCTAGGCATCCATCAGCCAACACACGGACAGAGAATGTTGTCACATGAGGAGCAGTGGCACACGCCTGCAATCCCGGAAACTGTGAGGTAAAGTCAAGGAGACTACAACTTCAAAGCCATCCTGGGCTACCGTGCAAGAGCCTGTGTACAATATTGAACAAACCATGTTGTGCAGATCTACAACACAGCCTTTAAAAGGATGCTGTTGGTGATGTGCTGGATGAGCCTGGAGGACATTACATGAAGGGAAACAAAATGCCCAGAAAGACAAGGACCACATGATCTCACTCTTAGGTGGACTCTAGAGCTGAATCATAAAATCAAAGAGTAGGAAGAGTGATAGTGTCTACAGATGGGGTGGTAGGGTGGGATGGAGAGGTATTTATCAAAGGCCTCAAAGTGTAAGCTGGGCAAGAAGGACACAGTTCAGCACTGTACTGCAAAGTGGTGACTGAGCTAAAAATAATGCAGCATCCTCTTCAAATTTGCTGAAAGAGATTTTAAACATCCCAATCACAAAAGAGCAAAAAACAAGGTGACAGATTTGTTAATGAGCCTGATAAAATCATCACACATTGTATAAATATATCAAAACATCACATATCCAATAAATATGTGATTATTTGTCAATTTAAAATTTAAAAATTTGGGCTGGAGAGATGACTTAGCCATTAAAAGTGCTTACTATTGTTGCAGAGGATCCTGGGCTGATTCCCAGCACCCATGTGGTGGATCACAGCCCCTTGGAACTTCAGTTCCAGGGCATCTGACACCCCCTTGTAGATCTTGCATGCACACAGCGTACATACTGACAAGCAGGCAAACACATACACATAAATAAAAATAAACACATAAGAAAAAAATTACAGGAAGCACCACTTGACAGTGGGCTGCTGTAATGGTAAGCTGCTTCTGAAGAAAGAGCAAGTGGGGAAGTAGCTTTCAATGGAGCAACATGACAAGGACCACTTCATGCCAGGGGACTGAGGTTCCCACTCCTAAGTAATTTTAACAGCATGCACTTTATTAGGCGAATGCCCTAAGATCGCCTCCCTTCAACTCATCCCATTCCGGTTCTGAGAAAGTCAGGCAAATCCAAATTGAAGAATCTACTATTAAACAAACAAACAAAAAATCAAAGGCTGGAGAAATGGTTGAGCATTTAAGAGCACTTGTTCTTGCAGAGGGCCCAGGTTCAGTTCCCAGCACATATATGGCAGTTTATTATTATCTGTAATGACAACCACCTGTAATTCTAGTTCCAGGGAATCCAATGCCCTCTTCTGGCCTCCCAGAAGTATTGCAGGCATATGCTATAAATACATTCAAGCAGGAGTACACACACACACACACACACACACACACACACACACACACACACACACACCCTGACCAGGTTTGCCGAAAACTGCCAAGGTCACCAGAAGCAAGGACAATCTGTACTGTAGTTTGAAGCTTGAATGGCCCCCAAAGGTCCATGTACATGGGAAGTGGAGGAGCCTTAAGGGGAGGGGCACAGGGGGAGAAGTTAGGTCATTGGGGATATGCCCTAGAAGAGGGTATGGGGTTAGGATTAGGTTGAGTCTCCCTCTCTCCCCTCCTTCCCGCGCCATCTTCCTCTCCTTCCTAGCCACGAGGGAGCAGCTCTGCTTCAACATCTGTCCCCACCATGATGAACCACCCCATCATAGTCAGAGAGTCATGGAGCCAGGAGAGATGTGTTGGAACCTCTGAAACTGTGAGCCAAACACACCTTCCTCCTCATAAGTTGATCAGCTCAGGTATCACAGCCACAGAAAGCAGACTAATACAGTCTGTCAAACTTTTACTGGAGGGAGAAAACCGACGGTTAAATGTAGTGTGGCTGTCTGGATGGACGACACTGGGAAGGAAGAGCAGACTCCTGGACAGCATGCATGAAAGTTGGTTCTTGCATGTGACAAAAGTCCTGCAGTGACATGTCAACAGACGGAAGTGGTCAAGGGCCATGTAGGAACTCCCCATGCTATCTTTGAATACTTGTATAAATCTAAAAACTTGAAATAGAAAAGTTTATTTTAAAATACACTTAACGTAGCCCAGTGCCTGCCATATAGAAGGCACTCCCATGGGCTCACAGTTAGTGGACTCGCAGGTGTTCTTCCTGGCCTCTTAAGCATACGTCTACCTTAAAACATAGATGTGTTGGATCCTTTTCTGATTTCAGTAAAAGCATGGAACAGGGAGCTAGCCTCATTCTTAGAAAACAGTCTTTGCTAGCCCAGTAGCACAGGGACCTTGTTCAGCCCTAAGTCGGACCACCACATCCCTCCTCTGCCCAGGAGATGCAAGCACCTTCCCCCTGTTGTAGTGGCTGTCTGATACTGCCTGTCTGTCTTTCCCTCATCTGCCTGGACACCCCAGCCCCACAGTCAAGCACCTCCTCAGAGTCCTATTCAACACCATGGCCGTCCCTAGCGTCCAGTGTTCTCCTTGTCACCGTTTCAGCTCCTACCTGCTGCCAGATGTGGCTCTCACCAAGGTGGGTTTCCTTGTTCCTTGCTAATGCTTGGATCTGGAATCTCCCAGAGGCTCATGCACTGAAGGCTTATTACCAAGGGTGGTGTGGTCGGGAAGTAGCTGAGTTTATAGGGAGGTCCCTAAGTGGAGAGGGTGTGCCTTTAAAGGGAACAGTGGGATCCTTGATCCCTAACATGCATGTGCACTCTCTTTCTCTTCCCTTCCCTCCACCCCCCCTTCCCTCCCTGGCCACTTAGCGCCACCATCTGCTCCTGCAAAGCTGTGCTTCTCACCATGGGCCTACCACAATGGAGCCAACCAAACATGGACTCAAGTCTTTGCAGCCATGAGCCTGAATGACCTTTTCTCATTGTAAGTTGGTTCTTCACCATTCGTGACAGTGACAAGCTGGTGGACATACCCTGCTGCTGGGGAGGGGTGGTAGCATGCACTGACCAGCCCAGAAGGGGAGGCCTGCTTCCCAGCAGCCTGACCTGAGTGGCGTAGGCATTTGCTTTGTCCATCTCTGCCCTCGTCTGGTCTCTCTGCCACTCAGTGCTGCCATTTCTTAATGCTGGCAGGCCCTGTTTCTCAGTCATGGGTCTCAGGTCCCCTCCTCTTCCCACCGGTGCTGTGGATCTCAAGTGATTCTTTCCAAGACAGGTACTAGAAAAAAGAAAAAACATGTATTTAAGTCCCAAAATGCAGTCAGATTTTGACCTTCTTTGGAAATAGTGTCACTGTAGAGGTCATTAGTTAAAGTGAGGTCACCCTGGATTCCAGAAGGTCCTTTGTCTCACATAGCCAGTGTCTTTACATGAAGACTCATGCAAAGACAGACACACAGGGAGGTGTGTTGATAGGAGTAAAGAGATGGCTGGAAGGCCAGGAAAGCCGAGGATTGTCACCTCATTAGCATTGGAGTGACCCAGTGACAGATCCCTTCTGCAGAAATAATTTGGGACAAGAGGCTGAATTTTTTTCCTTTCCCCAGTAGGGTTTGACTCCAAGCTGTGTGACCTTGGATACATACTTGCCTTCTCTGTGTTTCTGTTTGCTCCTTATAAGAACAATGAATGCTAGCACCCGCCCCCGGAGGTTGCTGTAGAAATTAAGTGCCGTAACACCTCAGACAGTCTTGCCTGATCCTCAGGAAGGTCAGCTGCATTGTCATCCAGGGTCCCACTCTGCTTATCTTTATGCTTCCTGCCTCATCCCGTGCCCTTACTGAAAACCCAATTTTTTTCCACCCAACCTAATCTTTTTGCACACATTGGACTCAGTTCATTCATCCATTGCTGAGCAATTTCTTCTTAGAGGGCTCTGTGGGCTGGACAAGTGAGGGGAGACACAGTTTTCCTTTGAGGAAACAGGCTATGTTAAAAAAAAATGTTATTCACATGCTAAAAGGCTTCCTGGACTCAATTAAGCCCGTAGACTTCACAGCTGATTAGAATCTCATATACGGCAGCCTTAGCAGCCCTGTAGTGGGTGAGGCTGGCCCTTGGGCACCCCCTTTCTGGAAACCCCCTGCAGGTCATTGAAAAGGAGCCTGGCTGTAGCCAAGCTCCTGGGGGGAATGACTGATGACTGTTTTGGAAGGTCTCTTTTCTCCACTTTGATTTAAAGCCAATAGGAGAGTTCATAGACAGTGCACATCCCATAGGGATGAGCAGGAAGAAGAGAATCTACCTGCCACCTGCTGCACACCCCTGGGGCCCAGCAGGCGTGAGACACACTGTCAAGTATGCAGCGTCATCATGTAGACTGTTGTCACCCACAGCTCTGAGTCTGCGAGGGGTGTGCACACAGCTGTTTCTACGTGGCTGTAGCTTGAATATGAAATGTCCCCCGTGCTCTCATGCATTTGAACACTTGGTCCCTGGCTAATGGTGTGTTTCAGACGTGGAGCCTCACTGGAGGAAGTGGATCACTGTGAAGAAATCTTTAAGGCATTATATTCTAATCTGGGATCTACTCCCTCTCCACTTTTTAACTTTCTGTTCCATGTAGACATTATTACTGGATTTAGGGTCACACCCTATGCCCCAACAAGCCAGGTTCAGCCACCCATCCTTGAAAAGCCAATTAAAAGAGCCAAATTAATAGTGAAAAAAAAAGAAATAGGAGATTTATTCAATATGGCCACACTGGGAAGAGAGACAGCAATACAGCGATCCCTCCCCACTTAAGTGCCTCTTAGGAGTCTTAAGGCAAGGCTAAGTGTTAAGTAGAGGGCCCGGGTTATGCATTGCTAAGCAGTCCTGATCAAGGTGTGGTCCTCCTATCACTGTTTGGTTGCACTCTCTTGCAGGATAGCCTGCAAATCTTTTTTCCAGGAGAAAAGTTTCTGTTTTAGCTAGCCCAAGCTTTAAATCTTTTCATTTTCTTTAATTTTTTTTAAACTTTATGTCTATGGATATTTCACCTACATGTGTGTCCACATACCACATGCATGCCTGGTGCCCGCAGAGGTCAGAAGAACACATCAGATTCTCTAGAACTGGGGTTACAGATGAATGGTTGGGAGCTGCTACATGGATGCTGGGAATCAAAGCCGGGTCCTCTGGAAGCACAGCCAGTCTTCTGCCAGCATGAGCTTCATGGGGGAAATTACAATTTCTTGGGATCCATTGTTTCAATTGACAGCCAAAGTGAGGGACAGTGGCTCTAGAATAGCCTCATTCCTTCCAGGCTGGTCAAAATTCAAGGAAGTGAAGGGTCCCAAGGAAGTGAAGCTTGGATAGAGCTTGGAGTTGTGAAATGGAGTAACCTCCCACCATACCTTCCCTTCTGTAATAGACTGTGTCCCTTCAAACCACGAGCCAAGATAAGCCTTCCTCCCTTCAGTTGCTCTTGTCGGATATTTGTCATAACAAGAAAAATAATGAATACAGGGCCATTTTCACTTCATGGTGTCAAACCTCCCATGTGCCCAGTCAGGCAGGAGAACTGAAGTTCAGAGGGTGATGAGATGTACCCAGGTCCCTCTCACCAGTCCTAGTCCCTTTCTTCCTCTGTCTTCTGCAACAAACTTGGATCCCTTTGAGAGTCTCTGGTCCAAGGTCTGGCCTAGAAAATAGCACTCTGGAAAAGGGCACTGGACTGCTGCTGCATTGTTGGGAGTCGATAGAGGAAAGCAATTCCAGCCAGACCCAGCTGCTGGGAAGGCATCAAATGGAAGAAGGAGCTTTTGGAAACAGGATGTATGAGAACTTGTGGGCCTGCCAGGGCAGCATTCTGGCCAATGTCACACATTTTGTATGATAGCTGGGAGGACAAAGGAGATTCAGTAGCTTATTTCTATTGCCTCCCCGCTGCTAGGGATGGAACCCAGGCTCTTGTACAGGCTAAGGAAGTGCTACAACACTGAACTACATCCCATCCTTTCCTAGTAATGTCTTTGTCTTGGGAGGTATTCCCATTAGTGGTGTGCCAATCTTAGTGAGAATTTCGAAGGTGTAAGCTTGCATAGCTAACCAGGGTTAACCAGAGATTCCCCACAGGCAGTCTACAGACAAAGTAAGACTGTAATGGCTTACCATTACAGTCTTCTAGGGCAGGACTTCTTAATTTCCACTCACAACGCCTTCTTTTTTGTTTTAAGATTTATTTATTTAATTATTTAATTATTTATATTTATTTACTGTGTAGACAGAAGAGGGCGCCAGATCTCATTTTAGATGGTGTGAGCCACCATGTGGTTGCTGGGAATTGAACTCAGGACCTCTGCAAGAGCAGTTGGTGCTCTTAACCTCTGAGCCATCCCTCCAGCCCTCACAACTCCTTTTTATCCAATATTTTTTCATGACCCCAGGTATATAGATATATAAAATAGGTGTACAAGTCATAGCGAAATTTATTTTAAGACAATTCTTTGGTATATGTATATTTTCACCATTTATTAAAGATGAAAACCAATTTGAATCTGCATCCTAATGAGGTGGATGTGTTTATTTTTCTTTCTTTTTTTCTTTTTCTTTTCTTTCTTTCTTTCCTTTTTTTTTTTTTTTTTTTTTTTTTGTTGTTGTTGTTGTTGTTGTTTTTCGAGACAGGGTTTCTCTTTGTGGTTTTGGTGCCTGTCCTGGATCTCACTCTGTAGACCAGGCTGGCCTCAAACTCACAGAGATCTGCCTGGCTCTGCCTCCCAAGTGCTGGGATTAAGAGCATGTGCCACCACCACCTGGTGGATATGTTTATTTTTAACATGAAGAATTAAATATTGGACTAAATATTTGATACTACAGGACACAGAGCATCTTCAGTGTTTTCCAGAGTAGATGGTTTTGACTTTATCATCATCATAAATGCTGAGAACACTGCTTTGCAGAGATACAGCAAAAGCATGTTTAGGGCCATTTCAGAAATCGTTGGAAATTCTGTTCTAATCCCAGGTCAAAATTCTTTTAATAAGTTAGCAGTTCAAACAGCAATTTCAAAAATAAGAGTATTCTGGAGGCTGGTTGTGGTGGCACACAGCTTTAATCTTAGCACTAGGGAGAAAGAGGTAGGCAGGTATCTGTGAGTTCAAGGCCAGCCTAGTCTACAAAACAAGTTCTAGGCCTGCCAGGAATACACAGTGAGACTCTGTCTCATAAACAGATGGCTGGACGGACGGACTGACAGACAGATAGGAAGATATTTAGAATTCGAATATTTTGTTGAGCATGGTGGCTCACACCTGTAATCCTAGCATTTAGGAAGCAGAGGCAGGATTGCTGCAAATTTGAGGCCAGCCAAGTCTACATAGCCAGCTGGCTATGTAGTAAAACCATGTCTCAAAAAACAAAACAAAACAGCACAACAACAAACAAAAAACAAAACAACAAAAAACCACCAAAGAAAACGAAAATAAAATGACAGCTTTTTTTTTTCCACAGGCCATTTTCAAATAATATATTTTTTCCCACTTTCACTAAATCCCCTTTGTTTTCATGAAGACACTCGAGTTTACTTAGCCCTCCTCAAGATGGCGCCATTCTTTTCGGGACCCTCACTCGGGACCCTCCATTCAATGTGATATCTGCTGCAATGAAAGCTATTTTCCGTCCGTCTCAAGACGACGACAACACTAGCCATTCTCGCCTCACTTTCTGCACTCTTCAAGACGACCACAACGATCAACTTCAACCCTAGGGCACCCTCTGACCTTCTCAAAATGGCGACGAAGCGGCTCGGTACCTCATATTGACGCTTTCAAGATGGCGCCGGGATCGTAAATCTGTGTCGCGAAATTACGCAAACTCAGCGTCGCTACGAAGACACTTCCGGTTCCGCCGCGGGGCGGGCTCATAAGGCCTGACAGAAACCTTAGGGAGGTTAGGTCTCCGGACCGGGCGGCCTGGCGAGACAATGGACCGAAAGAAAAAGCCTTTGGACGTTACAGCCTCCTCGGTGAGTTCGAGTGTGGTTTAGCTACGTGCTCCGCGTTTCCCCCGCTCTTCTCAGTCAGAATGGCGACCCAACTATTACAGCCTTACCCAAGTCAGGGGGGCCTGGACTCTCCGCCTGACAGGGACTCTGACTGGCTTTCTCCCCGCGGGGACCCTCGGCAGCTTCCTTATTCACAGGATCCTGAACCCGGCTTCACCAGGCACCTGGACTAGGCTCACCCCCACAGACAGGCCCCGGAAGCCGTCCTCCCAGAGATCTCAGGGTGCATCCTGCGGGTCAGCCGCCACAGCCCAGCCAGGCCTCGCTGTCTGCGGGGACCTGGAGGAAGGACATGTGCCCTTCCTGGCTTCTCCAGTCCAGAGATCAGCAACGGCCTTCTAGAACGTTGAGGTGTGATTCGATTCCCCGGGACTCCAGAGTACCTCGGGTCCCCCTAGCAGGACCCAGACAAGTCAGTTAGTGCCTTGTGGGATGGGCTGCCCGGGGCCGTGTGGGATGACAGGATGTAAGGAGTTTTGTTAACCACTTTGAGCAGAAAACGTGTAAATACTGTACACATTTTTGTACCAGGGCTTCACATGCATGCTGCCATTGAGTCCTTAGAAGTGCTTTAAGATGTAGATGCTATTAATGGTCACTCTTCACAGATGAAGTTGACCCCCAAAGTTGAATCCTGGTTTCCCCAGTTTACGTACTGGTTTGTCGGGTGAGAACCCAGGTTATTTGGTTTGATTGACTGCAAAAGGCTTGTTTTTCTATTACCTCAGAACAAATTGCCTAACCTTTGGCTAAATAAAATAAAGATTTATGGGGCTGGAAATATGGCTCAGAGGTTAAGAACACTGGCTGCTCTTCCAGGGACCCTGGTTTATTCCCAGCACCCACATGGCAGTTCACACTGTCTGTAACTCCAGTTCCAGAGAATCTGACACCCTCATACAGATACACACACACACACACACACACACACACACACACACACACACACACACACATATATGCAAGCAAAGCACCAATGCACATAAAAAATAAAGGTGGCGCACGCCTTTAATCCCAGCACTTGGGAGGCAGAGCCAGGCGGATCTCTGTGAGTTCGAGGCCAGCCTGGTCTACAAGAGATCCAGGAAAGGCGCAAAGCTACACAGAGAAACCCTGTCTCGAAAAACCAAAAAAAATTTAAATAAATAAATAAAAGGAATCATAAAAAAGATTTATTTTGTGTATAACTGTTTTGCCTGTACCTTCGTATGTGCAACACAAGTGTACCAGTGCCCTCAAAAGCCAGAAGAGGGCATTGGATCCCCTGAACTGGAGTTATGTATGGATGGTTGTACGCCACATGTGGGTTCTGGGAACCTAACCTGATTCTTCTGCAAGAGCACCAAGTGCTCTTAACTGCTAACTAATCTCTTTAGCCCCTGAGCTCAGTCATTTTTATTTTCCTTGTCAGCCACTAGTGTCTGATTTACAAATGCCTGTACATATAACCACTTGCCATTATATCATTTTTCCCCTCCTTGTACTGTTAAGACTAATACAGCTGAGAAGTAGGTGCATGTATTTGCCCAGCTGCCCCATTCTCTTCACCTGTGTTCCCCTATCCTATTTTCAAGCCCTGTGATTCAGTTAAACTTAACCTTTTTAAAACAAACTTAAGTCACCGGGCAGTGGTGGCACTTGCCTTTAATCTCCTCAGCACTTGGTAGGCAGAGGCAATGGATCTCTGTGAGTTTGAGGCCAGCCTGGTCTACAGAGTAAGTTCCAGGGCATCCAGGACTACATAGAGAAACCCTGTCTCAAAACAAAACAAAAATAACAACAGCCACCAAAACAACAAAAAAACAAACAAGTAGAACTTGACCCTGTACTTCTGGTTATGTGTCCCACCAACAGAAAGTACTTCAGAAATTAATTGAATCTGAACATGTAGATTTCATTTGTTTACTTTACTATGTCCTCCCCTTGGCAGAAAAAAGCCTTGAGTGATGAAAGTTGGAGTAGAACTCTATTTGTAGCAAAACTACAATGAAACCCAATGCTGTTTAATTTTGTATGGTGTTCTAGATTTAGACTTGTGTTTCTTGTCCATATTCAGGAAGCTGAAATCTTTGTTTACTTGTTTTATTCTAGTTGGTAGATCTTAAGGCTGAGCTCTTCCGAAAACAAGAAGAATTCAAACAAGAAAAACTTCTAAAAGATTCTGGAGTTCTTGGAAAACCAAAGACAACTAATAAGGTAAAAATATCTCTACTGATTCCAAACATGGAAGAATTACATTATATTTTAAGTTTTTGAAAAGTGTCAGTGGTTATCTCTAAATAAGTAAATGTTAAAGAAAAACAATCCCTGACTTTTGCATAAACATTTGCATAAACTTTGTTAACTATTAAAATTAGTAATGTTATTTTATACTCTTTAAAAAAAGATTTACTTTACATATGTGTGTTGTGTGTGCTTGTGTGTATACATATGTCATGTGTGTATGCCCTCAGAGACCAGAAAAGGGTGTTGAATTCCCTGGAACTGGAGTTATATGTGGTTGTGAGCCAAGCAATGTGGGTGCTGGGAACTGAACTAAGGTCCTCCGCATGAGCAGTAAGCCCTCATAATGAATGCTAAGCCATCTCTCCAGTCCCCAAATTCTTTTTTAACATGCTATTAATAAGTGGATTGTTTACATTCTCGTGAAAGATTAGCAAGTATTTTGTGTCCAAACAGAGATAAACAATTGTAAAATGTAGAAATAGACTTAGAATATGAAAGACTTTAAGAGTTTTAAATTTTTTATAGGTAGTAATCTATTTCTTTGTATTCTGCTCATGTGCTTTAGAATATTGAATGATGCTGTAATCAGTCATGGATAAAGTCATTTGAGAAAGCAACTCTGTGAAGTTCAGGAAGAAATTCTTTAGGTGATTTAGGACTTTCTTCAGCTTCAGCTGTGTCATGTGCATGTCACATCTGTTGTAGGCTGTAAGTTAGCTGTCAGAATAAGTAGTTCTTCGATGATTCCTGAGATCTAAGGACTGCCTCTCCCTTTTGATGTGCACAAGTTGAGATTGCTTTGTGATCATGTGGTTTTATTTTGTTCTTTTTAATCATTCTCCAGAAGCCAAGTATCTGGACCAAGCAGAATTCTGGTGTTTCCAGTCGAGCAGAGAAGGATGCTGAACAGAAGCTTGAGGAGCAGAAGACTTTAGACAAAGCAAGGTATTACACCTGGAAGGGGAGTTACCAAACCAAGAAATAGACATCCAGCTGTTACTCTTCCTGATGTACAGATCTGATAGACATCCTTCTAGCCAAATACTCTATAAATGTAAATACAGTGTCCCTTGATATCTGAGGGGTGTTGGTTGGTTCTAGGATCCTACTCTTCCTCAGATACCAAAGCTCAAGGATGCTCAAAATAGATAAAATAGTGTGTGGTCTGTGAAAACATTCAGTTTACTTTCAGGTCATTTCTGGATTACTTGCTATGCCTAATATGGTGTAAATGCTTTGTAAATAGTCATTCTGTATTGTTTAGGGAATAATGCCAAGAAGGAAAGCTGTACAGACATGTCCACAGTATACATTAGCAAAAATATAACATTGTTTTGGAATATTGTTTCCCTTTAGTTGAGTCTGGAGATGTGGACTCTAGATATGGAGGGCCAGCTGTCTTCTAAAAATGCTATAATTTACACATATCTGTTGTCTTACAAAAAGAAAAGAACAATTTCAGTTTAGAAGATGAAATAGGGTCCTGTTTTATGGTTTTAGCACACACTAAATATATCAACAAAAATTTTTTTTTTAATTTGGAAAATAACTTTATTTGTTCTGGGAGTTGACCAGCATCCTCTCAAAACTTGTGGTTCAGCTTCTTGGTGCTGGCAGCCTTGGTGACTTTGAGCACATTGAACTATACTGCCTTACTCGGGCCTGCACCCTCCCACAGTGACAATGTCACCAGTCTGTACATTCCCGAAAAGGGGACAGGTGTACAGATATGTTCTTGTGGTCCTTCTCAAAGCAATTGTACTTGTGGATATAGAGGATCTAGTTCTAGCAGATGACAGTGGTCCTCTGTACCTTCATCTTGGTCACAACACCAGACAGGATCTGCTCTTGGATGGAGATGTTACCAGTGAAGAGGCATTTCTTGTCTGTTTGGATGCCCTCGATGGCCTCTTTGAGCATCTTGAAGCCTAGACTGATGTTCTTGTAGTACTAAGGGAGCCTTTCCTTGCCAGTAGACCCTACTTCTTGTTTTAAAAGACCATGGGCTGCTTTTGGTAAGCACACTCAGTCTGAATGTCTACCATCTTTCCAGCAGCCTGAGAAAAAGAAAAACCTATAGCAACAATTTTTTTGTTGTTGCTTGTTTGTTTTTTCAAGACAGGGTTTCTCTACATAGCCCTGCTTGTCCTGGAACTCACTCTGTAAATCAGGCTGGCCTTGAACTCAGAGATCCACCTGCTTCTGCCTATTGAGTGCTGGGATTAAAGGCTTGGGCTACCACCACCTGGCCTATATCAAAAAATTTTTAAAACTTGTATTTCTAGGGAAGGAATCCCATGGTTTTGTCCACTGAGCTACATCTTCAACTTAACACATTCTTAAGAAGTGCCCATGGACCCTACTCCCATACTGGGTTGCCTTGCCGAGCCTCAATACATAGGGAGGTTCATAGTCTTACTGCAACTTGATATGCCATGTTTTGTTGATACTCATGGGAGACCTGCCCTTTCCTAAACAGAAACAGAAAAAAAGTGGATTGGGGCATGGGAACAGAGGGAGAGTAGGGGACAGGGACTAGGAGGAGAGGAGGGAGGGGAAACTGCAACCAGAATGTAAAGTAAATTTAAAAAAATTATTTTTTAAATAAGTGTCCTATGGTGTGTTCTAGGCTAAATGGTAGGATATTATTATTTAGAGACCCCAGACTTTCCTCCTAAACCAAGAATATAATTAAAAGAAGAGTAAAAGGAACAGTCTACTACCTGTCTCCTAAGTTCACTAATTAGCATATTGTCACATTTGCTTTCCTCTGTCCTTCCCCAAAAACTGTAGAGGAAGACTTTAAGTGTCATGATAATTTACCTGTGAAAACTTTAGTATATATCTATCTGAACAAGGATATTATACTACAATATTTAATACTACTGTGTGGCTCATAGTTCAGATTTTTACCACTTGTCCCAGCACAACTATGTCCTGAATAGGTTTTGTAAAAATTCAGGATTCACAAAGTGAGTTCCAGGACAGCCAGTGCTAATATAACAGAGAAACCCTATCTTGAAAAATCAGGAAAAAAAAAAAATCAGGATTCAAAGATTAAATTCCATTCATGCCTTTAGTTCTCAAATCTCTCCAATTCTTTTCCCTTTTGTTGTCAGTTATCCTACTGACATTTTAAAGTGTCCAGGTGAGTTTTTTTTCTGCCATGTCCCATATCTGAGTGAGGTTACATTAAAGTTGTTTGTTAAGAATACTGTGAAGTCTTTGTGTCTTACATCTAGAGGCTCATAATTGTCAGTTTGAGTCATTATTGATAATGAGTTTGATCACTGGTTAGAAAAAGTCTGGTAGAGTTCTCTACTATGAAGATGTCCATTCTCTTATGTGGTTAATAGTAACTTGGGATGGGATACTTTGAGACTAAGTATCTTGGTCATTAATATATTTCCATATGTGGTGTGTATTGTTGGTAAGCCTTGCTGCTGCTGACTTATTAGTGGGTTTCCTCTGTTTATTAGCTAGCATTCTTTTGTAAAGAAAAGGCAGCAGCAGTCTTCTGTGCTTGGAGAATTCCAAGTTGTAACATATTCCATGATAGCCATCTGCTTTTGTACATATAAGAACTCTGCAGATTCATTGGACTGAGGAGATGGCTCAGTTGGTCAAGTGATTGCTGTACAAGCATGAGGACCTGAGTTAGAGGCATGTTGTTGTAGATTTATAATCCCACTGCTGGGGAGCAGAGACAGGCAGATCTCTGGGGCTCACTCTCCAGCCAGCTTAACTTCTTTAGGGAACTCCAGGTCCCACTAAGAGACCCTGTCTCAAAAACAAGGTGGTTAACTCCTAAGGAATGATACCTGAGGTCAACCTCTGGCCTTTACATGCGTACTCATACATGGGCACCCAAAGGGACACACGCACACGCGCACACACACACACACAGAACCGCTTTGCTAGCTTACATAACAGTGAAGATGAGAAGATAACATTACTTTGTGTTATCACTTTTGTGTTGTTATTTTATGTGTTTTATTACTTTGTGTTAATTTTTGTGATAACCCATAGAAGCAATAAAAAGAATTTGCTTTTCCATCAGTCTATAGGAAGTAAGACACAGAAAGGTTAAGTAACTTGTCATAATCATGTGACTTTGTAGTCTCTTTGTCCCATTAGGAGTTAAATTTCCTATTGTGATTAATGAGATCATGACACAGATAGCCTCTTTGGGACTTTTCTTTTTAGGCAATTAGAGAATTTCCAGCCCTTTTAGCTTGCCACTACATACTAAATGCCACCAACATTTTGTGAGCAGAGAGGCTGCTTTGTTGACATGCCAAGGTTGTTGTCTTATATTAGTATGTGAGTATATATTTGTGACATTTAAATAGATATTGTCATGTTTTTAACAAATATAAGTTGGTATAAAAAAGTGTAATAAGCCACAAATGACCAGGATTCTGGTCTAAAAACACTATGGCAAAGGGGCTTGCCTTGAATCTGGTGATCCTTTTGGAAGATTTTAATAGAAAAATGTTGTTTGGGTACATCTCTCTTTTCACATGTAACTTAAATTGCATTTAGCAGCTAGATTGTTGGAGCCTTAACTCAGTGCATCCCATTTATTCACTCATCAGATATTTATTGAGCAGTTACTCTGTACCAGATATGGCTTTAGGTCCTGCTTGCACTAATGAAGTAGATGAAGTGAGTCTGAGGTCTCTTCAGGGCAGGGCAATCAGCACATGCTGTGCCCATCTTTTCATGACAGGCTTCAGGGGAGGTGGCAACTGTCAGGCTGATAGTTTGGTGGCAGAAGAGACAGCTGTAAAACCATTTCTAATACTTGTCTGTTTTTCTCTAGGGAAAAATTGGAAGAAAAGGCCAAATTATATGAAAAGATGACTAAAGGAGATTTTCCAGGTAAACAAAAGTTTATTTATATTTCTTTATTGTCTATAATTTCATACATTTCAGTATTATATTACTTCTTTGAATGATTCTAAGAGGGAGAAATTAAAAAAATCAAGTTAAAACTTTGAGTGGCTACATAGAGACAAGAAAATATTCAGTAATATTCTGATGGTCCACTGGGTGCCAGGCAGCTTGTTAGGTGCCAGGAAAGGCCAGGAGAGTATAGGGAACCAGCTCTGCTGCCCTCACAGCAGATCTCATCTGGAGGAGGAGGCACGGCACCAGGAAACAGTTTAAATAGACCAGCCTTGCATGTAGGGACAGCCATGTGTATGGAAAAGGTAAGGTATGTGGAATTATGGTCCCATGTAGGCACTTGGGGTTATACTGCCCCTTTTCCTGTTGTCTCTGTATTTTCAGTTCTTTTTCTGTGATGGGCTTTTTTTTTTTTTTTTTTTTTTGGTAACTTCATGTTTTTGCTTTATTGCATTTTGTTTTTGTTTTTTGTTTTTCGAGACAGAGTTTCTCTGTGTAGCTTTGCACCTTTCTTGGAACTCACTCCGTAGCCCAGGCTGGCCTTGAACCTACAGAGATCCGCTTGCCTCTGCCTCCCGAGTGCTGGGATTAAAGGCGTGCGCCACCACCGCCCGGCACTTTATCACATTTTTATGCATGTGTGTGTTTATGTGTATGATGTGTGTGGCTGTGTATGTTAGTATGTGTGAGTTTGGGCATGTTCATGCCACAGCATGGGTGTGTAGCATATGTTGATCTTCACCTCCTGCCTTGTTTGAGACAGAATCTGAGGGGTCTATTCTACCTCCCATCTAGCTGCCATAGGAGAACTGGGATGTGTTGTATACTAGGCTTTATGTAGGTCTGGGGATTCGAACTCAGGTCTTAACATTTGGGTGGCAAGTACTTACCTACTAAGTCATCTCACTTTTTTTTTTTTTTTTTTTTTTTCTGAGACAGGGTTTCTCTGTGTAGTTTTGGTACCTGTCCTAGATCTCGCTCTGTAGACCAGGCTGGCCTTGAACTCAGAGATCCGCCTGCCTCTGCCTCCCCAGAGCTGGGGTTAAAGGTGTGTGCCACCACTGCCCGGCATCATCTCACATTTTAAATTTTTAGTTCTCTTCTTACATTTATCCAGTTGGGAAATTTCTCTATTTCTTTCTTTTCCTTGCCTCTTTCCTTTATCATACTAATTTATTATTTCTAGAAGAAAATGGGCTTTGACCTGATGAGCTGGAGAAAAGGGTCCTGTAGGGGCGAGTGGTAAGAGCAGATCTTCAGGCAGGGAGGGCTGGAGCTCAGTTCCACCTTGCCTAGCAAACAAGCCACCAGTGGGTGTGGGCCATCATTTACTTCTTCTCTGACGGCATAGCTCTTCTGCACTTCAGGGAGTCCAGAGTCAGTCATTCACAAAGTTGGGGGCTGTGGTGACAGTGCTGGACTCCAGAAGAGGAACAAGGTGGTCATCTCCAGGATGCCCCACTGGTGTATACATCTGCACCTCACTTCTCAGAGAATGTACTTCTTCCCTTTTGAAATGCTATGTGGCTTTGAAAACTTTTTGTTTTATTCTTTTTTTCTTGGGTTCAAACTTTTATTGTTACTATAGAAATCCAGAGGCTGGAGAGATGCTGTGCTTACAGAGGAACAGAATTTGGTTCTTAGCACCCATGTTGGGCAACTCACAACTGCCTAAAACTCCAGCTCCAGGAGACCTGATGTCCTCTTCTGGCTTCTGAGGGCACTTGCACTTCCGTGCACTCCTCTCCCTCATATATGTAATTTAAAATAAAATGAAATACAGTAACTCAGTCTAAAGGAGTGTGTTTGTGGAAATTGGGTTTTGTCAAAGCTAGCAGGCCCACCTCCTGATGCTTGTAGTGTACCTGTGTGTCTGAACTGGTTAAGTCTTGGAGCCTTAGTTGTCTCCAGTATAACACTGTAAATGGGAATAGCACCACCACTTTGGTAACAGGGAGCCGAGTGTCTGTTGTAGCTCATTCTCTGTCCTCAGGAAAAAAACATGTTGATTCCAGCCCTGTAGAGCCTGACTCTAGGCTGAAAATGATGTCCACTTGTGAAAAGAACTCAGAGGATGTATGTGTGTGTGTGTGTGGTGGTGGTGGGGGGGGGGGGGGGCGGGCAAGAAAGGTCCACTATCTTGATTGGGAGAAATGCTGTTCTGCTTCTCTTATATGTTGTTAGCTGTGAGTTGCTCAAAATCGGATGGCTGTGTTGTCTTAAATGGTCTTATTACTTACACAATGTGTTGATGACATAGCAGGAAACTCAAGGCTTTTTAAAGTGTATTGTGGTCTGTGTTTTAGATGACCTATTTAAAGCTTCCTATCAGGTGCTTTGGTGGCTGTGTCTTTGTAAATTGTCTCAGGTGAACAGTCAGGCAGTGAGGCCACTTCTTAGTTCCAGCTATAGTTTTCTTCTTTAATGTAAAGAATCTGTAAATTGTTTTTTGTGCCCTAGATGAGGAAGTGGAGGATATGTACCTTGTGGATTTCACACAGAAGATCATAGACAAGCGAAAAGAAATGGAGGTGCTCGGTGCCACTAGAGATTCTAGAAATGCAGAAGAGAGAGATGATGAAGAAGAGTTTTCTGAAAAAGACATACCTCCTCCCCAAGACCCCAGCGAGGAATGGTGGGTAATATTGGGGATTAGATCAGAGTGATCCCCTCAGACTTGCATTGACTTTTTGAGAATCATTCTTCTTCATGGTTTTCACATCATTTTTCTTATTCTGCCTGGGTTTTCTGTCTCCCAAGAACCACACTCCTTTAAGTTGGGATAAGCTAGTGTATCAGTTGTATAGATTTAAGTGCACCAGTGGAAAGGTAACATCAGTGACTGCAGGTAAGAACTGAGCATCTGCTGTGCCCATTGTGGTGCTAGGCCCAAGGATCCTTGGGAATTAAATCCATGTCCTGCTCCCCTATTACCATGCTACTGCTTTACCTGTGTGCCCTGATGTCAGGTCCTGGGAAGTGGTCCCTTTTGAGTCCTGCAAAAGAAACTGGCAGAGTAGGCACAGTAAGTTGTATTCTAACTAAATTGTTTTTTGGTATTGAGGTGTGGGTTCCAGTACTGCCTTCTGCCAGTGTGGACCTAATAAATTTGCAGTCTTTCTGAGGCCTAGCTTCCTTCCATGAAAAGTAGAGATGCAGTGCTTCAGTGTCACAACTATTTCCCTTAAATTCTCTCCTAGAGGCAAGTGTGTTCCATTCTGGGAGCATAAGCAGATACTTTGCCGAGCTCCATTATTGACATTTTCCTGAATTTTACCTGTATGTACATAAAGGATGAAAGAACCCAGCCTTATACAGATCAGAGTGCAAATTTCATTACAGTGTCTTTTATGTCACTTAGACACTCATTCAGCAGAGCTTGCCATTGCTTAGATATCACTGATGTCCTGACCATGTACTCTTGTTCTGAGGGATTTCTTAGAAGCTGCTTAGGTCTGTTTGTGGATTTCTTAGCCTTTGCTAGCACCTTTGGACAGGTATTTATGCATAAAGAGAGAAGATTTTGCTACTGTGGATGGCAGAGAACCTTTGTCTTCATAATATAGAAGGTGTCTACTGTGGTCCATGCTTTCTTACCTTTTAAATAACTTATATCTAAAGTTAGAGACTCTTGTAAGGGTAGGCATGTGGCTGTATGCCACATGGAACCACAGAGAAGAACACAGCCTCTCTGTGCCTTTCTGTATCATTTGTAGTCTAAATATTTGTTTCCTCATCTGAACTAATTTTTGTGTCTTACCCTTTATTTATAGTTGATCCACTCTAGGCCTTATTACTGTCCTAGAGCTCTCTCTGTAGACCAGACTGGCCTTGAATGTACTGCCTCTGCCTCCCAAGTGGCTGGGATTAAAGGTGTGCATCATCACTGGCCAGATTGCTTGTTTTTATAATCTGCCTAAATTGTGTTTTCTGGCATATACCCCACCTACACCCCTAGAGTCCTGTAGAGCTAGGGTACTTAGCCCTCCTTGGATCACCCAATTTCTCCAGGTTTGTGCTGGCTAGAACTGCTCAGTAAGCAGTTGCTGATGAGCTAGAGCCATTGCTGACTACTGTAAATCTTTGCTGGTGTTCTGTGTGTTTTGGAAGCTTGCTCCAGAACAGAATAGCTGTGATTGCTTTTCAAGGCAGAACTCTCATCTCTTTTGAATGGTCTAATGTCTTAATTTTTTTTTCTTATTAATGCCTGTATGATTACAAGCAATTTGTCAGCAATTTGAGGAGTTTGGAGGGCAATTGAAGGTGTTGCATGACACCATATGGTGCAGTAAGACGAACAGCAAGCAGTTCCCACACTTTTTTTGTTTTTGAATTAAGCTCCAGAATTGTGACTGCTTATAAATCCTTTTGGTAATTAAATTCCAGGTGGTGGAAAATCTTTCTGCAAAAATACTGTAAATAATTACATGGACCATCTGGCTAGATGGTTTTTTCCCCCCATTCATTTAAAAAAAAAAAAAGAAGAAGAAAGAAAAGGAAAGAAAAGAAAAGAAAAGAAAAAGATGCTGTTTTATGTAGTTATAGGTTTGATTTCTTGTGACAGCAGTCTGTAGGACTATAGCAGTGGATTCCCAAGCGTTTGTTTTTAAAACATGGGCTAACAAGGAAATCGGCATCCCTTGAGAGGAAAGAAATTGCAAGCAATAGCAGAGCTAGCTGAGTCTGACCTTCAGTTGCTTTGCTAACTTGTTTCACAGCCTTAATTGTGTGTCGTGGACTCTGCTCCTGACTATGGGAGATTACTTGCCTGTGATAACAAATATGAAAAAATCTATTGCACCATAGTGCAAAGGAGATATTTTCTGTGAAAACCTGCCCATACTTTGTGTTGTTAGGAAGTCTCAGTGTTTTGTTTAACCTTACTGGGTACCCAGCTTGCCCTGTCCCTACTGTCTGCTTTGGGCAAAGATGAAAAAAAGTGTATATTGTTTGTCTTCTTCTTAAAGTGGGTCCAAAAAATACCAAGACTTACATTAAGAAACTCCTAAGATTGCTGGAAAGAATGTGTCAATTAGAAGTAGAGCAGTAATAGAAAGTAAGACCTCAGTGCACTGTGCGGAGGGGAGTAATGAAAATCTAGGGTACATAGTCCAGTGGACAAATGCAGATACAACATTAGAGTTGTCTCAACTATATTCAAGTAAGTTCTTCATGTCACAGCAATTTCTGTATTGGTAATTTGTCTTTGAAATCAGAGACATAAATGATCAATTCCTTCCTCCAGTTTCTAAAACTGAAGTTTTTGTGGAGGGCATAATAAGTTTATTGGATGTCATCTGCTAATTAAGAAGCTTTTTCTCTGTATTAATGGTCCCTCAGCTTCTTGGTAACAAGGTCTGTAATGGCATTACTTCTTTAAGTGCCAACTTCCTGACATAGGGATCTGCCCATTGTACTAACTGTTTTCCCAACTTCTCACTTTCAGGGTGGATTATGTGGACTCTTTGGGCCGATCCCGGCGCTGCATGAGAAAGGATTTACCAGATCTATTGGAGATGGATAAAAATCTTCAGGGAAGACTGTAAGTGTGAAATGTGACCTTTGTTTGGAACGCAGCCACAGGGATTGTCTTAGAGAGGCTGCTCAATGACTATTTGTTGCTCTGTTAAGATCTTTAATGTATAAGACTATACACTGAAGCCTGTAGCGGTTAATATGTCCAGATGCTCATAACTTGTGCTCAGGAAACAACCTGAATGTCATTATCATTTATTTACTGATTTTCTTTTTCTGAAACCCATTTTTTGGGGGAGTGGGGAGAATGAATCACATTATTCCCTAGGCTAGCCTTGAACTAGCTTTAAGTGATTCTTCTGACTTAGCTTCCCAGGCAGGCACTCTGTTCTGGTCATGTGCATTGTAACTGTTGAAAGGGACAAATAGACTGTTGAGTGGAAGGATGTCTGATCTAGATTGCAAATATAGAATGAGCCCAAACCTAGCTAACAAACTAGCCTTTATGGACAGAGGGATTTGAGAAGGCTCACCTGCTTTTATTCACTTTTTATTTATATGTCTTTGTATATTGAAGCAAAGGCTTCATGACTACATTTCTAATGGGACCAAAGGAATAACATTCAAAAGTATCTTGGTGATTAAAATTCCATATAGTCAGCCTTTATTTGAGAAGTATTGGTGAAGCTCCATCTGTGTGAGCCCTCCTATCCTAGGCATCCTGTGGGTAGGCCTGGAGTAAGCACATAGAGGCCACAACACAAACCATGGCCACCTACTGGGACAGGAGGAACCCTAGCAATATCCATTTCTCCAGACAAGAGGCCATTCAGAGAAGTCCAGTGGTTTATCCTTCCTGGCTAGGCCACCTCCCATATGTCAGCCAGGACAAGTGTAGGAAGGAAAGTCATTTATCTTGAACACTGAGGCAAGATCCTATCATACTCATGTGTAAGTCTAGTAATTGATTTAGAAATGATAAAATAGAGTCAGCAAGATGACTCATCAGGCTTAAGTACTTGCTGCTAATTCCTAATGACCTGAGTTCAATTCTGGGAACCCAAAATGTTTGAAGGAGAAAATAGACTCCTGAAAGTTAAAAGTTGTTTCCTTACCTCTACATCCATGCTGTGACATATGTACATGTGTGCATGGATGCCCCTGTGTATATATACACACAATATATAAATGAACGTTAAAAAAAATTAAAACAGTTGTATTGACTTCTTAGTCACAAACCTCTGTAGTTGCTGTTGTTGTTCCAAATGGTGTTACTTACCCATGATCTGCCCACTGTACTGAGTGTTAACTGTCTCATGGCACTCACCTGAACATAGGTTTCTATTCCTCTACTAGTTTCGTTAGTCCTGCTAATGAAAAAACTTTATTATCTGAAGACATGAGGAAAGAGCTTCAGCGCCAGCAATGGGAGGAAGAAGAAAGAGAGGCCCTGAAAAAGCCAATGGGGCCCATCCATTATGAAGATATTCGGGAAAATGGTATTGTGGTTTTTGGGGGAAAGGGGTTTTTTTTATTTGTGTGTGTGTGGTTTTTGTTTTGTTTTTGTAGCTTTTAAAATCTTTTTTAAAAGGCTCTAGCCAATGGCAGGCACAAAGCCAGGTGCTGACAGAGCAGCAGCTCTGACGTGGTCAGATTGCTTTAGAGGGTGAAACCATCCTCTTTGTCCATAGCCTAAGGAACTTCTTCCTAACATGTCTATTAGCCCAAGAATTTGTTCCCAGAGAAAAGAGAGACAGCCAGGGCCGAGTAGCCTGTCTATGTGTTTGTCACTTAGTAAACAATAAAGCTGTTTGACTTTTTTGTTTTTTATCTTTTTTTTTTTTAATTGTGCAAATATCACCGTGTGTCTCTTTTGGTTTGTTAGGGAACTTGCTGTATTTGTGGTTTGCTAATCAGAGAAATCTAATCTTTTGATACTTTTGATTATTTCAGAGGCCCGGCAACTTGGTGTTGGGTATTTTGCCTTTGCTCGAGACAAAGAGTTGAGAAACAAGCAAATGAAAACTTTAGAGATGCTTCGTGAACAGGTAAAAGTTAAATTTAAAGTTTTTGTTATGGATTTGAATGATTTTTTTATTGATGGGCCATGCTTTAAAAACTGTAGTAAATCCAGAAACCCATTGCCAAACATTGGGTAGAGAGAGAGCCCAAATTGGAGATATCCATCAGATTCCTCCCCTTGGAGCTTGCGAAGCCCCTTGGAAGAGGGGGAAGAACACTTAGGAAGAATGGTTCTGGCCACCACACATGCCATGACACATTATACACACATATACTACTAATAAGAACAAAACAAAACCCAGCAAAGTACAGGTTACTTCCAAAACAGTTACAATTTTAGAGTTTGAAAACCCACAATAATTTGACAATCAACTTTATGGAGTTGATTCCAGGGATTGAACTCTAGTTCTTAGGAACTAGAGAGGTTGAGGGCACCAGGAGAACACAGCTCACAGAATCAACTAAGCAAGACTCATGGGGGCTCATAGAGACAGAAGCAACAATCACAGAGCCTGTGTGGGTCCGAACTATGTTCTCAGTGTATAGATTATGGTTGTTAGCTTAGTGGTTTTTTTTTGTGGGACTCTTAAACAGTGAGAGTGGGGGGTGTCCCTGACTCTTTTGCCTGCTCTTGGGACCCTTTTCATCTCACTGGGTTGCCTTGCCCAGCCCTGATACGAGGGTTTGTGCCTAGTCTTACCCATAAGAGGCCTGCTCTTTTTTGAAGGGAAATAGGAGGAGTGGATCTGGGGCAAAAGGGAGTTGGGCTTGGGGCTGGGAGGAGTGGAAAGAGGGGAAACTTCAGTCAGGATGAATTTGTATGAGAGAAGAATAAAAAGATGTAGTAAATAAAATGAAAATTGATATTCAGAAGGCCATTGTTGGTTGCATATAGGTAACTATCAAATTATTGTGGATTTTCAAACTCTAAAATTGTAACTGTTTTGGAAGTAACCTGTACTTTGCTGGGTTTTGTTTTGTTCTTAGTAGTAGTATATGTGTATATAATGTGTCATGGCATGTGTGGTGGCCAGAGGACAACTTTATGGAGTTGATTCCAGGGATTGAACTCAAGTTGCCAGGCTTGCGTCATTGCAGCAAGCATCTTTACTCACTGAGCCACCTTGCTAGCCCTGCTGTTGTATTTTATTATTCCTTTTATCATTTTTTTTGTGTGTAAGCTCTTCCTGCATCTATGTATGTGTATCATATGCGTGCATGGTTCCTGCAGAGGACATTGGATCCCCAAGAACTGGAATTATGGATGGTTTTAAGCCACCATGTGGGTGCAGGCAATTGAACCTGGGTCCTCTGCAAGAGCAGGAAGTATGCTTAACCACTGATTCCAGCCCTCAGCCCTGCTGTTTTAAATTTAGTTTCAAACATGGCATTTTTAGATGATCTGGGTGAGGAAATAGGAAGTTGTGTTAAGGGATTGAGGAGTAGAAGAGAACTGGACTGTTTTCTTCCATGTGGAAGCTTCAGTAGTGCTCTGTGAGTTCTCACTAAGCTTCCTAAGGCATCAGAGGTCTGACATTCTTCTTCATAGGGCACTTGGGGAGAACTGCTTAGAGCTGCTGTAAAAATTAATTAGCAATTTTTAAAGAGAATTATTTCATTATTTTAAACAGAAATGTTATGTATTTGACTTCGAGTAAATAATTTTCTGACTTTTTGTCCTGTCCAGACAACAGATCAGAGAATAAAACGAGAAAACATAAAAGAAAAGCGAAAGGCTATGTTAGAAGCAAGACTTGCCAAACTTCGACAAAAAAAAATGAAAAAATCAAAGGAAGATGGGACTGAAGAAGAAAACAGAGGTATATCATGACTTAAATTTCTGACTTGAGCAGGGAAATCTTAGCTCTATCGACGTGTCACCAATAGGGTTGCAGTGTAGGAATCAGCCACTTAGTTTATCTCTAAATAACATGTGCCTTTGAAGTACCACCAGGAGCAGTTTTTATTATTGCTGTTAGATGTATCCATTTAGTTATTTATTATTGTATGTGGCTTATGAGTCAGTGTGGATGAGTATCTGCCATAGCACAGGTATGGAGGTCAGAGGACAATTTTCAACCATTTGTTTTTTGCTTTCTCTGTGAGATCCCTGGTTCAGATTCAGGTCATCAGAATGTTTCAGAATGACAGTCTCATGTTTTTAGGCAATAGACAAGGATATTAATAAATACCGCATTGAGTTGCTTCTTATAATGACAGTTTAGTAAACCAAGACTTAAAAGTTTGGCTGTGTACATATATAAGAAATAAGGTTTTAAAATTTAAATTAAAAAATATATACAGAAACATAGAAACTGCTCATATTTGGGGGGTGCCAGGTGGTGTTTTGATAACTGCATATATTATGTGATAAAAATCCAAGGTAAAGGTGTGGCCAACTGCACAAAGTTGTCCTCTGCCCTCTACATGTGTTATGGCATTTACACCCACTCACGTAGAAAAGTAAGTATTGTCAAACTACTTCACTCCTGTCTAGTAAGACATACTTGCTGCTCCTATTAGCACTAGTGATTAGTTTTACTTCAAAAGTAGTGTGTTAAATTTTTATTTTTTTTTTAATTTTGTTTTTTCGAGACAGGGTTTCTTTGTGTAGCTTTGTGCCTTTCCTGGAACTCACTCTGTGGCCCAGGTGGGCCTTGAACTCATAGAGATCCGCCTGCCTCTGCCTCCCAAGTCCTGGGATTAAAGGCGTGCGCTACCACCTCCCGGCTAAATTTTTATTTTTTATTTTTGGTTTTTCAAGACAGGGTTTCTCTGTATATTCTTAGCTGTCCTGGAACTGGCTCTATAGACCAGGCTAGCCTCAAACTTGGAGATCTGCCTACCTCCGCCTCTTGAGTGCTGGTATTAAAGGCATGTACCACCACCTCCTGGTTTAGTATGTTAAATTTTTAAGCCATGGTAATAAGGTCTTGTTTCCTTACAAAACCAGATGGAGATGTTACTGAGCTTTCGCCATCAGAACCAAAGACTGTACCTGCTCCAACCCCTGTGGTCCAGAACAGCAAGGTAGAAGTCATCATCCAGGAGAGGAAGGATACCAAGCCTGGAGTGCCACACATCCGAGAGTGGGACCGAGGAAAAGGTAGGGAGGGGCTTTTAGGTGTGAAAACTTCCTAGTGAGGCCCTTGTAAAGGTGGTTATTGTTTTAAATCAAAGTGAGATTCTGGTGAGATATTGTTTTTTGTTTTATTTTTATGGTGTAGAGATGGAATCCAGAGCCTTACACCATCAGCCCTATAGTAAGTCTTAGTGCTCCTGAGGCTTAAGGAAGTCTCCAGGACTCCGAACTTGTTTCTTCTCCATACTCCAGAAACGCTAGTTTATAAACAGGGAAATGAGGAAATGTGATCACAAAAGACCAGCATCTACAAAGACATCCTGTCCACAGAGTAAATTTCTAAAAAGTACTTGGAAAGTTTAAATCCATACTTTTAGGTGTGGTTTTACATTTTGGAATGTTAACTTTTCAGAAACTGCTTTTCAAGTGTGATGGAGGTTTGGTGTTCTGAAGTACTCTGTCTTTAGCCGTCCTTTCTGTTTGTTTGAAAGTTTACCTAAGCTTCACTGTGCATGCACATCTTTCTGTAATTTTCCACCAAGGTGCCCACCACCATCTTCACTGCAGCAGACTTTGTTTATGCCTCTTTCAAAGATACTCAGTGGAACATTAGCTCCTGCTGTTGGAGCTGACAAGAGACATCTAAGAGCCACTGTTCAAAGTGGATGAGTCCCTTCTGTGTCCTCCAGAACTCAACAAATGACAGACTGCTTTGATGTGAAACACCTACCATGTCAACACCAACAAATAATTGTTTCATTTCTCTGTAATTGTAGTACCCTTTAGGCAGTGTGGTCCAGAGCCTGTCAGCCTCTCCACAGAACCTTCCTCTAATCTTTCCTTGTTGTAAAGCTACAACTTTCTTAGCTGGGTTTCTTGTTGCTATCCTTTTTCTTGGAGAATCTGTGGTAGCTTTTAAATGCATATAAGAGCTGAAAAATAATTATAGTAAATTAAACTGGTTCATAATTGTTTCTAATAATACTCTTTCTTATTTTCACTAGAATTTTCCTTTGGATACTGGTCGAAGAAGCAGTCAGAACTCCGGGCTGAGCGAGATCCTGAGTTTGCCCCACCATCGAATTACTTTGTGGGTCAAAAAAGAACTGGTCCTTTCAGTAGCCAGCCATGGAGCAGACTGGGATCAGCACCGAGTGACTTGGGGCATTGCTCTGGCCAGAGCCAGGAGCCCAGCTCTTCACACACATCCACTTCTGCCCCTGAAAACCCACCACAAGCATCCACAGTCACTTTCCAAACACTAGATGATATGATATCATATTATAAACAAGTCACATGACCTTGAAAAGCATGCTGGTTGCATTTGTGTCATCAGAAGTCAGGACAGGACTGAGTTTTACGTCTTTCTTCCTGTCCTTTCCCTAGGATGCACAGGCTTGAGGCCAGATTAGTTGGCAGGGAGGAGTGAGTGTTCCCATGGGAGCTCATTGGCTACTTGGCTGTTCATTTTTTATCGCTTGGTATAGAGGGAACTTATCTCCTCTCCTCCATGCTGACCTAGTTGTAACTCATTTGGATTTCCAGGTGTGTGAACGGTAAATACTAATCTGAAATTTGATACTGAGGAACTTGTTTCTTTTTTAGACTATTTTATGTGTATTAATTTTTTGCCTTCATGTGTATATGTGCAACATGTGTGTGCCTGGTGCCCAAGGAGGTCAGAAGAGGGCATTGGATACCCTAGACCTGGACTTATGGATAATTGTGAGCCACCATGTAGGTGTTGGGAACTGAACCCTGATCCTCTACAAGAGCAGCCAGTGCTCTTAATTACTGGTCCATCTCTCCAAGGTGGATATAACCCTGCTGAGGAGCTTATAATCCTGCTTCACAAACACACTCACCCATAACTTCACTTACAGAGCTCCATTCATGCTAGCATGCAGGTGTCTACTCCACAGATTCAATTTCCTGAACAGATGATGGAGCAATATCAGGAGTTTTTACCTGTCCAACAGGCAAATAAGGGTCTATTATAGGAGGCAAAGTGGAAAAAGGAAGCTGGTAGAATACTAGCTAAGCAGTCACATCTGAAGCCATAAAGTCAGAAAGAGCACCTACAGTTCAGAGAGGTAAAAGTTGATTGTTGATCTGTGTCAACATGTTACTCAGTTACCTACATCCCTGTCTATGCAGACATCTGGAGTTGTGCTAAATTACTTGCGCATTCCTGAAGGCCGCTGAGCCTGGTTAGAAACCAATGCTCCTTAGTTTTACCAATTAGAGCTTTGACCTTGTCTTTCTCTCCTGCCTTACTGCCTCCTAGTGCTTCCATTGCTTGAGGCTTCTTGACTCTGTAGCCTGAGTGGGTCAGACTTGGACCCCGTTGTAGGTAGGTCCTTGCCTGTATCCTTATTGAATGGGGATGTTTGGTGCACAGGAATCCAAAGGACATCACTCGCTATGTAGGTGTGTTCAGAAGATTTGCCCATGCAACTGTAGACAGGCAGTCATGAGTTGGCCACCAAGCCTTTGGGAGCAGTGGGTCCTTTCCAACTCAAGGGAAGTCTCTGCAATGCCCTGAAGGAATAGAAAGAGGAGTTGAGGGAAGACCTTACCTCTTTGAGGGTCTCCTTGATGGCTTTGTGTCACATAGCACTGCATTATGAGTTGCAGTGCCTGGTTCTTCCTGTGATGACCTACTGGAATATGGAATGGGTCAACACCTGACTCTAGGTCATGTGGCATCTAAGTGTCAGGTCCAGGACTTAAACAACTTATATCTAAGCTCTAGACTCATGCTTTTTCTAGTACCTTCTGTTCCCAGTCTTCTTTCCCAGTATCAAGAAAGTTTAGATAAATTCCATTCTTCGAAAATTACCTCTGAGCTCCACTATTGTTGGTTGTTTTTCACTCTTTTTTGGGGGGCCCACCAGCCAGCTCCCTAATAAATTCACACACGGATGAAGGCTTATTATTACTTATGAATGTCCAGCCTTAGCTTGACTTAGTTTCTAACCAACTCCTTATCTTAAATTGTCCTGTCTACCTTTTGCCTCTGGGCTTTTCCTGTTACTTCCATAAATCTTGCTCTTACTCCGTGGCTTGCTGGTTGTGTAGCTGGGTGGCTAGCCCCTGATGTCCTCCTCCTCTTCTGACTCCTCGATCTTCCTCCCAGATTTCTCCCTCTATATATTCTCTCTGCCTGTCAGCCCTACCTATCCTTTCTCCTGCCTTGCTATTGCCCAGTTCTTTATTAGACCATCAGGCACAGTAACACAGCTTCATAGAGTTAAACAAATGCAACGTAAACAAAAGTAATACACCTTAAAATAATATTCCCCACCACTCCACAGCAAAGGGAAAGCTAGACATAATGTCATCCTGTCAGTCTCCTCAGGCAGATATATCTTAATATACATCAAAACTCTAACCTAGCTTTTTTTTTTCTCTCAGAAATAACAAATGCATCCTAAAATTCATATGGAAATGCCAGGGACCCAGAATAGCCAGAAAAAAGTTGGAGGACCAAACTTCTTAATTCAAGACTTACTGCAAAGCTATCACAGTACAAATGGTGTGGTACTGGCACAAGAACACAGGCACATATGTCAGTAGGGTAGAATAGAACCAAGGGTTTGTGGGCAGTTGGCTCTTAATGAGGGTGCCAGAACTATCCAGTGGGAAGGAATGCACATTTCACAATTTACTGTCCAGGGCAAAGCAATGAGTTTAGACTTTGGTCTGAAACCATATGTAAAAGTCAACTCAGGATGAACCAGAGACCCAAAAGTAAGGGCTGAAACTATAAAATCAGCCAGCAGAATGAAACAGCTTAGAGGAGAGAAAAAAAGAAGTAGAATTAGTAGACATGGCACAACAATTAGCCAAAGCAGAAAAGAGTCAGGTATGGTAGTGCACTCCTTTAATCCCAGCACTCAGGGAGCAGAGGTAAGTGGATCTCAATGAGTTTAGGGCTAACCTGGACTGCATAGCAAGCTCTAAGCAGAATAAAAGGAAAACAAATGATGTGAATGCTGGAAAGAAAGTACATTTGTAATGCAGAGCACCAAGAAGAGAGTGTGGTGGGATAGGGAGGAGAAGGCAGGAGGGCAGCCAGGCAGTAGTGAGCCTTGAGTGGGCCAGTGGGCATGGGAGGACCCAGCAACCACAAGCCCTGTGGTGGGCAGAAGCAGTCAAGTACAACCACTCATCACTGTCAACTAGTAACTGCAGGCCATATTTTCTCTGGGATTTTGAAGACTGTAAGTCTCTTTTTATCCCCTCTTTAGCACATCAATTATAAAGCTTTTTGGCAAGCCAGCTTATCTTCGTGTTTCAGTCCCTTAGATCAAGCATGAAATCCACTTGAGAGAGTTGTTTCTCGTGGACTAGTTTTGTGTGAGGGTGTCCAGCAGATGTCAGCAGACTCCTGAGAGTGCAGATCCCTGCTCTCAGTGCTGGCTTCCTAGGGATGCACTGAGAAGGGTCACTTTCAGTTCTGTTTCTTTCCTTCTTGGGAGACAGTTTCATGCTGCTCAAACTTGATGTGTAGCAGAAATGATCTTGCACATTTTGTAGTTTATGCAGTTTCATACATGTATGTATGTAATGCATTCCTTTTCCCCTCACCTTCTACCCTTATTTCCTTCCACCCCTGTCAACTCCTCCTTTTTCTCACAAGCCCTTTTTTCACATTCTTTTCATTTTGTTGTCCTGTGATCCACTGATTTTATCTGAGACTGTGACTATGAGTTTAGTGCTGTCTCTTGGAACCTGGACAATGACAATGACTTTTCCCCCAGAATCCGTTGTAGCCAGTTGTTCAGCAAGGAGAGGTGGGGCCCCATGATCCTCTCCCAAGTCAATGATTGCTTCTTGACAGTTCAGTCCTTTGGAGGTCCCGTGCAGGTAGTTGAAACTGCTGTGAGATTATATGTGCTGTGTCATGTGTGCAGTGACTGTGTTGTGCCCTGAAGATGGCATTTCACAGTCCTCTCTGTCTTCTAGCTTTTACGTACTCTGTTCCTTTTCCTGGTGTTCCTGAGCCTAGAGGGATGGGCACTCAGCCATCACTTGTTCCCAGAACCTTGAGCACCATGTGGTGGAATGCCTAGTCACAGAGAGACCAAAGTGTCAATATTGCATTTCTGATCCCCTGTTTGTGCCTCCATCTCCAGAGTGCTAGGATTACAGGTGTACACTATCAACATCTGGTGTATGCTTGCTTTGCTTGGAATCTAACCTGGGGCTTTTGTGCATGTTGGATAAGCATTCTGCCAACTAAACTACATTCCCAGGCCATTTTAGCTTTGTTAGAACCATATTTAAAAAGTGAAATTATTTTTTTCTATTGAGCTTAATATATCCAGAACATCTCAGTACATAGTCAGGATACAAGCACCATGAAGAGATACTTTGTTTCCTTTTTTTTTTTCTTTTTTAGAATTGGGGGGGGATTTTTTTTTTTAAGGTTTTTTCTATTTTTGGACAGAGTCTCTAAGTAACCCTGGCTGTCCTGAAACTTGCTATGTAAACTAGGCTGGCTATACACTCAGAGATAAGTCTGCTTCTACCTCCCAAGTGCTTGGAATAAATATGTGCACCACCACACCCACTTTTGTTTTTATGTGTATGTTTGAGTGCCTGCATGTATGTATGTGTACCGTGTGTGCCTGGTGCCCTCAGATGTTAGAAGAGGGAGTCATCTGGAACTAGAGTTACAGGTAGAGCTGCTATATGGGTGTTGGGAACAGAGTCTTCGGTAAGAATAACAAGCACTTAGAACTGCTAAGCCCTCTATTTTCATATTTAGTCCCCAGAGTGCACTGTAGCCCACAATGTAGCTGGGCTTGCATACTCAGTTTTCACCAGAAACGCTATCTGTATTTAGATGTCATAAAGCAGTTGAAAAAAATTAAATTCATATCCAAGTTGTCCCATACACGTAAGTTTTCTGATAATTGAATTGAGTGAAATTTTAAACTTAAGAATTTTTGTTGGTATGTTTTTTGAGATTTTGGGTTTTGTTTTGTACATGCTTGTCAAATGCACTGTCACTGAGCTACAGCCCCAGCTTCAATTTTTAAGTATAAATTTTTGTTATTGTGTGTATATTTGTGTGTGGAATGTACATGCCACAGCATGCATGTGGAGGTCAGACAACTTGGTAGAGTTGGTTCTCCTGGTCTACCTTTACATGAGTTAGTTCCAGGTTCAAAGTTAGGTTGCCAGGCTTGCTAGGCAAGCACCTTGACTCAGTTGTCTGGCCCTCCTTCCCTACCAGTTTTAAATTTGAATTAGTGAAATTGAAGTTTAATTCCTTTGCTGTGTTAGCCTCTTTTGAGTAGGACTGCTCCAAATGATCATTGTTGGTTTTGTGGCCCCTGTACATTGTATTCCTATTAGTGACCAAAGGGTTGGCAAATTAGTTTCTTCTAGGTGTACATCCAAGACATTCGGTGACTGTCTAACTTGGGAGCAGGAAGTAGTGAAACCTACAGAAGAACATCCCTGTGTTTCATTGGTGCCTTGGGAGAGCAAAACAGACATTTGAGAGGAGACTGCTTTGAGTTCCTTGTTTTCACTGTAACCTCTTCTCTGGGCCTTGTGTGTATTGGTGTAGTTCATTTGAATTGGTGCAGTGAATCATTCTGCTAGCCTGCAGAATTCCCAAAGGAGAATATTCAAATCCATATACATGAGATGCCTGCTGCACTTAGCTATATATTTGCCAGAGACTTGGGTCATTCCCCTGGGTTGCTGTTCAGCTGGCCTGGTTGTGACATACAGATGAGGCAATGGAATTTAGAATCTGGAATGGGGGGTGGGTACTGGTCTTTACAGTTAACACAACAGGGTAGCCACAGCATATGTGGCTCATTTCCTTTTGAGCCAGTGAGGCAAGCTGAGTCAGTTATATGTCAGACTGATCACATAAAATGCTACATAGCCAAGGTGAGTGAGGATATTGAAAATGACTTGTTGACTTGGAAATGGTGAGAGGAGACTCATGTTGGCTGGCTCTGAGGACTCATGTGACTGGTTGAGGCTATGGACATCTGCCTCTATGTTTGAAGAGTGGGCAAGTGTGGTGCATGTGTTACTGGTGAGGACTTCAGTGTGGTGGGGTTGATGTTAATGTCTGGGAAACTGGAAAGTCAAGATGTTCATGTGAAACCATGTTTTCTTAAGAACCCATGCCCCATGCTGGTGTTGGCAGTGCATGCCTTTAATCTCAGCACTCAGGCAGGCAGATCTCTGAGGCTACCCTAGTCTACATAGTGAGTTCCAGGTCAGCCACAGTTATTCAGTGATATGTGGTCTCAAAAACAATTAAATTAAACAAACTCTGACCTCTGGTAGAGCATTGGTGCTCTGCAGTAGTTTCTTATATCCAGGTGCACATATGTGTGTACTGTAAATGAGTGTCCACCAATAGGAGCATTTAAGATCTTATTTCCTTTTCACTCTCATTTAAGTTTCTCCCTCCCCTCCTTTTTCACTTAAATCCATTTTTAACTGCCGTGTTTTCCCATGCTCCAAAAGCCCACATGCTTTTGTCAGTGTGGCCTGGTTTCAAGCATTTTCTCCAGGCTATACTTTGTCCTCTTCTGTGTCTTATTCACTGTCAGCATTAAGCTGCCCTGAGCTGGAGCATGGTCTCCACCTTTCCTTCCTCACCTGCCTCACCCTCTTCACCATTCCACAGTCATTGTGGTTGCGGTTTTGTGAAAAGACCTGACTCTGCCTCCCTACATGGTCTTATGGTTTACAGGTACTCTGACAGCTGTGCAGGACATGTGGTTTCTTGTTTTCCAGCCACAGATAATCTGTACTGTTAAGTCTTTCTCTAGTTCTATAGATGCTATTCTGAATTTCCAGAGAATGGTGGTCAGTGCAGTGTGTAATGTAAGCACCATGGGACCAGTTTGCTTTCATTTAAGATTTCTAAAACTGAGCTGCCCAGTTATTTTTAGTTGTTGCTTAGTAGTTCATCAAAGTAACACAAACACAAACACAGGTCAGCGTTCAGACTTAGTAGGAAGGAACCACCAACCAGGGCATCTTTCAGATTGATTTAACAATTATTATCTTATACTGCCGCCTTCCCTCTGCCTTTGCAATGTCCCTTTGAACATCACTTTGAGAAGTGACATCACTAGGTCACATGGACATTCATTCTTGATTGTTCCTTTCAGGAAATTCATCTCAGTGGGGACTTGTTGACACTGCAGTGGATGTCCCTGCAGAGGAGCCAGTTATTTAGAAGTGTTGGCACCCCAGAACTGCATCACCAGGGTTTCATGTTGAGCCTTGGCATAACATGGAAGCAGACTGCATACTATCTCATCATGTGTGCTAAGATGCACTTCTCTGTGTGACCTATTTTCTTCCGTGCTAGAGAATTCTCTAGCATCTCTCTAGATACCTTTATGTGCCAGGCAGCTCAGAAGACAGCAGGGATGAGCATTTATGTTCCATCACCAGAAGCCATGCTTGTACATAGGGCATTCACACCACACGAATCACCTTCTGCAACCAAACCCTTATAGGTCATCTCTAACTAAAACCAGAGGGAACCAGGAATTAGAGAGGCAGGGCCGGATGACCTGAGAAAGCCTGCTTTCCTTTTGAGTATTGTTACGTGCACTTTTACCCAAATGTGTTCTTGGCTCAGTGCCGCGACAGGGAAGAGAGTGTGTCCTCTCTTTTCAATCTCAACCCAAATTTGCCTCTTATCATATGTGCCTTGCTGTTTTGTGGTATGTGTGCTCACATCAGTGTCACAAAAAACAGGAGTAATATGTTGCACTGTGCTGCCATGGCTGTGACAACTGTGATGTCACTAAATGATGGGACATTTCAACTCCATTATGACCTGAAGTGCTAAGTATGCATTCTGTCAACATGTGCCCTTGGCAGTGCTACATGAAAGGTTTGAATATACAGTAACTATAAGCTTTAGTTCAACAGGCATGATCCTGTTCCATCTGTGGCTCTCTCCAGGTCCCCTGTGCCTCAGAGGGCTCTGTTATTCCATAATGTGTTTTTTCTCTCCTATCTGCTTGGTGCCTTCTTAACTTCAGGGACATCCTTTGATCTGCTTTCTTTGACACTTCTTTGGGTGTTATAGTGGTTTGAATGATAGATGTTCCTCTATATTTTCAGGCATTTAAATACTTGGCCCCCATTTTGTGGCACTGTTTGTGCGTCGGGGGGTGCTTAGGAGATATGCCCTCACTGGAGGAGGTATGTCACTGAGGTAGGTTTTGAGAGCTTATAAAGACTTACACCATTTTGAGTTTGTTCTCTGCTTGTGGCTTGAGGTTTGAAACTCAAGCTCTAAGCTGTTCCTGCTGTCATGCCTGCCTGCTGCTATTCTTCCCCATTGTGATGGTGATGCGTATCTCTCTGGAACCATAAACCCATATAAACCCCTCCCTCCATAAGTTGTCTTGGTCATGGAGTTTTATCACAGCAATAAAAAAGTAACAAGTTGGTACCAGAAGTGGGTATTGCTGTGACAGACCTGTCCATGCTGGTTTTCTGGAGGAATGTGGAAGACTTTGGAGCTTTAGATTCGAAAAGCAGTTGAAGACTGTAAGCAGACCTTACTGGGCCATCCTAGTTGGAACTTGGAAAACAGTAGTGCTGAGAACTATGTGGATTGTGGAGGCCCAACACAAGAGGTTTCAAAGGGGAACTATTAGCCGGGCGGTGGTGGCGCACGCCTTTAATCCCAGCACTCGGGAGGCAGAGGCAGGCGGATCTCTGTGAGTTCAAGGCCAGCCTGGTCTATAGCGCGAGATCCAGGAAAGGCGCAAAGCTACACAGAGAAACCCTGTCTCGAAAAACCAAAAAAAAAAAAAAAGGGGGGGGGGGGACTATTAACAAGTATGCAAGATTGGTATCTTGGCAAAAATGTGGCTGCTTTCCTAAGAACTTGCCTGATTAAATTTAAAAGCCGTGGACTGATTTCTTTGGCAGAGGAGATTAAGACCACCTAGTATTGACTCTGTTGCATAATTATTAGTAACCTTATAAAAAGAGCAAGTGGAGGAGAAAAATACAAAATGTAGTTTGAAGAGAAAAAGAACACCAGGAAACTTAATGTTGCAGTCAAATCTTGTGCTGAAAGAGATAGGAAAGAGAGGTCTGATCTATAGTAAAATAAAGGGAAGAGTGCCCTCGGGGAGAGACTCTATCTAGCTAAACTTCCAACTTGTGGAAAGAAAAGGTCTAGGGAATTTTCTGCTCCTAGAAAGGAACAATAAACAAAAGTACAGCTAATGTGCCTCAGCGGGGGCCAGGGTTCATCCAAATGTGGCAGCTGAACTTGGCAATATTGCCTGTGTGGTGCTGGTTCTAAAGTCATGAAGGATACACTAGTTAAGAGGTTGTGGAATCTTCCTCTGTGGTTTCAGAGAGCTGCTGAAGCCAGGCATTTGGCTGGGGAGTCCCTGTATGGAAGCCCTGAAAAGCCATTGTGTGAAGCTGTGGAAGTGAAGCTAGTGTTGCATTGGAGACCCCAATATGTTGGAGATGCTAGTGCTGTGAGACATCTGCCAAAGGAGAAGAACATAGGGAGTGGGACCAGTCTAAGAGCGAGGCATGCAGCAGAGCTGGAGAGATGTGACCACATAAGCTCTTTGATATCAGACATGGAGCTACAGGATTTGGAGTTTGCCCTGCTGAGTTTTGGTCTTGCTTTGGTCCAGTATTTTCTTACTATGCCCTCAGTCATCCTATTTGAAATGGCAATGTGTGTCTATGCCATTGTATTTTGGATGTATATAATATGCTTTTTTATTTTAGGAGGTTACAGTTGAGAGATTGCCTTGAGCCTCAAAAGAAACTTTGGGCTTTTAAACAGTATTGTGACTAAAAGACTACATGGATTTTAAAAGTTGGACTGAATGTATTTTGCATTATGATATGGCCATGAGACTATGGGGGCCAGGGAGTGAAATATGGTAGTTTTGAATAATGGATGTCCCTCTATATTCTCAGACATTCGAATACTTGGCCCCCCAGTTTGTGGCACTGTTAGGGGGTGTGGCTTAGGGGTTATGTCATTGAGACAGGTTTTGAGAGCTTAAAGACTCATGCCATTTTCAGATTGCTCTCTGCTTGCTGCTTGAAGTTTGAAATGTGAGCTCTCAGCTGTTCCTGCTACCATGCCTTCCTGCTGCCATGTTTCCCCATTGTGACGATGATGCTTATCCCTCTGGAACTGTAAACCCTTCCTTCCATAACTTGTCTTGGTCATGGTATTTTCTCACCTCAATAGAAACGTAACTAATACAGATGTCCATGGCCTTTGAATTTTTCTGAAGTGTGATTCCTATTGTAAGCCAGTTTCATTGCATTCTTCCTTTTATCATTGAATTCCTCAAGGGCAAGACTCATGTCTCAATCCTGGAAAAGCGAATGACAGAATAAAATTGGCTAGATAAGGAAGAGAGTGGGGGTGACCTAAAATGGCCACTTCTCAGAAATCACATTTGATAGCAAGAATAGAGATGTGAATGAAGAAGTGGCTTGCAGACACTAGGAGCAAACACAAAAGGCCCATCTTCCCTGTGAGAGAAGTTTGGAGACAGGAAAAATGATGGTGTGGGGGTTCCATAATGTTATTAGGAGTCCAGGTTCTGTTGTTCTGTATGGTTACCCCTAGCTCATGGCTTCCCTCTTCAAGGTAACCTCATGGTTCAAAATGACTGCTGGGAATATACCCATCTCATCCCTTCCAGGCAAGACATATGAGAAGGGCAGTGAGTGACTAAAAGGTGTTCATTCCATAAAGGCAGCCTCCTTTAAAGGTAAGTCTCAAGGTCCTCTACCCAACAGCTTTACCTTCATCTTAGGTAGAGTGTAGTAAGGCACTTTTTAAGGCAAATTTTGAAGAGATGTAGTAATGTTATTTGTGCATTTAATTAAAATAACATTTCTTTTTAAATTGGTTGTTAGGTCTGAGTAGATATGTTTCCAAGTATACAAAATACCTGGTAAGCATGTGGGAAAGTACTTAGCATCACTAGACATGTGGGATTGTAAATCAAATTACTAACTTCCTATCCACTGTGATGATTCAAGAATCAAAACAATAATAAAAGGATTTGTCCACAAAGGCATGTAGAAATTGGGACCTCCCTAACCTTGCTGGTGACTGTGAAGCCGTGATGCTGCTTTGGTAAAGTCTGGCAGTTCTTCAGAAAGGTGGACATTGCGTACTGGAGAGATGGCCCAATCAGTAAAGTGTCTTCTGTGCAAGCATGAGAAACTGAGTTCTGACCCTATCACTCCTGCCTGGCACAGCTATAGCCCCGGTGTGGTGTGAAGAGTGAATGGGGGTGGGGAGAGACAAAGACAGGAATATCTCTTACAATTCATTGGCCAGCCAGTCTAGCCAATCAATGAGCTCTAGTTTTAGAGAAAGACACTGTCTAAAAAAACCAAAAGTGAAATGGAGAATGATCAAGAAAGTCACTAAAAATTAGCCTGTAGCCTCCATTTACACCCACACGTGCACATGTACCCTCCCACACATGTAATTCCTTTCCCCCTCCCCACAAATAATATATGGGCTAGTGAGATGGCTCAGCAGGTAAAGTGCTTGTTATGCAAGCCTGGGTAACGAGTTCAGCCCTTTGAACCCATGGAAAAGGAGAAGGAGAAGGTCAACTACACACAGTTGTTCTCTGACCGTCACATACATGCACAAAAATAATGATAAAATAAAAAACAAGACTTGTTTTTGTTTGTTTTATGTATGGGTATTTTGTCTGCATATATGTTTATGCACCATATGCATGGCTGGTGCCCTCAAGGCCAGAGGAAGGCATCAAATCTAGAACTGGAGTTATAGATGGCTGTGAACCACCATGTTGGTGCTGGGAATTGAACCTGGGTCCTCTAGAAGAGCAGCCAGTGCTCTTAACCATTGAACCATTTCTCCAGCCCCATGATACATGCACTAAGCCCCAGCACTAAGGAGGCAGAGATAAATAGATCTCTGGAAGTACTGAGGCCAGCCTGGTCTACATAGCTTCAGGCAAGCCAGATAGATCTACAGTGAGACTGTCTCAACAAACAGCAATAAGACACAAAAAGTAATGAAGTACTTATACATGCTGTTATATGAGTGAACTGTTAAAAATTATTTGTTTTATGTATATGAGTGTTTTGTATGCATATGTGTCTGTGCACTATGTGTGCAGTGCCTGAAGAGGCCAGAAGAGGGGCATTAGATACCCTGGGTCTGGAGTTACAGATGGTTGTAAGCTACCATGTGGGTTCTAGGAATTGAACCTGGGTCACTCTGAACTGATGATCCATGTCTCCAGGTCATGGCTATTTTTTTTTTTTTTTTGAGACAAGGTTTCTTTGTGTAACCTTGACTGTTCTGAAACTTGCTCTATAGACCAGGCTAGCCTTGAGCTCAGAAATCTGCCTGTCTCTGCTTCCTAAGTGCTGGAATTAAGGCATGTGCCATCATGCCTGGCCCATCATGGATAAATTTTAAAAGCATCATGGCAAACAAAACAACCACCAGAAAGGACCACATATATATTTATGTTTTTATTTTTTGAGAATTTCATACATGCATATAATGTATTTTGACCATATCCACACACACACCCATTCCTTCCCACTAATCCCCTCTAAAATCCCCTAATCTTTTCACTTGGTAACTCCATGTCTTCTTCATTTCTTTTTTTTAAAAGCCCACTATATCGGCTGTTTTCCCTTTTCTGTGATTAAAATACCATGACCATAAGCAACTTACAGAAGCAAGAGTTTACTTTGGCTCACAGTTCCAGAGGGAAGCCTGTAATGTCCAAGAGGTGTGGCATGGTGGCAGGAACAGGAAGCTGACTAAAAATTACAACTTTATCTACACACTCAAAGCAGAGAGAGAGACAGAGACAGACAGAGACACAGAGAGAGATAGAAAGATAGGAAGTGAGGCAAGGCTATAAATTCTCCAAGCCAACCCTGTGATACTTATGTCAGCAAGCCTGCATCTCCTAAAGGTTCCCATAACTTCTCCCAAAATAGTGCCACCAATCTAGGACCAAGTGTTCGAATACATGAGCCTGGGACATTTCTCATTTAAACCACCATGACCATCAAGTCCAATTAGTATTGTTGATATATGCATGGAAGTGGGTCCATCAGCTGGTACATAGGCACCATACCAGTGGCCATATTTTCAAACAAACATGACTTCTTCCTCCAGTAGACATCAAGTGCCAATATCTCCTAAAGGAATAGGAAGGACCACATAATTCATGATTCCATTTATGTTAAATGTCCAGAAAAGGCAAACATGGGGTACTGGGAGATAGCTCAGTTGATATCTTGCTTGTTGTGTGTAGCCAGTTTTCCTGGTCCCACTTGGCTTGCAGCTGCTCAGACCCAAATAAACACACAGATATTTATATTAATTAAAACTGTTTGGCCTAATGGCAGGATTCTTGCTAGCTAGATCTTACACCTTAAATTAACCCATTTCTATAAATCTATACCTTGCCACGTGGCTCGTGGCTTACCGGTATCTGTACATCTTGCTTCTCGTGGTAGTGACTGGCAGCATCTCCTGACTCAGCCTTCTACATCCCAAAATTCTCCTCTCTCCTTATTCCGCCTACACTGTACTTCCTGCCTGACTATTGGCCAATCAGCATTTTATTTATTAATCAATCAGAGCAACACCTTCACAGCATACAGAAAGACATTCCCAGCAGTTGTGCAAGCATGAGGGCCTGAATTTGACCCTCAGTACCATATTTGCCATGTGTGGTAGTTTGTTTTGTAATACCAGTACTGGGGAGAGACAGATTCCTGGGACTCACTGATCATCTGGTCTAGCCTATAAGTGACTCCCAGGCTCCTGTAAGAGACTCTGCTTAAAAAAAAAAAAAAAAAAAAAAAAAAAAAAAAAGTGTATGGCTCTTGAGAAACAATACCCAAGATTGATCTCTAGTCTCTACATGCTTACATGAACATGCACATAAATGTATATATACACATACATAAAAAAATAAGGGGCAAATCTGGGGCTGGAAAGATGTCTCAGTGGTTAACAGCATTTACTGCTCTTCCAGTGGACCCAAGATCAGTTTACAGCACTCATGAAAGGCAGCTTACAACTGTCTGTAACTTCAGTTCCAGGGGCATCCCATGCCTCTGGCCTCTGCAGGCACCTGCACTAATGTGTACATACCCACATGTAGACATATACATCTACACCTAATTAAAATAATTAAAAAATCTTAAAAACAGATAAGTCTATATAGACAGGCTAGACGAACTACTCTAAAATCAATAGTAATATTGGCCGCATTTCTGAATATATGACACAAAAATGTTCATGTTACAAAAACTGAGGCATATGGTGTGGGTGTTATAGCTCAGTAAGCCTGTTTGAAGAATTGTCTTTTATCTATTTGTATGGCATGTCTTTGTAATTAACCTCAAATGGTAGGAACTAGTTAGGAGGATGGGGGAGAAGTTTCCCAATCAGTTAACATTGCAAGGATTCCAGGGATTGCTTAATTATCTTCTTTTCTTCATTTGAATCCTAAGTGAAGGAGGAGGAGGAGAAAGAGGAGGGTGGGATGGTGAGGTGATGGGAGAAGAAATGTCATTGTCATCATCATTTGCCCTGTACAGTTAGGGTCAGACCTCTTTGATTTACTGCCCTAATCCCTGAGATTCTGAGTGGTATCTTTGTTCTGTGGACTGACCATTCCAGAACAAATCTGTTTTTCTGAGTCTGCAAAGCTAAGAAATGGCAATGCCAGAGGTCAGCAGATAGACACAGGAAGCCACTTTGTCTTCAATTCTGTAGAATGTTAGGAGCTTTGTGTTATTGGACTCTTGCTGCTTGGGAACTTTGTTCCCGATAGATGGGCAAAGATAGATGGGATAACTCAAAGGCCAGGGAGAAGTGGTATAGTGTTTGCAAAAGCCTCCATGCTTTGACTCTAGGGATAGACACCTCCCAATCCAGAGCTCTGGCCCCTCATCAGCAAGTTAGGAGAGAGAAAAGTCTTCTCACGACAGGTTGTGCACAGCTAGTGGGCCTGGACCTTCTCTGCAAGTGCTACAGGTGTGTGCCTGAGGAGCTGTCCTGGAATGGTCCTGGAACTTGGGGTGGCCCCCAAGATCAGAGCTTGAAAAGGGGAAGAGGATTGCCTATATGGAAAAGTGGTGGTCAGGACGGAAAGTGGACAAAGAGATGGCTGGACAGCTGCACTCACTGCTGGTGCAGCCAGCAGCCTGCCCTCTGCTCTTGGGGTTAACAGCAAACGTGCTGGATTGGCTTCTAGATAGATGGCAGAGATGAGCCAGCACTGCAGAGAGATGCTAGAAAGGCACAAGAGGAAAGAAAATCCTGCTTGAGCTTCCTTCAAATGGACAGTCCCGCATGTTGCCCTCCTGCGCAGGTTTATATCCTCATGAAGGCCCTCAGAAATAAGCAGGCATTGTTGGGCATTGTTCTTGTTCAGCATAAGGGCCAAAGGAGGATTTATATTTTCATAGATATGTTATAGGCTAAACCCAACACTCCCCACCCACCCATGCTTACTTGAACACTGAGAGTCCTCAAGCAGCTCTGTTAAAGAAGGAAAATGCTGCCGGGCGGCGGTGGCACATGCCTTTAATCCCAGCACAGGAGAGGCAGAGGCAGGCGGATCTCTGTGAGTTCGAGGCCAGCCTGGTCTGCAGAGTGAGATCCAGGACAAGCACCAAAGCTGCGCAGAGAAACCCTGTCTCAAAAAACAAAAAACAAAAAATTAAAAAAAAAAAAAAAAAGAGGAAAATGCTTCCCACAGTCCACTAATGTAAGGGCATGCATTTTTTCACACTGTAACCTCTTGGCAGTTGTGTTACATCAATGGCATCCTTCTAACAGTGCATTTACCAATTGTTGCTGTCCTAAACTTGGTGGAATGTGGCCTGTGGTATCAGATATTGAACTGTGGGGTTGCATTGTCCTTTATGCTTTGCCACCTGGCCTAGGTTGTATGTGTTGAGTAATCCAATGCCCATCCCAGGTTTGTGACCAGGAGCTCCCATGTTCCTTGTCTCTGGAGAGAGCCAATGGCATCCTTTTATTTTTGCAGGCTTTTATCAGTAGAGCACAGGCAGATCTTCCACCCTCAGGTCACTAACTACAAAAAGTTTGGTGAGACTTTCCTTCTTGCCCTGGCCTTTTTGTTCATCTAGGTACTCAGTTTCTGTGACCCTCTCTGGAACTTCTCTGGGCCCATCCTCAGCAGCAGGCCTGTCCCAATGTAACTCACTCATTGCTGTTCCTGGAAAGATGAGGGAAGGGAACAATGCTTTGTTCTAGCATGGAAAATGACCAGCAACTTCCTTATCCTTCTGAGACAAACTGCTTGCTCGATGACATGTGAGGGTTATTTCTGCATGTGCACTCCATCTTTTCCAAAGGCTTCTCTGTAGGTAAGAGCTTCTGACCCTAGTCACTTCACTTCTCAGACTGCTGAGTCTTTACAGCTGAAGGTCCCTCTCCTCTGAGATGGACAGTATCACCTAGCAGTATGCTTGCCCAGACGACATGAACCAGGTCAAAAGTAACCGAGAACTGTTCCTACAATACTCAGCCACAGCCCCCAAACTGCTGGCCCACGTCTCCAAACTCCTCATTGTCTGCCGAAACGCAGGCATTTCCATCCCAAAAGGCATCAGGAATATCTTTGAGTTCACCTGGGAGGAGCTCATCAGCGACCCTGCAGTGCCCACCCCATCTGACATCCAGGATCTGGTAATCACTTTTGGGGCTCCTACAGTGGTGCTTGCAGAGGTGATCCCAGTGCAGCCCCCCATCCAGAAGAAGCCAGCTCCACCACCACCACCCCCAATACTGCTCACAGCCACCAGCGGGGGCAAGCACTCGGCCCCCACCCCTGCCTCTGCTCGAGTGGTCCCCCCTGGCCAAGATACCCTGCACAAGTTCCAGCGGCAGTCCATCCACCTGCTGACAGAGCTGCTTTCCCTGAAGATGAAGGCCATGGTGGAGTCTGCCTCTGGTAAGGCTGCTCACAGATTGCCCTCCATTTCTACACAGGGGTGTGTGTGTGTGTGTGTGTGTGTGTGTGTGTGTGTGTGTGTGTGTGTGTGTGTGTGTGTGAGAGAGAGAGAGAGAGAGAGAGAGAGAGAGAGAGAGAGAGAGAGAGAGAGAGAGTTGAGCATCCACAGTCCAGAATCTAAAATACTCTGCAGTCTGAGGATGTTGAGTGCTCACATAATGATACAGAACATTCCACAGCTGATGATGCATGATGATTTGCATGTAAGACAATCTTCAGTCTGCATACAGGGTACACATGAAACATCAGAGAATTCCATGTCTTTGAGTCCATCCCCAGATATCTCAGTATATACAGGAAGACATTCCCAAACCCCAATCTCTCCAAAGCTCCACACTCTTTTAGCCCCAAGCACTGGGGTAAGGGATACTTAACCTGTATAAGTATGCACTGGGAATGGGAGTGGTAGCCATGGGTCTGCTGTAAGAGCAGTGCTTCCCTCTTCCCTGCCCAGTACCCTCCTTTTGCACCCTCTGCTCTCCCACTTCCCTCCCAGTTACCCATCTCTGGAGTGCCCATTTGAAAATTAGCAGTGGTGGCAGTGAGAAGTTATAGACACTGAAGGAAGAGTTTGGGGTGATGGTACAGAGGTGGGCAGAGCTGCATTGAAGAGTGAAGACATAGAATTTGTGAATCAAGAGTTTGGTCCAGCCAATGCCAAGGATATTTCTGAGCCCAGTGCCTCCAAACTGAGGCATCATTCCAGGGCTGAGGAAGAACCTAAAGCAGTGTCAGCAGCAGCCTCTTGGAGGCCTCAGGCAGGCAGGCAGGCAGGCAGGCAGGCAGGGGGACTTCCCAGTGCTGCCTGATGGATCTTGAGCTCTCTGCTCAATCGAGTGTGCATGTCAGGAGCTCCTCATCCTTACATCATGAGTGAGTCTTCACCTTTTCCTGGGCCTTCCTAGTTTTTCACTATTTCTGGGCCATTTGCAAAGGTCTTTTTCTGGAAGAGTCATCCATGCCAGGAGGAAAACACTTTGTCTTTGCTCATTCCCTCAGCAGGTGCCAATCCTCTGGACATCACCAAGCGCTTTGTGGAGGCCAGCCAGCTCCTCCATCTCAATGCCAAGGAGATGGCCTTTGACTGCCTGATTGGCACTGTCGGAAAAAGCTGCTTCCGTACAGCACAGCTGAGGAAAGGTGGGTGCCCTCCTGTAGGGAAAATGTGCAAACAGCCATCAAGAAGGTACTAGAAAGGCAAAAGCTACAGTTGAAAGGCCAAAGCTCCCAACAGCTTAGGTGGCTGTGGAGCAGCAGGATCTGTAGATGCCATGCTGCTGACAAGGAGGGCTCATCCACCTGTGGTGGAGGGCAGTCTAGATTTTTGTTGGTGGAAATGTCTGCACCTCACAACTCACAGTGTAGCCCCTTTTGCGGTCCTTCTAGAGTATGCTTCTCAATAGTCTATGGTAAAATTTCTAAAATTTCCAGTCTGTTGCACACCAGCCCTTTAGTACACATGGTAAGGATGTCACAGCAATGATGTCACTACTCAGATCCTGACACTCTATGTCTGAGCTCACCTGCTCATGGCATATGGGAATCAGCTCCCATCTGCTGGCCACAACTCAGCCTCATGCATACAAGCAGTCCTACAAGAATGCTTATTACAGAATCATTTGGAAAGGCAGAAAGATTAGAAAAAGCTGTCCATCAATGATGAATAAATTATGGTTCATGCAGATACTGTTTCATAGTGAGCAACAAAAATGAATAAATCAAGCTGGGCATACAACACACACCTGTCATCCTGGCACTCAGGTAGAGGCAGGAGAATTAGGAGTTGAAGATCCTTCTCAGCTACATAATGAGTTCTAGGCCAGTCTGGGCTACATGAGACCCTGTATCCCTACCCTAAAGCATTAAGTGACTCAGAAGTGTAAGTAATTCTCAAAAAATATCATCTGGCAAAAGAAAAAGGTGTGAAAGGATGTGTTTGTGGTGATTTATTTAATAGTTTAATATAAGCAAAGAGATGTTTATGAATGTGTCATAAAGTATAGGTGTACAGAACAGGAGGAGAAACAGTAGAGGTGATCTTTGGAGATGTGGAAGTAGGGGAGCAAGACCAGCAATACCACAATCACTCAAGTCAGCAGTTCAATGTTTGTCATATGGCTTCATTTCACTTACTTACCTGTGTGTGAAGAGAACAACTAAGTTCTACCCACCTTCAAGTATATATACAGTAAAAGTGACAACACCTCTATGCTGCTCATTTGATCCTGGTTTTTACCCAATACCAACATCATCCTGGACATCCACAGCAACCACCGTTATTCTTTCTATTCTTTTGAATGTTTTAGATTTCACACGAGTGAGCTCGTGCAGGGTGTATCTTTGGTGCCTGGCTTATTTCACTTAGCATAATGACCTCTAAATTCCTCTATTTTGGTGTAAATGGTGGGATTTCATTACTTCTTAAGACCAAATACTATCCCACTCTGTGTCTGTATCGCATTTTCCTTATCTGTTCACCCACTGATGGATACTCAGGCTGATCCCATTGGGTTGTTGGGAGTTATGCATAAGTCACTTATACAGACATCTCTTTATGACACTGACTTCATTACCTTTGGATACATACCTGCAAGTGGAGTTGCCATACATTAGTTCTATTTTTAAGTTTTTTCTTTTTTGTTTTGTTTGATACAGGGTCTTGCTATGTAGCCATTACTTTATAATTTGCTTGCCTTAGATTTCCAAGTGCTGTGATTACAGGTGTATGCCACTCTGTACAGCAATTTTAATTGTTCAAGTAATCTTTATTATGACTATATTCAGTTACAATGGTACCACAATTACAAAACTCTTCCATTCCCTCATTAGCATTGTTATTGTTTTTATTTTTTGTTCATTATTATTATTTTGTTGTTTTTGAGACAGGGATTCACTGTGTAGTCCTGTCTGTCCTGGAACTCACTCTGTAGACCAGGCTGGCCTCAAACTCACAGAGATCCTTCTGCCTCTGCCTCCCGAGTGCTGAGATGAAAGGCGTGTGCCACCACCGCCCGGCTATTGTTTTTATTTTTGGTAAAAGTCACAATATGATATTTCATTGTGGCTTTGATTTATTATGTTCTTCTGATGATTAATAACTTTAAACTTTTTTCATATATTGTTGGCCATTTATATGTCTTTGGCAAATATCCATTCTGACCCTTGGTCCCTTTTTTCAATCAATTCCCCCTGTGATGTTTTCTATCTTCAGCTTGGTTTGTACACTAGTGTTCATTTGAATGCTAGCGGTACTGTCATTAGACCTCAGAACAAATTTTTTAAAAAAAAATAATTTATTTAACTTTATTTTATGTGCATTGGTGTGAGAGTGTCAGATTCCCTAGAACTGGAGCTACAGACAGTTGTGACCTGCCATGTTGGTGCTAGGAATTGAACCCAGGTCCTCTGGAAGAGCAGCCAGTGCTCTTTACCACTGAGCCATTTCTCCAGCCCCCAGAACAAATTTTATACCGGTGCTCTGTCACCTGCAGTCAGCTACCATTACACTACTCCCTGCCACTAAGGCGGTGACTTTGTCAAGTTCTCCTGATGGTTGGGGGTTAAATACCTGATAATGACAGACACATCTAGAGCAAATCAGTTAAATAGTAAAATTCCATATCTAGGGGGAAAAACACAGGACTTCATGGAAGTTAACAAAAGTGATGCGGAAATCCCATGAAAGCTGCTGGTGCATGCTGTGGTGGGATGAAGAGGGGATGGAGAAGTTCCAGGACAGTCAGGGCTACACAGAGATCTCACAACAAGGAAGGATGTCAGAGAAACCGAAGAGTTAGGAGTAAACAAGAAAGCCCTAGGCAGACCCATGTTCTCTTGCTTTACACAATTATTCAGGGAAAAGAAAATCAAACAAAAACTCAGGACACCATCTTAAATTTTGTAAGATTAGCACAACATGGCATAGAATTAGTATCAATCAATTTGCTAAACAAGACAAAATAAGGCTATTTTGATAAGTTTAAGTTTCTTTTCCTAAGATTAACTTCCAGTCGGACATTTCTCTCTTTCTGAGGAAGAGGAAATAGAGGTATCTTTTTTAAGGGATTTACTTGATGCCAGTCTGAATTGGGTCGGCTAGGCCCTGGTGCCTCAAGTCCTCCAGTGTTGCTGTAAACACTGGGTGGAGAGTGATTGACACAAGGAGAGTTCTAGACTCTGTGTTCTGTTTCAGGGCTTACACACTTCTGTGGGCTCCAGGCATTTTACATGAATGTGAGAGTGTGTCAGAAGACCTCATAGGAGCCAGGCAAATCCTTGAGATTTTCATACCCAAGTAAGGGCAGCCCTGTATCCACAGATGTGTAGGTTCAGCCAATCGGCAGTGAGGGTGCAGAGACACAGCTTCAGCTGTCACCCTCAGCAGCCTGAGTGAGGCAGGAGATGGTTACACTGTTAGGGACCTCGACTCCAACAGAACTGGGAAGCATGGCTGCTCAAAAGAGGTTCAGGACCAGCTGGCTTATGAATAAGCAGAGTTGGAAATTTTATTGGAGATATTTGAACACAGTCTTAAGTATGAGGGTTTAGAAGAAGAGAGCCAGGAAGAAAAAAGTAAGACACACTCAGGTGTGTGTGTTAGGGGGTGTGCTTTCCAAGGGACAGTAGGGGAAAATAATATATACAAGCATGGACAGGGGTTCCTCAAGGGAGAGACACAATTAATTGTCTTAGTATTGGCCATATATACCATTTGATGGCTCTCAAGTTACATCTCAAGAGATTACTACAGTTTTTCTCCCCTTTTTCTATTCTTTTGATGAGATAGTGAGGTGGCTCCAACCATGCCTAGGATGAGATTATAGCCTGAGGAGGTAAAACCAGAAGCCACTGTTTTGTCCTTTCCCCATAAATGGGGATTCTGATGAAGTCCCTAGAAAATTGCCACTTCACATCTGGGAGAGAGCAAGGCCTTGAGCAGCACGGTCACCTGTGCTAGAGAGTTCGTGCTTTGCTGGTGGGAGGTTTCAACTTCATTCCAGGGTGCACGGGTCCTCTTCTCATGTCACTAAAATTTTCCCTGCCCCAAACCAACCACAGAATTAAAAACATTTTTAAGGGGGCTAGAGATGGCTTGGCAGTTAAGAGCAGTGGCTGCTTTCTCATAATGACCCAGGTTCAGTTTCCAGCACCCACATGGCAGCTCACAATCACCTGTAACTCCAGTTCCAGGGGATCTGATGCCTTCTTGTCTCCATGAGCACCAGGCATGTATGTTGTGCACAGATACACATGCAGGCAAAATACACATATATAAAATAATAATAAAAACTTAAAAATTACTTTTAAGATTTTGCCTCTGGCTGGGCAGTGGTGGCACATGCCTCTAACCCCAGCATTTGGGAGGAAGAGGCAGGCAGACTTCTGAGTTAGAGATCAACCTGGACTACAGAGTGAGTTCCAGGACAGCCAGGGCTACACAGAGAAACCCTGTCTCGAAAAAACAAATATTGCCTCTGTTTGGAGTGTATACATTTTCCTTCATTGCTTTTTCCTAAATAACACATGGCAGTCATTGGCATAACATTCATATTGTGTTAAGTGTCACGAGCCATCTGAGGATAATAAAATGTACTGGTTGGGGAGATAGCCCAATTAGTGATGTACCTGAGTCAAATCACTAGTAATGCCAGTGCTCAGGAGATAGAGAGGAGGATCCCTGAGGCTTACTGGCCAATTCAGAGACCCTTGTCTCAAAAACAAGATGAAGGGGACAGAGAGAGTTAGAGTGCTTACTGCTCTTGCAGAGAACGTGAGTCCACCTACCAGCATCCATGTCAAATTCTTGTAACTCCAGTTCTAGAAGATCTGATGCCTGTGGCCTCTGCAGGCACCAGCACTCAGGCATGCATGAGCACACATGAACACACACACACACACACACACACACACACACACACACACACACACAGAGAGAGAGAGAGAGAGAGAGAGAGAGAGAGAGAGAGAGAGAGAGAGAGAGAGAGGAGAGAGGAACCAGTGTCCTGTGGATACTAAGGATGATTCTGTTCTGAGAAATAATTCCTACTGTCTTTAAAAGATTAGTTGTATTTCATCTCATGAAGTACTTTAGGCATATTTTCAGAATGACAGGCTTTTGTCTCCCAGGTACAGACCTCCTGAATCCCTCAGAGCTTATGATTCATGGGGTAACAGTGAGAAGAGAGTTCAGCTGGACTGTGACCTGGAGCATCATTGGCAGGGGTGGGGGTGGGGGTGGGGATGAAGAAGCCCCTCCCATCATGGAGCTCACTCAGAAATCTCTCACTGGCTAATACTTGGTACAGATGTTCATCTCTCCCACTTTAAAATTTTTTATTGCTATTGTATATGTGTTTATGATGTATACATGTGGAGGTCAGAGGACAACTCTATGGAGTCCATTCTCTCCTTCCATCGTTAGACAGGTTCTGGGAATTGAACTCAGCTCATCAGGCTTTTGGAGTGTTTTTATCTACTGAGCTATCTCCCTAGCCTAAGATAGTCTTCTCTTTTTAAAAATGTTTGAGGGGGGCCGGGCGGTGGTGGCGCACGCCTTTAATCCCAGCACTCGGGAGGCAGAGCCAGGCGGATCTCTGTGAGTTCGAGGCCAGCCTGGACTACCAAGTGAGTTCCAGGAAAGGCGCAAAGCTACACAGAGAAACCCTGTCTCGAAAAACCAAAAAAAAAAAAAAAAAAAAAAAGTTTGAGGGTTTTTTTTTTGTGGGGGGGTCAAAATAGTCAAATACAATGGAAGGAATCCATTTATTTCTTTTGGGAAAGCATTCATTTGACTCAGGATTTTAATTAGCTAGATTTCCCAGTGCATTAAGTTCAAAGTATGATAGTTTGTTACAAAATTTGTGTTTTTATTGGCTGCATTCTAGTAAGTATGCCTGGCATATCTCTTTAAATCTAGCCTGAATATACCCTTTGCTAAGGTAACATTTCCATGGTCATAAGACTGCTTCCGGCTTGTCTTCCTGTCCTGACACCTGCCCTCGGGCTTGTCACAGACAAACACAGGGCTGCTCCTTTATTCTCATCTGACAGTGACATTACTGAGTAAAATATCCAAAAAGAAAACACTCTTGTTATCTTGGTTCATGCATACATGTTTTGATAGTATTGTCATTGTCTCTCAGTTTCTGTTACATGGTCAACTGAAAATGTTTGCCAGGGTGGCTGAATGGTTTGCATGTGAGAGGGGTCAGATTCCTTCCAACACTCAAGTTCATATTTAAGAGCTTAACCTCATATGCTTTTTGCTTCTACTTCTATATGCAACTGTATGCTCATCACTTCTTCCTTCTGGTGTATCGATTAAGATTAATTTCCCAGGTGAGAGATTAGTAGGGCAGAGGGTCACAGTCTGTGCATAACTTCTACATGACTTTTCTCTACACGGACAGCTTGACAAGTATTAGTTCTTACTCATTTTTCTCTTTTGAACTAGAGTAGAAGGTACTGAAAGCTGTTTTCATTTTAATACTTGAAACATTAGCAAAAGTGATTGATCTTGTATTTTGATCATCCAGGGTGGGGGCTTTGTTTATAGTCTTTGTCTACTTAATGAGGTTGAGTTTACCATTTTCTTTATGAATTTGAGTGTGTTGAGTGAATTTCTGAGCATTGTCCAGCACTGGTTTCATGCCCAACTAGTAACATAATTGTATCTGGGGAAATAACAAGTGAATGAGGCAGTGGGCTTTGTATAAGATTGTAACTAGGAGTACAGATAGATATCCTACAGAGACCACTCTTCCCTTTGGCTGTCTGACTACTGACATAATGAACTCCAAAGAATTGGGATTGCCCCAGGAGTCTCGTGCTTGGGAAGGGAAAGACTTGGACCTTGTTGCTAATCAGTGGGGAAACTTGTCTCCAAGGAAAAGATTTCACACAGAGCGAAAAACTTGCAGGGCATAGCTCAGAAGCAATGCTTTGTCAGTGTTGGGTAGGACTGCTTAGTAATACATAATTCTTGTCCTCTCTTTAAACCTAAGCCTCATGTAGTACCAAGAAGATGGACTTGTGGGTTGGCAGGGGTCAGTGGACCTCTTTATTTATTCCTCTTCCCAATGTGGCCAAGGGTACTACATTAGAACTAAGCAGCCACCTCTCAGGTGGTGGCACAGAAGACAGTGTGATACTGTGGGACTGAGAGACTGTTGGAAGAACATCTGATTCCTGTGCATTAGATAAGGGAGAGCCCACTCCCATTCCTTCCTCCTTGCTGCCTAGCTTTGTCCACACTTAGTGCCACACTGACATTTGCATTTGCCCTTAGAAGAATTCACCTTGTGCTTGGTTTCTGCTTCTTATGTAAGTGTGAGAGGCTCTTCACCCTTAAGAGGCTGGGGCAGGGAAACCTGTAAAGGAGAGCCCTAAAATGTCCCTTGCTATTCTGAGCTCACCTATACATCTAGAAGTCTCTCCTCAAAAGACTTCCTGGCTGGTTATGACTACAGGTAACTTTGTAATATCTGGCCCACTATCTTGTTTAAACAAGAAAACTATATTACAATTTTGCAATTGAACTGAAATTTTAAGAGATGGTAAAGATTCATTCTTCTTCCCTAGAATCCTCCGTGAACATTTCTGCCATTGGAGTGAGCACACCTTATCAGCTGGTCTACCAGACTTCCACAGCCTGCCTGAGCTTCTCCCTCTCCACAGGAAAGGAAGTCAAGAAGAAAGGTGAGGAAGACAGTAGTGTTTCCAGCCAGACACATTCTCTCTCTCTCTCACTCTCTCTCTCTCTCTCTCTCTCTCTCTCTCTCTCTCTCTCTCTCTCTCTCTCTCTCTCTCTCTCTGCCTCTCTCTCTGCCTCTCTCTCTCTCTGTGGGGGTGTTATACACACACCCCTATCCTTGGTGATGGTGGATTGGGAGGAGAAATGAGTGACTGGATCTGCATCTAGCTTGTGCAGTTGGTGACTGGTTAGGTCTTATGTCTAATAGAAGGGTGTTCAGCTCACTGAGATTCAGCAGCCTGTGACACGGATCCTTACAAGCACCCCAGAGCTGCAGCATATCCAGTCACTGCAATCAGAATTGCATTCCATTCCCATGTGTGTTCTCCACACAATCCATTCCTTCAGTCCAGACAGTCTGTGATACCTGTGAGTGAGAGAGCTCTGTCCAGCCATACCATCAGTGGGGAAATAGTGGTATTTGTATCCCAAGCTTAGCAGGCTCCAGTTCTGTGTTCTAGAAGGGGCTACTATGTGTGGGCGGAAAGCAAAGCCACAAAAGACTCCCCTGACCTGTTGAGAAAGGTCCACACAGAAAGGCCGTCTGTTTATAGTCTTTGCCTACTTAATGAGGTTGAGTTTACCATTTTCTTTATGAATTTGAGAGGTGTGTGTGTGTGTGTGTGTGTGTGTGTGTGTGTGTGTGTGTGTGTGACAGGCTTTTGTCTTTCACAAGACGGAACTTTAGGAACAAGAGTAGGTGAGAGAAAGAAGCTCCGAGGGGAAGGTTTGGTGGAGAGGGACCTGCTAGGAGTCAGAGAGGCCTCAGGACCTTCCACCCACCCTGCCAACTATGATGACAGCATGGACTGGACAGACAGGCAGGGGAGGATTGGGTAGTGAAGGAGGGCAGGGTTGACTCATTTTCCCCCTTTGATTCCCACAGACACTGGAGGTAAGGCTGGAAGCTGAGAAGCTTGAAGCCAAGTCTTCACCCCTCCTGGCTGCCTGTATGACTTGCTTTCCTCATGCTTCGCTCTCCTTGGTAAAAGGGGACTGGTTATAGGGAACTATGGAGGCATTAGCATTAAGCCCCACTTCATTGCTATTGTTGCTGTTCATCACTGTTTTCCACAGTCTCTGATGTACCTTTAATTATTGACTGGCTGAGTTAGCAGCCAATGATCCCCATTGCTGCAGAGCACAAAAGAACCTCTTAACATGTTCTGCAGCCCTCCTCCAGGAGAATGTGATGCTCAAGAACTCACCTCTAAAGCCCACCATATTTCATCCTCACCTCTAACTACAGGCAAAAAGGCTATAGATGAGATCACATCCCCACTCCCTCGAGTTCGAACCCCTCCTGAAAGCATCATCTTCGAGATCCAGGACCCCTGCCCTGAGGCCCGGGAAAAGCTGCAGGATATGTGTCGCCACATGTGAGTGCCTAGATATGGGGATGGCATCCACAGGACTTGGACAAAAGGATAGATGGGTGTCACAGCAGTAAGTGCACTCCCCATGTCAGTCCAGCTGCGGCCTTCACACACACACACACACACACACACACACACACACACACACACACACACACACACACGTGCGCGAGTCCATGGTCCTTCCAATTTACAGATAAGAAAAGTAAAGCAGTTCCTGAGCTCACCCAGCTCTGTCAGCCCAACTCCTGTTCAATGCTCTCTGCCTCTGCAACATCCTCCTTCACCCAAGGAAGTCCTTTGTGTGGCTCCTGGCAATTCATAGGCTTTGTGCCCTAAGTGGTAATTTTTTGGCCTGATTTGTGAAGTATTCAAGAAAAAGAAATCTCCCCAAACAAAATATTTCATCCATATTGGTGATTCATAGTATATTATTTGGGAACACTGTGAGGCCTAGCAGAAACCTATTTCTCTAAGGGTCCAGCTCATAAAGATTAAAACCATTTCACACCTAAGTCATATATATCTCCTGGGATCACCGGGCCAGGGCACAGGTAGGCAACAGCCACCCTGTTCACCTCTAGAAGGAGCCCACCTAGAACTTCAGGATGGGTGAGTGAGGGTATAGTCTGTCTCCAGCTGCTCCAGAGTTCCCTCTGTGCATAGCTCCATTCCATAGGTCCAGACAGACATTCAGACACAGCTTGCCTTTTCCAGGCATTTTCCTATTTCCTCCTAAATATACTACCTTTGCATATGAGGAAGTACAGGAAGGGGATGATACTTCAGGACAAGGGGACTGGGGTGGGAGACTTAGATGCTGGGAAGGGGCTGCAGAGAACCTCTCTGGAGAGTGAGAACCGAGCGCCTAGAAGATGCGTTCATCTCCTTCCCACAGAGAAGCCGAAAGGATCTTGTGGAGAGGGAGGAATATCTCCTGCCCCATGATTTTACGCAACTACAGGGCAAAGATACCCTCTCATTTAATGTTGACCTCCAAGGGGGACACTCACCATCCTCCCACTGCGGGGACTCAGATTACTACTTCCACTCCTCACCAGCCTTCCAGCCACCATGCTCACGCGGGCCGCCATTCTCAAGAGTGGAAGGGGCCCAAGAAGCCCATCAAGCTGCATTACACTTTCTATGATGGCTCTTCCTTCATTTAATATCCTTTTGATGGGTGTTGCTCTTTCTCCCTAACTCAGCCCCAGAGAACGCCAGGGCTTGAAACAGCTAACTGTTCAATGGGGATTCTTGGTCAACTAGAGAAGCCTGGTGAGGATGCTCCAGGGGTAAGTGTTGGTTGGTCCAGGTCAAGCTCTGGAGGGACTAAATTCAGTTTAAGTACAAGTTCAGTGTAGTTCAGATCAGCAGGAGTATATCAAGCCCCTGATACTTGTGAGAAGCTTGTCTGTGTAGGTGGGCCCCTGCTTTTAGGACTCTGCCAGGAGAGAGGAAGCTACAGACAGGGTGGTTCATTTACAGCTGAGAGAAAAAGTGAGGTGTCCCTAAATGCTTTGGAGGATGTTTCTGGACCCTCACTCACTAGTTGTGTCCTGTGGTCCTTGCACTTCACCTCCAAGGTCCAAGTGCTTGGAGTCTAAGCACTCATCCCATTTGCCGCACATCTGTTTGATCTGCAGCTGAGGTCTGCCTTGGTGTGGCTGAATCCGAACGTTGGGTGCAGAGTGGCAGAAGAGGACACGTTTCCCACATGAATCCGATGGGCACTATAGACCCTCTTTCTAGAAATAGCACGTGTGTGTATATCCACATACGTGCAAATTGTGAGCTGCAGCTGCAGGGAACTTAGGGCTGGTGGAAAACTGCCTTTCTGCCTGGGCTTGAACTCCAGCTCAGGAGAGCTCAGATGCTGAAAAGGCAGATCCCTTCAGAGGGTGAGCCCACGGTTTGTGCATGCCTTGGTAGGTTGAGTTGGCTGATTTTTCTACTCACAGAGATGTAACAAGTAGCTATTATGTATGGTGGATCATTAGAATGAACTGGATAGACCATTCATGAGAGCCTCAGAGGGAGCAACTTTAGTTTGATTGCCATCTTCTAAAATTAGGAAAGGAATTTGAATTTGACCATAAGGGTGAAAAAGAGAGATCCCTGTGGAAAACATGGAGGTAGAAAGTCCCCTCAGACACTGTGCCTTTCAGGCTTCTCTCACTTGTTCCCTCCCCAGCATCTTCTAGAGCTACACCAGATCCAGATGCCTAGCCTTAAGTCAATGTGAACTCTGAGTCCATTGGAGGTAAAGCACTTATTCCAGGTTCTGACTACACTGATTTCAAGGATGGGATACACAGAGTCATCTAGTTCTACTCCTTTGTTGTGGAAACAGAGAAACTGAGCCCCAAAGAGACAGTGTGACCTACTAAATGTCACAAAGGGAACTTGGTGGCAAAGCCTCGAGAGAAAAGGGGCTTTTGTGCCTCTATTTTGGTCCTCTCTCAGATACCAATGTTATGCCCTTAAAGATTATTCTGCATAGTAGAAAGCATGGAAAGGAGACTTGAAAGGGCCCTGGGCTCTCAGATCTTCTCCCATTGGAGCAGAGGGCAGGTGTCTGAACTATCTCAGCTACTTTCCTGGGGCCATGGCACTGAAAAGACTTGCCCAGCAACAGCCTCCTCACTTTGTTCCACCTCCTCTTGACTGAATTGGGGATTCAGGATTTAAGTGCCATGTCAAAGAAGTCTCATTGTTCCTCTGCCCATAAATGAATCCCTTCTTCACATCCTCCCAGCCCTGCCTCTCCTGCTTCCAATACAGAAGAAGTAAACTCCTTCCAAGGCAGCTGCTGTTTGAGAAGGCTGCGGTGTGCCTTTACCCCTTATTTCTGATTCTTCACTGCATTAACCATGTTCAACACTGTGTTTACAAGTTAGCTTTCTTGGATCTGTGTTCCTGCCTGTCCCAGAATTCTGAGGTGCCCTATGTGGAACCACCTCAAACCTCTTGTCCATTGCTGCAGGAACACTTGACTTCTACTCCAATAGTGATGACATCTTGACGATTAGTTCATTTTCTTGGGAGTTACAGGGGCCAGGTTCACTTATTTTCTATAATCATTGCTTGTCTGGTTGGTGTGACAAAATACCACACCAGGTATTTTGGGGAGGAAGAATTTATTTTGGCCCTCAGTTTGAAGGTATAGTCCTTCATGTCAAGTATGGTGGCAGATGTGTGAAGTGGTTGATTACATGAATCACAGCCAGGAAACAGATGAATGCCAGTTCTCTGCTTGCTTCTTCCTTTTATCCAGTCCTGGGACCCTGGCCCATAGAATGGTGCTGCCCACATTCAGGATAGGTCTTCCAACCTCAGTTAAACCCCTCTTGGAGGAAATGCCCTCACAGACACCCCCAGAGGCTTGTCTCCTACATAATCCTAAATATCATGATGTTGACAGCCACATTAGCCATCACAGTGACCCTGCACACATTATTCAATCTGTGTGCCTCACTTCTCCTGGTTACATGATGAGTGAGCTGGATCCAGTAGTCTTAAAGAAGTTCTGTTTCACTGTGTTCAAAGGCTAAGGTGCACCAGCCAGCTGTTGGATCCCTCCTGAGTGAAACATGTTTGGAAAGCTTTTCTTCACCTCCTGGCTTCTTCAGAATTCTGTTTTTACACACAGAGCTCAGATAAAAATGATAGGTCTTTGTTCATGGTGGCCAAGTTGGCCAGTTGCAAGCTTTAGCTGATTTGAACCTCCTGGTGCAGCCCTCAGAACCAGTTCTGTGTTCATGTCACCACTCTTCACAGAAATCAGCTGGAATCCCCTGGTTTGGACTTGTGCTTTCCTGATGACAGTGATGCTGAACAACTTTGCGTTTGCTTCTCTCTGGCAAGCGGTCTTTGGAGAAATGTGTGTTCTAGTCTTTTGCTCATGCCTTGATTGTGTTTTGGAGTTGTTGCTAGAACTTGAACCTAAGGCCTCAAATGTGCCAAACACATTCTACCACTCTAACCCCAAAGGTTGTTAATTTTGACGAAGTCCCATTTTGTTGCTAATGCTTTGGGTTTCAACATCCATGACATCATTGCCGAATCCAAGGTCATGAAGATTTGCCTGTGTTTTCTTATATCAGCTTTATAGGTGAAGTTCTTAAGATAAGTCTTCGAGGTATTCAGGGTCAGCATTTGCGTCTTGTATGAGCTCAGGGCCTGGTTTCCTTCCTCTGCACAGGGGTGTCCTGTTGTCCCAGTGCAGTTTGCTGAAGAGACCATTCTTTCCACTTGGAATGGTCCTGGAGATCTTGGCAAAAATAGATGGACTATGGATGGAAGGATCTATTTTTAGACTCATTTTTAATCCACTATTCGAATTTTGGTGTCTATCCTTATGCCAGACCACAATGATTTAATTATTAAAGATTTGTAGTAAGTTTTAAATCAACAAGTGTTGTGAGTCTTCCCAATTTGTTTGTTTGGTTTTTTTTTATTATTTGAGATTTCTTTCTTCTTTCTTTCTTTTTTGAAATAGGGTATCTCTGTGTAGCCCTGGCTGGCCTACAACTCACAGAAATTTACCTGCCTCTGCCTCCCAAATGCTAGGATTAAAGATGTGTGCAACCATGCCTGCTTCACTCAGTGTATTTTACTTTTGTAGATATCCTTTCTGTCTCCTCTTTTTCCTGGCTTTCTGGGACTCCTGTTGTACATATGTTGGTATGTCTAATGATCTTTCCAGAGGCTCTGAGATTCTATTCTTTCTTGGATTTTTTTAAAAGATAGTACCTCACATTGTAGTTCAGGCTGACCAGAAACTATGTAGCTCAGGCTAGCTTAGAACTCACAGTCATTCTCCTGCCTCAGTCTCCAAAGTTCTGAGATGCTAGGTATGAACTATCATACCTAGTTCCTTCTTTTCCTATATGATGTACAGTCTGGATAATTTCAGCTCATTGGTTTTCCAGGACAATGATTTTTTTCTTTTGTTGTTTTAACTTGCTGCTTTATTTGTTTAATGAAATCTTTGTTTCAATGATTGTACTACCTATCCAGCTCTAGAATTTCTGATGGGTCACTCTGTGGCATCTCTACCTGCTTATCACCTTCCCTCTTTCCATTTCTGTTTTTATTTGGCTGGTGGGAAAGATTTAGGAGGACAAATTGTAGTACTAGTCACTACAGTCCTCCTACTTGGAGCACTGGCTTCTGCAATTCTATATAGAGAAGTAGCTGCTGACACTGTTCTTCTGAGGACTAGTGCTTCTTGGGGCCTCCTGAGCTAGGGAAGGAGCAGAGAGAATATATTTTTCTACTAGACTGGCTGAAAGGGGAGGCAGCCTGACAGTACTAGAAATACTGCTGGTTCTGGAGATCATGCTCTGGCTTTGTCACTCACTTGTGGTACAAGATGAGACAAGGCATGGGGTGACCTCCTCACCCTGGTTTTCCCAAGACCTTCATGTTTGAGCACTAAAAGTCTATGTTCCCAGTACCATTTAGACCTGTGAAAACCCGGACATGTGAAATGGAGAAAGGCCCTGGGGCATGGCTGGGTTCCATAATTGTTTAGTTGTGACCCATGCAAAGCACAGGTAGGACCTTTGAAGGAAGGGGACAATGCACAGCAGAAGAATTCTTTCCTATGGAGGCTCGTTGCTGTGGGGATTCTGATTGTAGCCAGCTCCTGGAGAGTTCTCTGTTAGTTTGACTTGACTGTATCTGCCAGCTATCCCTCCGGAAACATCGCCATGCTTCAGATTCCCACGTGCTGCAGAGGGAAACCCATCACCTGCCTCTTTAACGACGTACCTAACACCTTCCTGGCTCTGTTCAATTCTGATGGCCAGGGCTGTGTTTACTACAACCTGAAGAACAGGTGAGTAGGTCAAGGGAAGTCTAGCCTCATGAAGTATCCCTTGAGGTAATTGGTTCCATAAATAAGGTAGTGACTAAAAGTTCCTAGTTAAAGGAGTCTAGGGAGGCACTGAGGCAAGGGAAGCAGTGCCTGTGAAACTTGTGGTACTTTGAGGCCCAGCTGTTGGGTACATGTTGCACTTTCCACGGTGAGAAGAAACCCACTCTAAATCCACCACTGGGTACACCAGAACACAGATCTCCATTCTTGGTCAGATGTACAGGGTGGTTTATTTTGGTTTGTTTTTGTTTTTCGAGTAAGAGTTTCTCTGTGCAGCCCTGGCTATCCTGAAACTCGCTCTATAGAACAGGCTGGCCTCAAACTCACAGAGATCTGCCTTCCTCTCTGTGATCTCCCAAGTGATGGGATTAAATGTGTGCACCACCACTATCTGGCTGATACACAGGGTTTTTGTTGTTACTGTTTTTCAGTGCTGAGGACCAGAACCTCATAAATGCTAGGCAAGTACTCTGCCACTGAGCCATATCCCCAATTCTCACCCCTGGAAGAATTCTTTAGTGGAAAAGGTGTCTTACACTAGGAACGGGTAAACAAGATGTGTGAATACCACTTTTGTGGTGTATTAATTACTTTACCCATTACTGTGGCAAAATACCTGACATTAGCCACTTGAAGAAGGAAAGATTTTATTTTGTTTCACAGTTTCAGAGGTGCTAGTTTGTCATAGCACAGTGGATTAGAGAAATTCACATCATGGTTACCTAGAAAATAGAGAAAGGGGCTTACAGCAAGGGACCAGAGCAAAATACAGCCCTCCTCAAGATGTAACTCAGTGACTAAGTTCCTCCACCTAGGCTTCCTCTTGTCTTTCACCACTTCCTAATGATGCCAGCATATTATGAACCCATCAAAGGATTAACCAGATCTGTTCATCTCTGAAAGCACAGATAGACCCAGAGGCATGCTCCACTAATCTAGGCATGTCTAAGCTACTCAAATTGACAATTCAGATTAACCACCACATGGGGTGGGGTCTCTTAAGAGCAGCACATACTCTTGACAGCTAAGAGTTAATCTTTATGTAGCTTTTCATAAGTTGTTTTGGAAGAAGTTACTTCCTTTCATATTAGATGTTCTAGCTCTCATTTTGGTGCTTGATATCTTTGTGATATCCTTTCTGGACTACAGGAAAAAATCATTTTTCATCTTTTGGGTTTTGCTTGAGCCTATATTATCTGCCTCAGCCTGTACCTTCTCCACAGATGCCCCACTAGCCTCAGTTGGTGTAAGGAGTCTTAGACTGCAGTGGGTGGAAAGGTGAAGCTGGTCACACGAGTCCAGATTCTTTCCTTCCCTTCCTCTAGTTTATGTCAGGTAAACATTCCTTCAGACTGGGCCAGACTCTCCCAGCCCTGCCTGCCTGTAGCCAAAGTGACGAGGGAATTCTTTCAGAGCCTATAAGTAGTTTCTATCTTCTGTGTATCTCCCAGCTGTCCATATGTCGTGGTTTTGGATGAGGAAGGTGGAATCACAAATGACCAAAAGGGCTACATAGTCCATAAGTGGAGCTGGGCTAACAAGACTGAGACATTGCTCTCTCTGGAATACAAGGTATGTGGGCATCATGGGTAAGGGGGTGGCTTCCACAGGCTACTCAGCATCAAAAGGCAAGCACTGTAAGACAGCACTGCCCCAGCGACCACATGGTCTTGTTCAGAGGTCATCAATCAATCAGTAGTGGTCCAGAGTAGACTCACTTGCTTTTCACCAGCCTATAGCAACTGTGGGCTACTTTACTGATTCTTCATGGTAACCTCCTTCCTATTTGATTTTTATTTATATTGTTCCATCTTATTGTAAAATATTCATTTTATGAAGCAACATTTATAGTAGTTGACAACTTAATTTTTAATATTTTTAGTTTTTTAGAAATTTATTACATTTATTTTGTGTTATATAAAACTGGCTAGTAAAGAACTAAGCAATACTTGAAGAGTTGGAGAACTTGGGCTCCTTTTGTGCTAGCTGGCCTGGACTGAGCTCGTGCTCTGTGAGTCTAGTTACTGCCCACTTGTAGTTGCTTACAGTTTTTATAGGCTTGTAATTTCCTGCCTGCATGGCTGTTTGCAGGTAGTCTTTGTGTTTCATGACCATGGAGGGAAATTTTCACTGTGGTTAAGCATGCTTACAAAAGCGAACAGTATGGGTATCAGTTAGGACAGTCTACCTTGAGTAAGCAGGACTTGTTGTCTAATCAGACAGCTAGCTGTGCCAGCAGGGGCACAGAAACAGAATTTGGCATACTTATGCTGGAAGCAAGGCTTTTAATTCGTTTGTCTCTGTATCTCTATAACTCTTAAGCCAAAATTGTTATTCAGCTATCAGAGTGTGAGACAGCAATTTGACTAAGTAAGGAACATACTTAATAAATGTACAGCATTTATTTATTTATTTATTTATTTATTTATTTATTTATTTATTTATTTATTTATTTATGTGTGCGTGCGTGTGTGCGTGCGTGCGTGCGTGCGTGAATGCGCGTACGAGCATGAGGGCATGTCATAACACACACGCAGAGGTCGGGGACAACTTGCAGGAGTTCGTTCTCTCCTACCATGTGAGTCCCAAGACTTGAACTTGTCTGTCTTGGCAGAATGCACCTTTACCTACTGAGCTGTCTTGCTGACCTTATAGTTTTGCTTTGTTTTTTATAGTGCCCACTGTGTGACTTTCCTGGAAGATGTGAACAAATGTCTATTTCACCCTAGATAGGGCATGAATGCATGACCAAAGAAATGGTTCTACCATAGTCTAGCTTGACAAACAAGTTTATTGGAGTTACTTATCAATGTATGAATGAGAGTTACTTGCAAAGCCTGAATGACTCAAAAGCAACTAGCTGCATTAGTAGACATCTATCTTGTCATGGTTGATAATGCACAAAAGATGTATCCCTGGAGTTCTCTACACAGCTTGTAGACAGCTAGACAGGTACTAGAGTCTCTCCAGACAGCTTAGCTGGTCCTAGAGTCTCCTCCCAGAAGCTGTTTATCTCTTGTATAATCTAGGCAGAGGCCCTGTGAATCTTTTAAATTTCAGTTTTCCTAGATTTGCAAGCTTATTTATTTCCTAAATATGAGGAGCCTCCTTCCTTCTTCCAGGACAGTGTTCCAGTTCAGAGGAAATTGCTGCACAATAATGCCTATCTGTGGCAATAATGCAGACAGGCTGGCACTGAACTCATAATCTTTCTGCTCAGTCTTCTGAGTGCTAGGATTACAGGTGTGCACCATCATGCTCAACTTTTTAGCATTGGCCTTATTTTAGTTCACCCTGGAGCTGCACAGCAAAGGTCTATGCAATCAGAAGTAGTCTGGAATAGAAAGTGGCCCATGAGTTATAACATGGAGTGACAGTGTAGGATGCTTCAGAGGTTGGGGAGAGAGGAGGAGTCTAGATAAAATGAAACAATAAACATTACCCCTAAAGGCTTTATGTTGGAGGGCCTGGTGTGGCACCTTTTAAGAGTTCATATGTTCTTCCTACAGAAGAAAGGGGACAAAAGGAGTGGATGACATAGGGGGGAATGACAGGCACCAGGGGTCAGGCTCTGGGGAGTTTGCATGCTGGCTTCAACCAGTTTTCACTCAGATACTGGCTATTTCTAACTCCCTTCACTCTGCCATCCAAATCTAAGCTACTCACTGCTATTATTTCTCTTCAACTTGAAGAACTTCTTTGGCAGTTTTATAAACACACATCTTCTGGCAACAAGTTTGCTGTTGTTTTCATGTGAAAAATGTCATTGTTAAGGGATAGTTTTATGAGATATGAGATCCTGAGTTGACTTTCTTTTTTGCTTTTAACATTTTAAAAATAGTGTTCTATTATGCCTTCCCTCTGTAGTTGAGGATGAGAGTCTGCATCTGTAGTTACCCAAATCTGTTTGCTTTCTCTGGTTGCTACTTTTTAAAGGTTTTCTCTTGGTTTCTAGGCTGCTGGTTAGCTTTTGTCACTTTGACACAAACCTAGACATATCTAGGAAGAGAGGGAATCTTAATTGGGGAATTGACTCTCATATCAGATTGGCCTGTATGCAAGTCTGTGGGGGTATTTTTTTTAACTAATGATTGATGTGGGAGGCCCCAACATACTGTAATTAGTGTCACCCCTGGGCAAGATGGTCCTGGGTTGTATAAGGAAGCAAACTGAGGGGCTGGAGAGATGGCTCATTGATTTAAAATATAGGCTGCTCTCCCAGAAGATCTGAGTTTGATTCTCAGCATCCCTACGGCAGTTAACATCCATCTGTAACTCCCTCTCTGACCTCCATGAACAGTGTATACACATGGTACACAGACATACATACAGGCAAAACACCCATACATATAAAACAAAAATCAATAGAAGAAAGAAAAGAGAGCTGAGCAAGTGATGGGGAGCAAGGCAGTAAGTAGCATTCCTCCATGGCCTCTACTTCAGTTTCTGTCTCCATGTTCCTGCCATACTTGAGTTCCTGCCTTGGCTTCTCTCAGTGATGGACTGTGATGGGGACATGTAAGTCAAACCCTTTCCTCCCAAATTTGCCTTTGGTCAAAGTGGTCTTTATCACAGGGATAGAAAACAAACTAGGACACTTAAAGTTTAATGATTTGTTTAAGTATGATTGTCATATTTATTCTATTCATTTTTGAGCCTTTTAAAATTGTTAAGTATATGTAAATTCATTTACTCAAATTTGGAAAATCTCTTACATCATTCCTAGATGTATAAACAATACAAAATGCAACTGTGTACCAGATTTTCTCCTTTTCTTTGGAGGTTCCAATTATACGTAGGTTTTTTGTTGTTGTTGTTTTTTGTTTTATTTTTGTTTTTTGAGACGGGGTTTCTCTGTGTAGTTTTGGAGCCTGTCCTGGATCTCACTCTGTAGACCAGGCTGGCCTTGAACTCACAGAGATTCACCTGGCTCTGCTTTCTGAGTGCTGGGATTAAAGGTGTGCGCCACCACCGCCTGGCTTATAGTTTATACTTTTAAGGTGTGTGTCTATCTGTCTGTCTGTCTTTGTGTGCCACATGTATGCAAATACCCATGAAGGCCAGAAGAGGGCATTGGAATCCCCCAACAATTGTGAGACACTTGATATGGATGCTGGGAACTGAACTCTGGTCCTCTGGAAGAGTAGAAAATGCTTTTAATTTCTGACTGTTCCATGGGTCTTTCAAGCTCTTTTTTGTTGTGTTTCTAATTTTGTCTCTTTGCTTTTCAGAATTGTGTGATTTCTCTTGATCTGTCTCCAAGTTCTCTAAATTCCTTGTCATCTCCATTTTGATTTTATGATAATGTTATAAAAGGTTTAAATTTCAGTGTTCTAGAATTCTCTTTAGTTTTATATTTTTTTAATCCTTTTGCAGAGAACTTCCCTTTTAACAATTCACAAGATTATTTCCCCTTATATCACTGAATATTGTTACATCAGGTGTCTCAGAGTATAATGTGTACAGATTTCTGTGTCCTGGTTGTGCCAAACATGGTCAGCTTCAGTCAACAACCTGTTGCCTTGAGAATGTCTCACGTTTTACTAGTCCCTCTTCTACCATAGAATTTTGGGTTACAGACTGCCACTGTTATGCTGTGGACTCTTGGAATCCTGGTGTCTTTCTGAGAATGATATTGGCTGTGCTTGTTCTGAGAGGCAAAAAACTTGGTCAAGCTGAAGCTATGAACCTTTCCTTATCGGCGGTAGACAGAACTCAGATCACAGCATTTTAAATTGCTTGACCTGTGAGCTGTCTTGAGACTGCCTTCTCATGCAGGGTTCAGGGACTGGCCAGAGATGTGGGCAAGTTTGTACATATAATTCTAGGCTTTCTGCAGACTCAGTCCTTTCCAGAACTCTTCTGTTGCCCATGTTCTGTTCTTTGGATTCCTTCACCAGAAGGTGGTAGTTTTAGCCATGACTGTGGCCTCTAAGCTAGAGCTTTGAGACGGAAGTTCCTCTCATGCTCATCCTTAAGTTTTAGCTCTTCAAAATCTGCCTGGGTTTGCTCATTCTTCTGAGTCACTAAGTAGTTGTTTTGGGGGGGGGGGGGTTGGTTTTGTTTTCTTCTTCAACTTTTTAGTTACCTGTGGGAGGGTCAACCTGTTAAGGGCTGGTTCAGCTCTACTAGAAGTAGGGCCAGCTGCTTAGTTTTTAGGCGGAGAGTTGGAATGCTCAGTTCAGCCTCAATGTAATAGGTCAACAAGAGGTAGAGACCAGATACAGAGAACTGACTCAGTGCTTAAAACTGTGTACTACCCTTGTAGAGGACCTGAGTTTGATTTCTAACACCCACATTGGATGGCTCACAATGATCTGTAACTCTCTAATTCTAGGGGATCCGAAGGCTCTGCTCCCCTGGGCACCTGTACTCACATACACATAGCCCCCCAATACACATAATTAAAAATAATACTTTTTTTTTCTTTAGAAAAGGAAATACCAGCAGATGAATGAGTGGAATGACTAGTGAGGTTACTAGCTAGACTTAACATGTCTATTAAAGATGTTGGCAGTGTTTTTTTAACAGGAGCCATTTCAACAGATGAATGCTAGCATCCAGGCATGAGCTGTAGAGACAGATGCGAATGAAGATATTGCAAGATTTCTGGGATTCAGAAACGAATATGAACATTTTAAAATTAATTTTTAAGTTAGCAAACAAAACAATGGGCTTGTTATAAACATTTTACACATATATATTGCTATACCCCTTACAGTTTTAGATGTGCTGATTTGACTCAGTTGAATGCCTCTCTGGGTACCTACGACCTTATACCTGACCTGGGACAAGAACTTAAAAAAAAACAGACATATCAGGTAGCAAATGATCTCTTAAGAAGAGGAACCTTGACTGAGTTTATAGAGCATCCATATTGTAGGCTTTAGGAGAGGGCACATCCCCAGGAAGTGGGATAGTAAATAAATAATAGTTGTACTATGTTAAGCTTTATACATGTTTTAGCCCATAAAGGATGCTTAGCACCCTCAGAGAGTGGCTGAATTATTGTCTCCAGGCTCAGAGAAGGCAATCGACTTCCCTAAATTGCCCAATTGATAAGAGGCAAAACTAGAATAGAATCTGGTCCCTCAAGCAAAGCTTGAGTTCCTGAAGACATCTCCGTTCTACATTTCTCTAGAAGACCCGGAGTGGGTAGTTTCTCTTGTTTTTTTTTTGTTTGTTTGTTTGTTTTTTTTGTTTTTTTTTTTTGTTTTTGGGTTTTTCGAGACAGGGTTTCTCTGTGCAGCTTTGCGCCTTTCCTGGGACTCACTTGGTAGCCCAGGCTGGCCTCGAACTCACAGAGATCCGCCTGGCTCTGCCTCCCGAGTGCTGGGATTAAAGGCGTGCGCCACCACCGCCTGGCGGGTAGTTTCTCTTAAGTGAGAGTGGTCAGCAAGTCTGAAGATGTCCAGAGACTTGGCACATCATGGTTTATTATCTTTTGGATACCGATGGGCCTGATCCAGATAACAGAGTGTGTGAGGCAGAGATTCAGTGATGAGAAAATGAGGCCCTGGCTACTGGGCCAACATCTGGACTAGTGGAAGTGGGAGGGGCAAAGGAGAAAACTCTCTTGATTCAGAACAGTCTGGGGCGTCTGTAGGTAAAGAGGTGTTGCAGGTCAGAACACTGAAGACTGGGAGGAATACAGTGGTGGAGGGCTGTACACTCTGGGGCCTTGGATGAATAACACTTGGAATTGGCAAACTGTTCAGAACTAAGCAAGCTGCCCTGATCTACATCCTCTGACACCATTTTCTTATGAGGGGCAGGAGCATTTATGGCTTAAAAGGACACTCCTGTCATTAAAAACCTCAGCCCATGACTACTTCATGCTGAAGAGTTTGAGATTCAGAGGGACTGAACAGCTTACTAAGAGAATAAGACTCAAATCAGTTGGTGCCAGAGTAGCCACAGCTGTCTGACCCAGGCTCCACGCTGGCATCCCAGTGCAGCCGACAGGACTCAAGCTGACTCCCTGCTTGACACCTGTGCTGCTTTTACAGCTGTTTCCAGCAGTGAGTTGGAAGGAAGGAAAGGAACAGGGAAAGAAGGCATTGCTTACTTTCTCGGTTAATCTTCGAAAGGACACTGCTAGTCTGTCTTCTCCATGAAAGTTGGATTCCAGCAAAAGGCTCAGAAAGAGCCTACAAATCTCAGCTCCAAGCCAAGAAGGGTTTGTGCCTTGAGCTTGGAAGCAGGGAATCCACGAGTGCTGGTTTCTTTATCTGCAGGTGAATGAACAAATGAAGCTAACAGTCTTGGGGCAGGACTCCGTCACCGTCACCTTCACCTCCTTGAATGAGTCGGTAACACTCAGTGTGTCACCCAAAAGCTGTCCCCATGGCGTGGTGCATGACAAACGGGTAAGGCAAAGTAGATGAGTAGAGAAATGCTGGTGGGGCATCCAGCCCTGACCCAGGGTTGTCTCAGCAAAGCTTGCCCTGTCATAGCTCAGGGACTTCCCCACTCCCTGCTGTGCAAGGCTCTTCCGCATCCTCATATTTAAGCAGCTGTGAATGGAAAACTCTCAGAAAAAGGTACTGTGCCTGAACTGAGCACACACAGATTGTCCATGCCTCACTCCTTGACTAACAGTGGAGCAATGACTGTGTAAAGACCTGCACTGTACTAGTATGCCAAGTAATCAAGAGATGGCTAAAAGACACAGGGGATGTGCATAGGTGATGGTGAATCCCACACCATTTGTACAAGGGACTTGAACACCTTCAGGTGGAGGTATCTGTGGAGATGATCACTCTGTGGAGAATGTAGATCCCACAAGCAAAGAGAGGTGGCTGTATTTCCCATTGTTTATTGAGGGGATGAAATTCAACAGAACCCTTTTTGAGTCCAATCTTTCCATTCATTGATCCAACTGTGGCCTGGGCCAAATCAACATCATGGGAAAGATCAAGCAAATGAAGAGGATGTCATCCCTAAATCTTGAGGTGTCTAAAAGTCGACACTTGGCATGGGAAGTTAAACTGGGGTAACCAAGAGCTCATGTGGAATGCATCAGATCACTGTAATTCCCCTGTCGATGCTTTGCTGGGATTGGTTCCTAGGACCAGAAGCAGTTTGCCTAGTGCCAGTCCCTGTTTACACCCTGGTCCACCTGTGGGAATTACAAATAGTATCCCTTTCCCTTTCAGTGGTGTTCTGGCTTGGATGATAAATTCTAAGGACCCAAGCAAGAGGCCCTTAAGCTATAGGATATAACCATAGTATGCCATTAGCCCTCAGACTCTCAGAGATACCTGACTACTCTTGAGTTACACAAAGACATGGGGCAGGCATTCATTGTAGATCCACAATATATGAAGCAGATGCATGCTGTCCTCAGAAGAAAGCATCATGCCCGCTTTACCCATTGTACTTTCATTCCAGCAGCATTTCTCTTTCACTGATTTATTAAATAATTCAGCAAACATTCATTAACACTTGTAATCTGCTACAGTTTACTGGAGGTGTAGAAATGAAGCCTCTTTCTAGTCTCTATAACTTTCAGTCTAATGGAGGGGACAAAAGAACACATACCAATTATGAGTCCAGCCTGGTTAGCATCATGTTATAGAGGCATATGGGAACTGCTGAGACACGAGAAAAGACAGTGTTCATCAAGGCTCTCATAGAAACACCAAAGACATTCAGGTGCCTGTGAGTTCAAGCTTCAAAAATTATAACTGCAGTGGGCTTAGGTGCAGTACAGAGTAGAGTGCTTAACTAGTGTCACGTGGGAGGCTAGTTCCATCCCCAGCAAAAAGGAAGTAAGGGACGAAGGAATCAAAGATGGCAGGCAGGTAGGCTAGATGAATGAGCTGAGACGAATACACTTGCATGCTATGCCACTCTCATGTTCCTTTGGTTCCAGGTTCTTGTTCTAATGGTCATTGTTAAATGCATACCATGTCTGACGATCTCTTGAGTGTTTCCTGAGAACCATAAGCAACTTAAAGACCATTCCAAAGAGCTGAATGAAATGACTCTCAAGTCTGTGTGCGCATGTGCACTCTAAGCCTGGGAAAACTAAGTAATACAAATGTGATTTTACCTTACCTTAGTACAACTGTAGTGAGCCAGAATTAGATGCCCAAAGCTGTGCTGTTCAATATGGCCGACACAAGTAAAAGTAAGTCACACAGGGCTGTTGAACCTTTGAAGAGCAATGAGTACAAATTGATTGGAGATCTCAGTAAAAATGCGTTCTGTGTTTCAAAGGCTTTAATGGGAAGAGAATATAAAATGTTTCAGTAATTGCCAATTTCATTGTGTGTTAAATGATCATTTTTATATACTGGGTAAAAATAAATATATTATTAGAATTAATTATAACTTTAGGATGTTTTGAATGTGGCTGCTAAGCATTAAACTAGCTCATATTGTATTTCTACTAGACCATGCTAAATGTCCAGGGTAGCGTCTCCATCAAGGGGCTCACAAAGGCACAGTCTGACAGTGTAGTAGAAGGGTGAAAAGTTATTTAAAATGACACAATAACTCAAAGAACATGACTATCTTGGGGGCATTTAACATAAGGATAAACAGGCCGATGCATTAAAATGGCCTCAGAAAACACACTGCATTATAGATGACAAACACTGGTGACAGAGAAGGCTGGCTTGCCAAAAAAGCATTGTCTGTAATTGTTTCTATTTAAAAATGTACGGTGTATTCTATAATGTATATTTATAAACTAGATGAGCAGAAATAAATGAATAAATGTAATCATTTCCTGTGAGCAACAGAATTTCCAAAGTTTGTTCTGAACAATAGGTTCAGCATTTCAAGTTATTTTTGCATGAACTCCCCAGGCTTAGATAACTGGTCATCTTAGATCCTTGGAACTAACAAAGTTTTGAAAACCAAGGAAACTTTCAGAGTATTGGGTCTGGCAAAGAGCCCAGGTTAGGAAGAGACCACAGGGCCTTAGCCCAGGCACTTCTCTGGTTGAGCCCAAGTTTCCCTATCTGTATAATGATGATGTGTAAAGGCCAATCTGACTTTGAGTCTATCCTGGGATTTTTATAGTCCTTTCAAACACACTATATATGCTTGTTTGGCTCTGGTTCTGTAAAACTACATGGCCACCTAGAAAGGCTGTGACTGGGGGAGGGTAGTATCTCTGTCATTGGGAAGCTTGTTAAATGGTTTCCCCAGACACTCATCCCAGAGAGAGCCACCTATCATAGCGACAGGCAGAATGGCAATCCCAGCTTTTACAGCCCTGAGGCCTGGCTTCTCACTAAATATTTCTATCTAGGCAGCACTTTGGAAGCGAGGCAATGCTTTGACTTAAATGCTTTATTAGCCCAGAGTGCCGTTTCAGATCCTTTTTAGAACCAGTGTGGATATAAATTACAAATAAATAAATAAAATTAGCCCAGAAGCAATGGCTGGGACTGCTCAGAAGGAGACTGGGACTTTGCTAGTAACTGGAACCATCCTTTACAGGGTTCTTGCCTGCAGAGGAATAAGACCAGCTTTAATCCTTGTCCAGAATATCTGTCTACTCCTTATCCTACTCACTCCACCTGAGGCTTAAATTCTACAGAAGAAACTTTCTCATACTTCCACTATTTTAAGAGGGCAATAGAAAAGGCATAGAGCCTGCTCTTTAGGAGTCAGCCAAGTTAAGGGATAAAGGAAGTGAAAAAAATGAACAAAACCCAGGCAAACATGATGGGAATAGATAGATGTGGACATTTAGTAGAGAGCAAATGCCATTGGCTGAGGAAACAAGGGAAGGCTTCCTGGGGGAAAGACTGACTACAGTGAACTCTGGATTCTGAACATGGTTTTGCAGTTCCATGGAGGCACTATGCAGAGCAGCTTCTTCAGAAAACGAGACTGGCACACAGGAGCTTACTGAAAATGATTGCTTTGAGGATTAGAGAAGAAAGAGGCTGAACTTCAGGGAAGCTGAAGCATAGGTCTCTGGGACACCACAAGGAGTCCAGATGACCCATCAGAGTAATCCCAACTCCAAGTGAAAGACTGGGGCCTTTGTGCTGTGGATGACCTGCTAGTCTCTGTAACCTGGACCAAGCATGGCTCTTCAGCTAGGAGTTGTCCACAGTAGCTGGCTGGGTAGAAGCATTCTAAAAGATGCATGTGCACTATGCCAGGAAGAGACTGGCAGTGGGCACTCCAGAGGAGCCTCTCTGCATCTAGTCACTCAGAAAGCAGTAACATTTCCTGAGTACGTTCTCATGAAATTAGAGGACACCAAGGCACAGTCCTCCCTCCCGGAAGTTTGGGGGGACAGAACAAATGCATCCAATGGCTTAGTTAAGTGCTAACTTGTCTTGCAGTCACATAACACAGTGGAAGTCAAGGCAAGGGGTAGTTTTACACAGTAGAATCAGAGAAGCCCTCACAATGGGAGAATCTGAGTCAGGTCTGCCTCTGACTCAGAAAGGACTGGGCCAAGAGGACCAGAGATGTATTCTAGGCAGAAGGAATAGCCACATAACCTTCAGAGCAGAGTCAGTTCTGCTGAACAGGCAGACAGCTCCCTGAAGGCAGGTGACCACTGTCCCCAACCCCTTTGCCTTCCTCCAGTCAGTTCGCAGAATCAGTACCATGGATGACAAGATGTTAAAGATAAACAGAGCCCTGGTTGAGATCAAGAAGCGGTTTCAGAAGACTGTGACTCAGTTTATGAACTCTGTGTTGCTGGCTGCAGGTAAGGGCAGAAAGGTGCATAGGCCTACTAGAAGGCCTCCTAAATCTTGGGTCACCCGTCTCAAAGTTTAGTCTTCTCACCTCGTGAGCTTCAGCCTCCTGAGAGGTCGGGGTCCCCAGTATTTTCTAAGGGGATTGCCTGAGAACACACGCTGGGACTAGTGGACTGAGAAACTTTAATTTCTGAACTCTCCCCCATGTGTCCTTAGTGTCTCCATGCAATTATATTACTTTCCTATCTCTAATAGACTTTGTGCATCCCTCTGGGTCCTTTCTGCTTTGTCCCCTGTACCATCTGGCATCCTTTTTAACTGGCATTTGCTCCTCTCTCTTCTGTGGATGATCTCAGAAGAAGAGAAAAATCCAGTCACTTCACAAAACTGTCCCTGCTAGACACAGAACACTCTTGTGAGAGGCTTCAGGAGCCTTCCATGTCTGTGTTCTCTGCTCTACTGACAGTCGTTGGAAACAAGGTGCTACCAAATCATACTCTATTACCTCCTGGCTGGGTCTACAGCCATGCTACCCACACAGCTTCAGGAATCTCTCCTGAGGAGAGGCTTAGTTCAATTATGCCCTTCCTTGACTTCCCTCACAAAGTGGGGCTCCCTCTCCCATTCTGATGATTCCCATGGCTGCTCTGATGGTTCTCAACACTGCTCTAGTTATAAATCTCATTACCAGAGCTGGAGAGATGGCTCAGCAGTTAAGAGCACTGGTCGCTCTTCCAGAAGACCCAGGTTCAATTCCTAGCACCCACATGGCAGCTCACAACTGTCTGTAACTCTAGTTCCAGGGGATCTGACACCTTCACACCAATGCACATAAACAATTTAAATAAATTATATATAAAAAAATTTTGTTACCTAGCTTTGTGAATATTTATCTCCTTGTCTGCCCATCCCCTCTGTTCTCAGCAGCAAAGAGCCTGTCTTGGGTTGTCTTTATGCCTAGCATCTTCATTCAATAAATGCTTGCTAGGAGAATGAAGGAATGTTAGGTCTCTGGCCTCAGAAATTTCTACTGGACTAAGTAGAAAAAACAAGGCAAAAAAACCCCAAAAATCCCACAGCACAACAAAGAAGAGGATGAAATCAGCCTCAGTGTAGAGACCTGAGGGACAGTATTCTTAGCGAAGGGAACACATGGTGTACTTAACCTCATTGTTGAGTGCTATGAAGAACATAGAGCTGAGTGAAATACAGGGCATCTGGGTAAAGTAAGACTGAAGCTGGGTCTTGCAGAACAAGTAGAAATGAGATGTGTTTATTTGTGCTGACCACTGACTAGGACAGTGTGCTAGATGCAGAGCAAAGCAGACTGGATAGGAGCCAGTGAGGGGTCAGTGATCGTGAATTAAAGTGGTCCAATTGGTAGGAGCCAAGAAGCAGGTACAGAGGTGACCTGGTAGTTTGGGAAAGTGACAACAGCTTTCCTGTTGACAGGTCTATTCACCATAGAATATCCCGCCATGAGGGAAGACACAGAAGCTAGTCGGTTCAAGGTGAAATCCGGGTCTTATCCTGATCGGAGCCGTAAGTCAAGTTTTTACCAAGGAGAAACCCTTGTGCGATCCCATTCAGCCCGACCAGATTCCTTAATTGAAGACAAGGAGAAGGAGGAGTCTATACACACGCTCTTGATCCCTGTTCAAAAGAAGAGCAACAGAGTCCAGGCCAAAGTCACACCAAGGTTGGCTTAATCCTTCGTTTCTTCTGTAGAGCCAAGGGATGTGATGGGTAGTACAAATGCAGTGGGAACCACACAAGCCCCTATGCTTGCAGCTCCCACTCTAGGGGTGGAGAAGGATAGGAGATACACATGTATTTAAATGGTATCTTTTATTTTTTGAACACTTATTGTGTATGTGTGTGCATGCATATGGATGTACACATGCCATGGGGTACATGTGGAGATCAGAGGACACCTCAAGGGTAGTTTTCTCCTCCCACTGTGTGGGTTCCAGAGATTGAACTTGAGTTGTCAGTCACAAGCATCTTTACCTGATAAGCCATCTCACTGGTCATGATGTCATTTCAGATAGCCATGGAGCTAATAAGAAAAGGTTTCAGAACAGTGTGGCATAATAGGAACTGGTCATGGGCCAAATCTAGCCTGGCTGACTAATTTCTACCAATTTTTAAAAGCTTTGGGAGAAACCAAAAGAAGGCTATTTTATGACATATGAAGTGAGAGGCAGCTCATCAGTATTCATTGATGATATTCTATTGGAGCACAACCACATCCACCATTTCCCATCATCTATAGCAGCTTCCCCATCGCATGGAAATGTTGAGTCCTCATGACAGAACTCATCAGGCCTCTGACGGATGGGATACTTACTTTCTAGCCCACTGTGGAAAAGACTAGCCCATCCCTGCAACAGAGTGACTGTAGAGCAGACTAACTGGCAGGCAGGCTGCCTTCAATAAGAAGGCCAGGGAAGCTGTTCTGAAGTGATACATAAATGGAGAGGTGAAGGATGAAAAACAAGCAGCCCAAACAGATGTGAGAAAGGAACATCACAGAGCCCCAGGGGACAAGAGCAAGCTTGGTGTGTGTGAGAGCTAGTAAAGACAGTGTGCTGGGATGTCACAAAGGAGGCCATGGGGCTGACAAGATGGCTCAACAAGTAGAGTGACTTGTTTCCAAGCCCAACATCACGAGTTTGATCCCTGGAACCCACATGGCAGGAGAGAACCGACTCCTAAAAGATTTACTCCGACCTTCACACATGTGCCAGGGCACAATTACACACACACACACACACACACACACACACACACACACACACACACACACACACACGAGCAATGTAACTTTTAAAATTTTTTTAAAGAATAAAGCCGTGATCTTAGTTGAGAACACAGGAGCAAGCAGGAGGTTGATCTAGTCACCTTGCTGTGCTAGAGATGCCATCCCATATGTGGAAGTAGAAGCTCATCAATTTATATTATTTTTAAAATCTTAAAATAGGCATATATTTTGGGGCTGGCGAGATGCTTCAGTGAGTAGGGGGCCTTGTTATCAAATCTCATGACCTGAGTTCAATCCCTAGGAACTTACATGGTAGAAAAAGAGAATTGAGTCCCACAAGTCCCTCTGACCTCCACATGTGTGTGTGCCATGGCACATGCATGTCCACAAAATAAATAGATAAGTATAATTTAAAATGTGAAACTTGCACAAAAGAATGAGAAAATTCTACTCGCATGGCTCGAGTGCACACACCCTGTAGCCACCAAGTCAGGAACAGACCCTTACCCGCTTCCTAAAAGTCCTTCTATGCCAATCCAGTCTTTGGCTCCTTCCTCCCTGGGTCAAACACTGTGAACACCACAGACTAGCTTTTGTTCTAACTTTATTTGAATGGATGTATATGGTTTGTTTTCTTGGTGTATGACTTTTTTCATTCAGTGTTATGATTTGAGATTTACCCGTGTCCTATGCACAGCACTCATTTGTTCTTTCTCATCACTATGTAACAATTTATTCTATGATCATGCCACAAACCACGCGTTCTAATGATATAGGTGTTTGGTTGTTCATGGTTTTTGTGCTGCAAAATGCTGCTGTTGGCATTTGTCTTTTATGTGATCAGCAAATGCTAAGGTGTAAAACTGCTGAAGCGGAGTATGTATAGATATGCTCAGCTTCCTGGATAGATTGGTCTTCTCCAGTGGTTCCAGCAAACTCAGCTCCCAGCAGCAGTGTATGAGGGCTCCAGTTGCTCCACATTCTTACCAGTGGATGTTGTTCTTCTTTCTCTTAAAAAAAAAAAAAAGTAGAGTATGTGTGTGTGTGTGTGTGTGTGTGTGTGTGTGTGTGTGTGTGTGTGTGTGTGTGTGTGTGTCTGTCTGTCTGTCTGTCTGTGTCTGTGTGTGGTGGCATATGCATACTTGTGGGGGGGCATTGAATGTCCTATCATTGAATACTCTATCATTCTCTGCCTTATTTCCTTGGAACAGGGTTTCTCACTGAGCTTAGAGTTCATCTGGCATTCAGCAAACCCCAGCAATCCTGTCTCCATTCCCTCATAGCCTGTGGCCATGCCTCACTTTTTATTTAGGTGCTGGGGATTTTAACTCAGGTCTTCATGCATGTGCAACAAGCACTCTTACTTATTGAACCATTTCCCCAGCTCCTAGATTATGTTTCATGCTGCATCTATTTTGAGATAATTTTGTGTCAGGTGTTTCACCCAGCATTTATTTTGAGATAATTTTGTATAAGGTACAGTGTATGAGTTGAAATTTGTTTGTTTTATACATGGCTATATTTGTTTCCACAGCATTTAAAAAAAAGATCCTTTTCTTCATTAACTTGTTCTTGCAGCCTTCTGAAGAAAAGCGATGGGTCATGTTTGTGTGGGTCTCTTTCTGTACTGTTTTGTTAATAGGATCCTATGACTTTCAAATAGTGAGGCAGCCTTGCGTTTCTGGATAAACTTCACTCAATTATGAAGTTCTTTCCCCTGTATTTCTAGGCACAACTTGCTAAAATCTTGTTGAAGCTTTTGCATATATATTTATGAGGGTTATTTATGAATATTTTTTCTTTTTTGGTAATGTCATTGTCTGGCTTATCAAAGCAATACTGGCTTAATAAAATGAATTGGGAAGTATATCTCCTTTATTTGTGTTGAATCCAACTCTTTTCCTTTAACTGTTAAGATTTACCATGAAACCATTTTACTCAGAGTCTCCTTTGTAGGGAAGTTTTTAAAAACAAAATTGCTTTTATAAATATAGAGCTAGTTAGGCCACTTGTTTTTTTTTTTTTTCTTGAATGAATGTTTAGTAATTCACATCTTTAAGAGGATTGGTAATCTAAGTTACTGGATTTATAGACATGGAGTTGTTCCTAGTTTTCCCTGGGGACCTTCTTTTGAAAATTTCTTATGTTTATTTGGTGTTTGTGCATACTCACTTATACCCTGGCATACAGGGGGAAGTTAGAGGACAGGAAGGTTCTTGCTGAGGCAGGCTCTCTCTTTCCTCCTTGTGGGTGGGTGGGTCTCAGGGATTGAACTCAGGATGTCAAGCTTCTGGCTGGTGCCTTTACTGGCTGAGCCCTATATGACCTTCTTAATGTCTGTAGGATCTCTAGTGGCATCTCCTCACTTATGCCATTTTTTGCTTTATGTATTTAGGACTCACTGTTCAGTGCATACAGATATAATCACTGTGTTTCTAGATGGAATATCTTCTCTCTATTATCATTTTCCTTTTTCTTTACTATCATTTTTTAGTTTATTATTTATGTATGTGTATGTGTGCATGTATGTGCACATGAGTGCAGGTGCTTGTGCAGGTGAGAAGAGGGGTGTCAGGTTGGATGGGCAATCCTCTTAAAGATGTGAATCCCCTGGAGCCACCCAGTATGGCTGCTGGGAACCAAACTTGGGTCTTCAGCAAGAGCAGTTTATACTCTTAACTGCTGAGTGATTTCTCTAGTCCCAGCCTATAATGGTCTTTTTACTTACTTGTTTTCTGGTATTAGTATAACTCTCCTGATTTCTTATAAATATTATTTGCATCAACTTGCTTCACTCACTGAGTCATCTATCCAGCCCCAAATGTTGACTTTTCTAATCCACTCCTGGCTCTTCACATAGCAGCCTACGGTTCACTATAGCTGGACTAGGAGTTCCTGCCTTGGTTTCTCCTTTGCATTTTCTACTTTAACCCCAGAGGTCTTTTCCATTTGCTCTGTTTAATCATTTGAAACAGGGTTTCTAGTCCAGGTTGGTCTAGAACTCCCTATGTAGTTTAGGATGATCTTAAACTTCTGGTCCTCCTGCCTCTCCCTCCCAAGAACTGGGATTACAAGTCTGTGTCACCATACCCAGTTTGAGTTCTGGACTTTTGAATCAGTCGCAAAAGGCTTCCTTGCTCCAAAATTCCAGAATGATTTGTTCTATTTGCCACTATTACAAATTGTAGGAAATTGTAAAGTCAGATTCTCCCACATTAAAAGCCTTAATCACTTTGAATATACTCTGGTATAATTCATGATAAATAAATTCAACATTCCCCATGGATGTTTAGGTTCTTAAACAAGAGATGCTCTACTTTTTTTTATTTATTTGGTGTTGTGAATCAAATCCAGGACCTCACATACACTGAATATGTGCCCCATCACTGTGCTCCACCCCTCTTCCCCAAACAGATTCTCTTACTAGCTTTGCTCAGCAAGTATTTACCAGCATTAAATTTCCTCTAAAGAATTGTGAATTGTAAAGCTAGATATGGTAGTGTATGGATACAGTCCCAGCACACAGGAGGCAGAGATAGGAGGATTACCATGAGTTCAAAGCCAACCTGGGATACCTGGCAAGGCCCTGTCAGAAAAATAAAGTCAAGATATCCTGGGCTGTTACACAGAGAAACTCTGTCTCAAAAAACAAACCAAGAAGTGGCTGGAGAGACGGCTCATCAGTTAAGAGTACTGGCTGCTCTTCCAGAGGAACCAGGCTCAATTCTCAGCACCTACATGGTAGTTTGCATCATCTGTAACTCCAGTTCCAGGTGATCCAATGGCCTCTTCTGTGTACTCTACACACATAAAATAAAATAAATATATGTAAACGAACTAACTGAGCAATGTGTGATAAATCATGGGCATTGCTCTCATTTTAGGATGACTTGGTTCTAACCTGAGGCCTTGCTAATTCAGAGGCTTCATTGACCTTGGGCAACCCATTACCCTCATGGGAGAGAGGCTTCTGTATTTTGACCTGTAAATGGTAATAACAGTTTCTGTCCTGCCCATTCTATGGGGTTTCTACAAAATTAACCAAGGAAATGCCTATTCCAGGGCCATAGATCCTGTAAAATATTAAATGTGTAAAACAGCAATGATGAAAAGAGTGGAAAAAAAGGAGTACTTTACACCTGATGGTGCTTATTTAAACTAAGCACCACGGCCCTGCATAGTGTCAGCACATAGCGGGTGGCTAATAAATGCTGGAGTGTTGACCAGTTCTCTATTGCATCTTTGATTTGCCAAGTGTTCCTATTGTATTCCACCAGTCAAAACACTGCAAGTAGCTAATCTCTTGGGACCTGTAGTGGTATAGAAAAGTATACTAATAAAAATAAGGGGAATATAGAATATATTAAAAAGTAAGCAATGCTTGAAAGAAAGATAAAATTGGCAAGAAAGAGTGTTGAGGTGGAAACACTCAATGGGATGCTTAGAAAGTCACCAGGAAGGTGACATTCCAATAGATGTAAAGGTGGTAAGAGAATAGGCTTGTGGCTCCGGGGAACAAACAATGGCATAAGCAGAAGTCAGTGTAGCCATGTGAGAGTGCTGGGGAGCAGGGTGAGAGTGCTGGGGAGCAGGGTGAGGGTACTGGGGAGCAGGGTGAGGGTACTGGGGAGCAGGGTGAGGAGAGTGCTGGGGAGCAGGGTGAGGAGAGTGCTGGGGAGCAGGGTGAGGGTACTGGGGAGCAGGGTGAGGGTACTGGGGAGCAGGGTGAGGAGAGTGCTGGGGAGCAGGGTGAGGAGAGTGCTGGGGAGCAGGGTGAGGGTACTGGGGAGCAGGGTGAGGAGAGTACTGGGGAGCAGGGTGAGGGTACTGGGGAGCAGGGTGAGGAGAGTACTGGGGAGCAGGGTGAGGAGAGTACTGGGGAGCAGGGTGAGGAGAGTACTGGGGAGCAGGGTGAGGAGAGTACTGGGGAGCAGGGTGAGGAGAGTGCTGGGGAGCAGGGTGAGGAGAGTGCTGGGGAGCAGGGTGAGGAGAGTGCTGGGGAGCAGGGTGAGGAGAGTGCTGGGGAGCAGGGTGAGGAGAGTGCTGGGGAGCAGGGTGAGGGTACTGGGGAGCAGGGTGAGGAGAGTACTGGGGAGCAGGGTGAGAGTGCTGGGGAGCAGGGTGAGGGTACTGGGGAGCAGGGTGAGGAGAGTACTGGGGAGCAGGGTGAGAGTGCTGGGGAGCAGGGTGAGGAGAGTACTGGGGAGCAGGGTGAGGAGAGTGCTGGGGAGCAGGGTGAGGGTACTGGGGAGCAGGGTGAGAGTACTGGGGAGCAGGGTGAGAGTGCTGGGGAGCAGGGTGAGGAGAGTACTGGGCTTAAGGGGAATGAGAAGCAGGAGCTAGATCTGGTACAGCCTGCTGCTTTTTGCTGCCTTAACTGAAATTAAGCTAGAGAGCCTAAGGAGGTTCCAGAGACTGATTGAGTTTCTGACAGAATCCCTCACTGGCTCCAAGAGAGATGAGGGAAGGAAGTGTTAACCCTTAGGAACTACTTCAGAAATGATTGGAGGCTGGACTATGTTGCTGGTAGTAGAGGGCAGCTAGATTCTGGATCTGTCAACCTGGGAAAGAGGCTTGTGGGTGGGATTGGTGAGATGGTGGGTGTGGAGGGAGAGTCGTGGGTGGCTCTGAAATGTCAGCTGAATGACTTCTTATGCCTCCTTTGCACATGCGGAAATGTGGGCCTGGAGTGGTGAGGGGTCCCTCCCCTGAAGGACTGGACCAGGAGCTGCCTACAGCCCGGGCACTGCAGTGGGCCTCTTTCTGTATAGAAACAAGAGCTGTAGGGGCAGAGGTTGAAGCCTGCCCACAGGCTCCTACCACTGTGTTCCTCTTTGTAGAGGGAAGCAGCCGAGAGAGGTACGCAGCCCCACCAGGTGGGCAGCCTCACCCTATGACTGCCCACTGGTGCTGCGGAGGCTCATTCACAAGGAAGACATCCGGGCCGGCTGCAAGTGTATTGTGAAGGCACCCCTGGTGTCCGACTTGGAGCTAGAGCGCTTCCTGTCTGCACCCCGAGACCCCAACCAAGTGCTGGTATTCGGGATAATGTCGAGCCAGAATCCCAACTGTACCGCACAGCTACAGTGGCTGCTGGACACACTGTATAGCCATCGGCAGCAGGGCCGTTCCTCCCCGTGCATCCAGGTTGGTCCAGAACCCGGTGAGGAGGTCCCTTGGGCCAGGGCCAGCGAGCAGAACCAACTATAACCTCCACTGTATGAGGGTGGGTTAGGTGTCTGACAGCTCCTTGTCTTTCCAGGGCCTTGGCCAACGCTCCCCTTTCTGTCTGCAGCCTTCTGTTCCGTCTTCTGTCTTCTGCTCATCTCCTCTCCCAGGATGAGTGTCACCACATCAGGGCAGGTGCTTCTTCCGACCTTTGAGACAAGGTCAAGGCAAGGTCCTTTTCATTCAGAGCACTTTGCACAGTTTGTGGCCACAACTGGTGTGAATGTTCAAGGAAAAGATGGTGCCCATCACCCATGTTCTTACAATTCAGTATATGTTCGTGGACTGTCCCCAGGTCCCTCTGCGTGCTGGCCTTGTCTCAGTGGTTCAAGAGCCTACCACTGGTTCAGCCAGTCCCTGAAGGAATTCCCAGTATGGCTGCAGCTACAGCAGGCCCTCGAGAGGGCCATGACAGGACAGATCTGGAATGGATGACTTCTGTCTCCTGGGGTCAGGATGAGCCTCCTAGGATGCTCGGGGCTTTAGCAGGCAACTGAGTATCCCTGGCAGTGGCTTGTGCAGGATGAGGACAGTTTGAGGCCCCAATTTAAGTCTAAGGACTAGGTGACTTCTTCCAAGCTGTCCTTCCCCTTGAGCCTGTTGCGATATCCCTGCCCCGTTCCTCCCTGCTGCTGCAGGGTTCTGAATTTGTGGGAGAAATCTGTGGGCTCTGCCTGAACACCCCTTCTAGCCTTTCTCTCTAAGAGTGCTGCAGCCAAAGGGCCCTTGTAAAAGCAGATGTCCCCTCCCCCACTGGCGCCCTTCTCTTGGCTCCTTCCAAGAGAGCAGCCAGCCGCAAGCCTTTCACCCAGCCCTGCAGCAGAGCCACACTTGTTTCATGCATCTCATTTCCAGCTTACTTTGATCTAGAGAATGTTCCCTGAGAACCTGCTCTGGGCTCACCTCGTTCATGGCAGACATAATCCCTGTCCTCATGGGAATGTACAGTTGGCTGTAGTTCATCTGGGGGCTATTAATTGTTCCCTAAGGAATAAAATGCTTAGATGTCTTATTCCGACCACACACAATGTGAATGGGGCCAAGATCTGACCTGAAGTAGTTGGAGGGGGTGGAGGAAATGGTGGTATGTCTGAAGATGGGCTTGGGGAGTAGTGATGGTTGGTCATTAATACTCTCATCCCACAATGGCTAAACACCACAAAGGTGTCAAGAGGGGCAGCCAAGCGAGAGGTGGGGTGAAAGGCCGTGCAACGTAGCTTCCTGAGTCTGGTCCGGGTGGAGCAGGACTCCTATCTTGAGACCTTCCAGAGTGAGGGACATCATAGTCCACAGATCCCAGGGCAAACGTAGTGCTGTCACATGAAGAGGAGTCGCTCTGGTGGTGACTTCCCCACAGAGGGCTGAGAGCAGATCTGGAGACCTGCTCTGGGCAAAGTGATGGCTGCGGGGAGGTTAACATGTACCTTCTTGCACCAGGGTGACCAGTTCTCACATCTCTGTTTGGCAGTGCCAGCATGACCCTTACCGCCTGCTGCGGTATGACCTGGACAGCCCCCTGCAGAAGGATCCACCCCTAATGGTGAAGAAGTTTGCTGTGATGCATGGGATGGTTTTGGTGAGCAGGGGCCCTGTAAAGGGCTAGACATCTATCACCAGCCACTACTGTCTCAGCCAGATTTGGGGAGAAGGGGGCGGGGTACAAAACAAATCCTGAAGATCTTCTCCCACCCATGCTGAGGCTCAGAGAGCAGGACTTACTGAGAGTCACCCAAAAGACTCCCATCCCCTTCCCAGGAGATGGAAGGGTTGGGTGATGTCAGCACAGAGAATCAAATTCTATCCATCTGATTGTTATTAAATTATACTAAAATGTTATAAAACCATGTATGTTCATTGAAAAATCAGGTATACAATCTAGAAAATAATGACACCCTCCTACCACCCAGGATCTTACTCATCTATCCAGCACTTAAGTTCTGGAGCCCCTGCTAGGCCACATCCACCTGACATTGTAGTATCTGGCCTTTGTTGTCTTTCTCTACACACATACTTTAGGGCACTGTCTTTCCAATAAAGTAACAGAGCGCTGTCCCACATCTTCAGTTGGTAGCACCAGAATTTTTACCACTGGACGTGAGTCTGTCTTGTTATCACTATCCATGCTGCTTTTGTTGGACAGTTAGGTTCTTTCCCTCTCTCCCTTCTTGCTGTTTTTCTTTTTCCCTATAATAATGGTATGGTGATACCCTTGCCTAGCCATCTCTAGACAGCTGTCCATGGTGGAGAGTGATAGACACAGAGAGTAGAGGGTATGAGACCCCCATTCCATAGGGTGAGCTGAACGGTACATCCGGATATGTGGGTTTGAAGCAGAGGGGGCCAGACAGATGTAGGAGTCTTGTGTGGTAGAACGTGACCTTCCTTCCACCCTAAGGGAAATATGAAGTGTACATCTGACAGGGCCAAAAGCTGGGCAGGTTGGGCTGCCCTCTGACTCGGGAGGGCCTGTGCAGGGGCTAGGGTCAATCATGTCTCCCTGGGTTGCTGAGGAGGGTAGCACACTTTCCCATGCTATCAAGGGCCTGAGCCCTAACCTAGCTCTGAGGAGCCTGTGGCCAGTCCTACTAAGAGTTGGAACTTGGCTGCCATTATCAGTCATGCCACTATGTCAGTATACTGACGTGTTTCTTATTTCATTTCTTTCCTGTCTTCCAACAGATGTTTGCTGGCGGGAAGCTCCTTTTTGGGGGCTGTGTCCTAAATGGCTATGGCTTCAGCAAGCAGAATCTGCTGAAACAGATCTTCAGGGCTCGACAGGATTGCAAGATGGGCTACTTCCTGCCAGACAACTACAAATTCAAGTAAAACTCGACAAGGCATCCCACAGGGAGGGATAATGGGGCAGGGGACTTGGGCTGTGGGAAGGCCCGGTGGGAGAGCAGGTGGTGCCAAAGGAGTGCAGTGGGGAAGAGCCAGCGACAGGGAAGTAGGGTGCAGCCTCTTCCTACAGTCCCCGGAGCAAAAGCTACAGCAGGAGGGTTTTGCAGGTGGGGAGGCGAAGAGGGAGAGCAGACAGGAAGAGGTGAGCAAGGTCATGCCGTTTTTCTCTTTGAGCTGTAAGTTTGGATAAAGGGCTGTGTGGGGAAAAGAAGGCACTGCTCATTTGCACAGTGCTCTGCTCAGCTGGAAATGGTGGAAAGATGTCTCAGGGGCAGGAGGCCCAGTCACACCCATCAGTTCCAACCTGTGTGTACATTCAGCTTGGCTTCTCTTGGGTTGCCAGGTGGGTCCCACAGACACAGTCCTTGGTGTATGAGTAGGCTTGGGTGTAAGCATCCAACTAAGGTGCTGCCACCTACTAAGCATCTCCAGGCTGGCTCTGGTGAGTGGTAGAAGGCAGTCTGAGCTCAGGACACTCTGCAGTGCAGGTTCCTGGGAAACCCGCTAGGTTGGGGGTCCTAAGACAGGATTGGAGCTCTGGCTTTTTCTGGCATTATCTGGGTGACTGTCAGGTGGACTGATCAGGTGGGCTCCCAAATCTTTAGCTCTTTGCCTTTTTTTTTTTTTTTTTTTTTTTTTTTTTTTTTGGTTTTTCGAGACAGGGTTTCTCTGTGTAGCTTTGCGCCTCTCCTGGAACTCACTTGGTAGCCCAGGCTGGCCTCGAACTCACAGAGATCCGCCTGGCTCTGCCTCCCGAGTGCTGGGATTAAAGGCGTGCGCCACCACCGCCCGGCTAGCTCTTTGCCTTTAAAATGAAGATAATACTCAGTCTTGCAAGACTGTAAGGATTTCACAAAAGGGTATTTGTTATTAACAAGCTCTATAAGAGGTAAACAATGATGAAACCCAGGATAATATCTGTAATATCTGTCTGCAGACCTGAGCTACCTGTGGCACACCCTTATAGCACCAAGTTAAATCCACCATTCCCACACAGACCTGCAGTTTTCTATCTTTTTATTTGTTTGTCTGGTTGGTTGGTTGGTTGGTTTTTCAAGACAGGGTTTCTCTGAGTATCCCTGGCTGTCCTGGAACTTGTTCTATAGACCAGACTAGCCTCAAACTCAGAGACCCCAAGTGCTGGGATTAAAGGTGTGCGCCACCATGCCTGGCTGCAGCTTTCTGTCTTGATGTCAGCTCACCCCAGGGAGCTGGGTTGAATTTTTGTCAGTCTGCTTCACCCTGAGCCTGGGGATACATTCATGCAAAGTCCATGGAGGTCACACTAAGTGACCCCAATATTTTGGAGTACTCAGTGTATAAGGCTGGAAGAGGAGGAGCCTACGGGGATAAGACAGGGCAGACAGAAAATTCTGAGTGTTCTGAGTCCCCATCACTCAGAACACCAAGAGAAGGGGGTGGAGTTACTGGAAACCAGACATTGGCAGGTCCAGGGAGTTACAAAGCTGAGTTTGGGGAGCTGTTCACAGTTGAAAAAGAATGTGCCAGACATACATTGGGTCTTACTGGGCATTTATGTCTGTAAACTCAGCACCTTAGATTCCCTGTATTTAAAAGATACTAGGAAACTGGAAAGGAAGATGGATTTATTTACAGTTTGAACAAATAGAGAGATGTCTAATTATATCCCCTACCGTGCTTGTGACCACCTTATAGTTTATGGAAAGCTATGAGACAAAGGATATGATATATGAAAATTTGCCTGTGAGCTCAGAGTTCAGCACCCTAACCCAAGCCTCTGGGTCCTAGGAGGGAGGGCATAGCAGGCCTGTAGCTAGAGAGTCTCAGTGGGAAACACATGCAGAATGTGGTCCTGACATGAGCAGCCCTGAGTGAAACTGTGTCCACCTGCGCACAGTATTCACACTTAGCCCCTGCCTCCCTCACTAGGGTTGGGGACAGCTAAGGGAAGTCATGTGTGGTTTGCAGGCCCCACTACCTATGTCTGTGAGCAGAGATGTGTTACCCTGCCATGCTCACACTCCAGTGAGGATTAGGTACAAGAGGGACCAGGATAGGGAGGTGTGAGATATCCAGGGATGGGAGAGCAGAACAAACAGAATAGTTTGTCCCCTGGAAACACAAAGGGGCTTAGCCTGCAGCAGTCCCAGAAGGTCGGCGTGTATATGTCCCCCAGCCCATGTAGCAGTGAAATGGCTAGTGGACACACCTCGTCTCCTTCCACCTGCGTTCTTACCCTACCTTCTCCAAAAATGGAGTGGGCAGCCAGTGAAGACAACCAACAGGAGGTTGGTTTGTTGCTTTATTGCCAATTTTGGATTAACAGCTTAAAATGGGATTAAAAACAACTTTAAACAGGTTGGCACACAGGTTTTGAAGATTTAAATGGATCAGATTTGAACTCTTGGTAGCAGAAGGATGATAGCCTCTTAGAGCTGTTTCAGTTCTGAAAAGTGTTACAGCTTAAAAGTTCTTGGAGGGCTTCAGGACGCCAATCTAGAGCAGCCCCCTGCAGAACAAGGCTTGCTGGTCAAACACCAGGAACACAAGGAGCAGCAGGTCATGCAGACTGGAAGCAGCTCAGGAATGAATTCTCATCTGCAGCAGAAGTACAGAGTCTCGGAGGCTGAGGCAGGAATGAGTACTCCTGCCTGCGGCTACTGGTCAAGTCCTGGAGGCTGGCTCAAAGAATTTCCTGCATAGGAACAATTCTGTCCCCTGCCTGTCTTAAAGGCAGCCTTCCTTCAGTGAAGATGAGCAACTGGCTGGAGCCCAACCTGAAGTCTTCCTTTTCTTCTTCCTCTCTTGGTTCCTACAACAGTTCTGTCTCTGCAGCCCGCAGCACATCCAATTGAATGTACTGGGTACCTGCTAGACCCTGATTGGCTGGATGTGGGTATGCAAATAAAGTGAAAAATAGGACCAATCAGGGAAGAGTTGTTAAACCTGGTTGGGGAGGAAGAAAACCCTTAGCCCCCCCCCAAAAAAAAAAAGTTGTTAAAAGTTCATAATCAGGTTGAGAAGACCATCTACAGAAGCAGGGACATTTGAACGAGTTTTTGTCTGTCCCTGGTTGCTACAGGAGCTCAGTGAGGAGATTTTAGTCAGGCTTCTTTTTTTCTTTTGTGGCAGCAAAATGTACAATTGTGTAACACTTGCAAGTGTGCTTGTGACATCCTGTGGCCCACTGTTGCCTGTAGGACATGACATGGCCATCAGAGAGAGGAGTATGGAACTGTGGCTCCAAGCTCTCTACTTTATATTGCTAGAGTCTGGATGGGTGGCTGTGTACAGAAAAGCAACCCAGGACCCTGAGGGCCAGAAAGGAAAAGAATGTGCTTTGAATAGGAAGTAAGTCCAGGCTACACCACAACCATGACCTTTGTCTTCAGCCATGTCCTGAGGAATGGGACATGACCTTTTCAGGGCTGTTCTTACAGGAGACAATAAAAATCTGTCAGAAATGGCCACACTCTGCAGTGACAAAAGTGCCTTGGAAATAGTCTTGGCCCCGTGAACTGAATGCTGTGTAAACTGTGATGTGCTCAGTGGACCACAAAGGACCTTGCAAATGGTGACGACCTCTGTGAGAGACAAAGTCCTTTGTAAATTGCCACATCCCTGATAGGTCACAATGGGCAGGGGGAGCTGCTGAATGCCCTGTGAACCAGGAAGAGTTTCAGAAACTGCTGGGCCTCCCCCTCAGACCGCCTCCTGCTAAGCAGCTTTGCAAGCTGTCACATGCTCTGCAGAGTTCCCAGTCATCTATGCAGTGCCCTCTCCTGCACAGCACTTGGTAAACTATATGACAACCTATGAAGGACAAAGCATTTTCTAACCCGTCAGGTACCCTGTGACATACAGACTGGAGTGACACCTTGTGAAGATAATACAGTATGCAAATGCTGGCGTGAGAACCTCAAAGGGGTTGTGAATAGTCATGATCTTAATAAACGTCAAGTGACGGCTTGGTGTGCTGTGAGCGCTAACCAGTTGTGAGAGAGTTCTTCACCCCTGGGCCACTGTACTGCCTCCTCTGTCTTCTGCCCACTCACCTTAGAAGGGGCAGAACCAGCTGAGTCACAACAGGAGGAGGCCAGGGACTAGTGAGGAGAGGTGGCTGCAGCCAGGTGCCATGTTCCACAGATTCGTGTGGTTAAATCCTTTGTACCATGGTGATGGTGTTAGGAATGCGGGCACTGGGAAGTGATGAGGTCACAAGTAGAGAGACTTCATGAGTAGAGTTAATCCTTAGAATCTAGCTTACCCCTTCTGCTATGTGAGAACAGTGAGAGGCTGTCATCCATGAGTCTATCATCTGTGAGTGTTACCAGGCACTGACTCTCCTGGCACCTTGGTGATGGACTGGCAGTTTTGAGAAGTGAGTGCTGTTTGTGTCAGTGATCTGTGTGCTGTATAGGCACAGCACTTTTAGAGCAGCCAGGATAGCCAAACTGAGTGGCTTAAGCAGCATCTGCTCATCATCTCAGTTCTGGGGGGCAGGAATTTGGACCCAGGTATCAGAGGGCCATAGTTCCTCTCAAGTCGTATTCTAGCCTCTCTTTAGCTTCAGTGACAGCATTACTCTGATGTGGCACTAGTCACATAGGATTAGGGGCCTACCTCACTCCAGAATGACTGCATTACAGCTAAGATCTATACCGACCCCACATTCTAGGGTCCTGGGGTTAGGACTTCTGCATATGAGTTTGGGGGATACATTCAGTCCACAGCACTGTATGATGGCATCACTTCCTTGGCCTCCACTTGGCTCTCCACTGCTGCTTTGCAAAGCCCTCTGTATCCTCTGGGCATTCTTATGCTCGGTGTAGCATGGACCAGGTAGCTGGTAGCATGGGGATGCGGGCTATGCAGCCTTTCACAGAAGCCAAGAAACCGGCCTCCAGCGGTTTCCAGGTCCTCAGAGCACGCAGTTTCTCCCTTTGCACAACTGGGAGGTAAAAGTGTTTTGCTCGCCTGTCTAGGGTCTGAAACAGGGTGGGACAGCACCAAGTGCACCCTGGGCTCTCACCTCTGACCCCCTATCTTATACTTTCCTACCACCCATCCCCGCAGCATGTCAACCTATATCACAAACCTGGATGATTCTGAGTCAGCTAAAAGAGTGCCATCTGAAGATCTCGAAGGAAGTGCCTCTTCATTGGCGCTTGGGGACAAAATGGATAAAACACCTTCTACCCCCCCTGAAAAGTATGTTTTCCCTATATCTCTAGTTGACAGATTAGGAATGGCTCATTATAGGATCCCTAGCTTAATCACAGGCCACTACAGCTACCACAGCATGGCTTATGCCTTGGAAATCTGTGTCCCTCCGAGTACAGGTCAGCCCCTGATTTCCAGCCTGTCTTGCATTGTCTCATTGGGTGTCAGGGTTGTGCACTAGGAGATACACTTTGCAGCAAGGCTCCCTAGTCCAGACCCACCTGTCAGAAGGATGGAGGCCACGCCCGACTCCAGCAAGTTTCTTAGTGATGGTGACAGGGAACCAAATCAAAATTCTGTAGTGTCACTCTTTCCAGAAAGATGGAAAAGTGCTAAGATCAAGCTATGGATGCCACTGGGCCCCCAAGTTGGAGCTGTCACCTGGCACTCTCCCTCTAGGGCCATGCCCTCATCAGCTGGGCCAGGCTCCCTGCCTGCTCGCTTGCTGCCCAGCACCTGCTTCTTCCTGTTGCATATTTAGGTCGAAACAGCCTGAAGTAGAACTGCAGCCTTACTTGAAGACCAGGAGGAGCAGCAAGAAGGGCAGTAACTGGAAGAAGTCAGGTTCTAAGAAGTGATGCTGGAAGAGCCAGCGATGCCCTCCCCACACCCAGCCCTACCTCCTGGTCTCCCACCACCCTTCAATAAACGTACATGCCTCCAGTGTCTGGGTGAGGCGGTGGTGGGTGGGGCAGGCCCAGCTCTGACTCCAAGAAGGCCAGAGGATCCCCACAGCTAGTTTCAGGCCAGGTTCTTGGAAACTTGCTACCCCCAACTCAGAGCTTCCTCTGTGGCCAGGAGTAAGCCTGAATCGACCATTCTGGTGAACACATGTCTCATGGCCAAGATCCTGCCTGCTCAACCATTCAGCAACCCTAGGGAGCCTCGGAAGGGGCTAGACTGTGGCTCTCACCCTCTGTCAAGTGGGAAAGACTTCTAAGACTTCTGATAGAAAGAAGATGAGAAGGGACTCACAGAAAGGGAGAAGAGACAGAGAGTGGTGGAAAGAGATGGGAGAGCAAGCAGGAATGAGGATGGAGGGGCAGAAAGGGATGACTAAGGAAGTGAGAGATAAAGACAGAGAGAAGGAGTCGGCTGAAGGCCAGAGTCCAGCAGACACCTTGCAGGCTCTCATCACCATTTAGCTCAGCAATGGAACATAGGGCTGGACTGGATTCTCCTTTTTCTGGAGCAGGCCTGGAGTATCCTTTTCAATATCCAGAGGCGCCAGGCAACAGTCTTCTGGAGTGCTGCCTTGTCCCTTACCTCTGAGAGAGCTGGATCTCCTCCACTGTGTGGTTGATAAGAGTTGTGTCCCCAGAGCAAAGATTGTGGAGGGTCTGCCTTGGTCTTTGCGCCTAGAATAGAGTTCAGGCCCCAAACTCCAGGTAGCATTTGGTGATGTATTTCACAGATAACCATTTGTGCTTCCTCAGTAACACATGCTTTTTCTATCTGAATTTTTTTAAGGCTTAGTTTTGTTCTTTGTTCGTTTTTTTTTTTATTTTGTTTTGTAGCTTGAAAGATATTTTTTGAGTTATATGTTTCTTCCCCTAGAAGTATATTTGAAGTGGTCTGCCCTGTTCTTAGGCTTCATATGTTGATATTTTCAGGCCTTGATGTTTGTTAGGGGGCTTAGAGCTCTAAGCATCCCCCACCCTTCCCCTCCAAGCACAAAGACAGAAGCAAGAAGGCAAGGGGCCAAAGTTCTGTTCTGTCCTCACAGATAGGCACCCCAATACCTGGTGAAGGTTGGAACCAAGGCCTCTGCTCAGGCTAGAGTCTGAAATGAAGCCTCTGACCTGCACCTCTCTGACCTTTAGGCCATGTGCTCAGCTATGCTCAATCAAGCAAATATGCTAAGCAGTCAGTTCTGTGTGCACCAGGAGCAGAGGCAGGCCAGGTCCTGGCTCCCTGCAGGGTGCTCATCACCCTGGAGGGCTGCCTGTGAACAGGAACACCTCCCACTGGCAGAGCAGGCAGTGAATGTCCAGGGCAACACTGTCAGATTGCTCCTGGAGGAGGAGGAGAGGAAAGTCCCTCTACATGGAAATGCCAGGAGAGAGAGGTAGGCTTTCCTCCACGATGGCTCTCACTAAGCAGGAAGCTAGGTGTCTGAGCTATCTCTTGATTAGCACAAGGCTTCTTAAACTTTACCTACTTAGGAGTAAGAAATTTTTACATAATTTTTACATGTATGTAAAACAAGTATGCAAATCAAATATTTACTGATAAATAATAAAGAAATGTATTTTAAAACAATTCTTTGATATATATATGATTTTTCATTTATTAAGAATAAAAGCAAATTTGCATTCTTATGTGATGAATTGCTTATGTATTTTATGTAAGGAATTAAATCTTGCCTGAATATTCAATGCAATAAAAGTTAGAGCATCATGACACTTTGCAGAGTTGATAGTTATTCTGATTTTATAATCATCAGCTACTTTATATAAGCATAAAGCAGCAGAAATACATTTAGAGCCATTTTAGAAATGGCCAGGAAATTTTAAAATAATCCATTATGTCCAAGTAAGGTTTGTCCTAAGGATACAAAGTTGGTCCAACATCAAACACTAGTCAGCATCACTCCCCATATAATAGACTAAAGAAGAGAAACCAAATTCAAACTAACTGCACTGGTGAAGAAATAGAGCAAACCAAAAATAGAAGATCGACATCTTAACCTCAAAAGGTTGATAAGAAAAAACTTCAGCAAACACTTCCTTCATAGTGACTCTTCAGATGCATTGCCAGTGAGGTTAGATAGAAGACAAGCCTACCGCCAGCACCACCATTGACAAAACACAAAGGAAGCACGGGGTTAGGACCTGAGAGGAAAGGATCAAACTGAGCTATTGCAGGTGATTCCGTTATCTACCTAGAAAGCCAACAGAATCAATGCGTAAACATCAGAGCCATTTGATAACTAGATAAAAGTATGAAGCCACTTTCTTACCACCAAAGGCCTAGTACCAAAATGCAGGAACAATGATGTGGGGTCCTAAGCAGAATGGCATCCATCAGTGCTTGGATCCCAGAGTGAACTGAAGCTGAGAGGAGAAGGCCAGCATGCCTGCCCAAGGCCACAAGACACATCATGAATCCAATGCTCCTGGATACAGAGGTCCCTGATGCCTCTCACCCAGGACCCTTGAGTATCTCTTTCATAAAGTAAAGCCACTCCCTGCACTCTCCCGCCCAGGTATGCTGAGACTGGGCAAGCCACTTTTGGCTTCTGGGTCTCCATGACTTCATCCATAAAATGTGATGTTCTGGCATAGTAACCTTCCAAGGATCTGGGCTGGACCGGATACAATGCAGAGAAAGCCTTTAGCTTGGGCTTCGAAAATGTATATGAGAACAAATTATTTAAATTATTAAGCACACACCCCCACTGCCACTTTCCACATAGCAGGACCCACCTACGTGTAGATTGTCTCCCAGGCACCAGCATCAGCAAGGGTTAAGGAGCTTGGCTACTAGCCAAGCAGAAATAGTGTTGGCCTTGAGCGACATAACATCCCTCTATCTGTGCAATCTCCCGGCCCCCAGCCCAGCCTTTGGAAATGAAAGCTCAGCCTAGCTGAGGCTCCTCTGCCTGCTGCATCCTAATGATCTCTACCAGGGAGAGTGGGTACCCCCTCTCAGCTCCTTCAGCTCCCCAGCTCAAAGAAAGCCCTGAGCTGCCTGACCTGAAGCTGTCAGCTCACATGTGGGAGAAAGATTGGTTTGTACCCACTGCTGGTCCGTTTGGAGGGAAGAAAATAGAAAAAGGGGGGCTGAGGGTGGTCCTGGGGTAGAGAACAGGTGCTGAGGAATCCACAGGCCAGGTGCCCTGGGTCTTAGCTCATCCTGTGGATCTGGGCAGGGGGCTTCCCACTGCAGATTATATGGCCTACTAATGAGTTGAAAAATCCATTTGGAGGATGTGATCCACATTCTGAAGAAGAAAACCGCACTAAAGGAAATGACACAGTGCATGTAGAAAGGTGGCAGGCTTGATTTCAGCTGCCCTGAGTGTAATACCTGAGACACAGGCTGTGAAGCTCATACCACCCCCTCACCCCAGCCATCTGTGCCTGTGACCTCGGGTACTTTATTTAAACTGATTAATGTTGGAGGGCCTAGTTTATTGTGGGTGGTACCACCCCTGGGAAGGTGGTTCTGGGTCATATAGAAAAGCAGGCTGGGCAAGCCATGAGGAACAAGCCAGTAAGCATTCCTCCATAGCCTCTGCCTCGGTTCCTGCCTCCAGGTGGCTGCCTTGAGTCCCTGCCCTGACTCCCCTTGATGACAGACGGTGGAAGTGTACGCCAAATCATCCTTGTCTTCCCCGGGTTGCCTCTGGTCATGGTCTTTATCACAGACATAGAGAGCAAACTAAGAGTTTGTGTGGTGTTATGAGCACACGTGGGTGAGTGTACACAGCTGTGCATGCAGAGAGGCCAGAGGAGGACATGGGGTGTGCTACTCTATCATGCTTCACCTTATTCCCTTGAAGACAAAGTCTCTCACTGACCCAGAGCTAGGCTGGTGGCCATTGTCCTAAGAGCTTTGAACTCGGGTCCTCGTGCCTGCCTGCACAGCCGGTGAGCCATCTCCTCAGTCCAGATTCGGTCATTCTAATGGGCATGCAGTGGTACCCCATTGTCTTTTAAATTGTGTCTCCCTAACAAGTATCTTTCTACAAGTCATTTGCCACCTGTATCTCTTTCTGTTTTCTCAAGACAGATTTCCTCTGTGTACCTCTGGCTGTCCTGTAGCTCACAGAGATCCACCTGCCTTGGCCTCCCGAGTGCTGGGATTAAAGGTGTGAGCTACCACCACCTGGCTCAATATCTCTTAAGTGTAGTGTTTCTTTGGGTGGTTGATCAGTTTTGTTAATGAGGGTGTTTTCTCTTCAGCAGTATTTATATTTATTTTCATACTATCTATATTTATATTATTCGTGTTTATGTATAAACTCCCCCATGGCTGGGCCTTGGGCATGCTAGGAAGTGCTCTCTACCTCTGAGCTTCTGGCTCAACCCTTGGACAACAGTCCTTTATTGGACATGGCTTCGGCAAATATTTCCTTACAATCTGTGGCTTGTCTTTTCATTGTCTTGGCATTGTGTGTTGCACAGCAGAAAAACTTAAGTTTAATTAAGTCCAGCTTGGCAACTCTTTCTTTCATGGGCCACACTTTGCTGTTGTAGCTAAACTGTCATTGTTATGATCAATGCTATTTGGATTTTCTCGAGTTTTGTAGCTTTGCTTTTGATGCTGCAGCCTCAGCTCCATCCTGAATTAGCCTTTGTGAGAAGCTTCAGTCCTATGCAGATTCACTGTTTGATACTTGCCTGCCCAATACTACTTTCACACTTTCTCCATCATGGTGCCTTTGATCCTCCGTGAATGGATGGTTGACCTCATTTGTGGGTTTAGCTATGGGTTCTCTGTTGTGTTTCATTGATCTGTTTGCTTGTCCTTCACCGTGGCCACAGAGACTTGATGTTAGCTGTGATACAGTAAGTATGTCTTGAAGTCGGGGGGGGGGGGGGGGGGGTGTCTCCAAGCTTTGTTGTTCTGTCATTTTTCAGAAGTGGAAATTAAGGTACCACGATGTTAGGTCATTTGCCCAAAGCCGCAGCCTTTCTCACGGCTGGTGGGAATGCAAGCTGATGCAGCCCCTTGAGAAAGCATTGCAATTCAGTCTTCTGACTACAAGGCTTGCGTTTGGGACCTAGATTAAAACAGCAAATGAGGAAAGAGGAGAGAAAAAATGGGAATAAGATATATGGTGATTACTCTTGATCATCAGCTTGATGGGATTTCAAATTATCATGGAAACAAACTTCTGAGCATGTCTATGAGAGACTAGTCTTCAGTATATGCTGTAATCTCAAAAAGGCATGTTCTAATACCAGTGAAAGAATGAGCTTGCTAGTGAGAGCGAGGGCAAGCAGGCAAAGAGCAAGTGCTTCCTTCTTCCCTCTCCTTTATATAGGCTGCCGCCAGAGCTGTGGCCCAGATTTAGGATGGGTCTTCTACCTCGAAAGATTCAATCAAGAAAATTCCCTCACAGGTGTACCCAGCCGCTTGGATGTTAGTTAATTCCAGATGTAGTCAAGTTGACAACCAAGAATAGCCATCACACCACCTTTGCCCTCGCAATGAGGCCAGTCTGGTACACTGTTTCCAGGGTCTGGCCCTTTTAAATTTAGCTGCAGGAAAAAGCAGTTTGTGCAGGCCTGGAACTCGCAGACAATCAGCAACAGGAAAAAGTCATCCAAGGGGCGTGCTCAGTGAATTATGGAGGCATTGTTCCCGAGCCCAAGGAGCCAGCGTTGCTGCTGTGAGCCCAGTGGCCAGCCCAAGGCTGCCGGCTTAACACTGCTGGCTGTTGTCAGGACAACACAATGTGGGTAGCCAAAGGCAAGAAAGAAAAAAAGAAGAAAGAAAAACACTGGAGGAAGAAAAATACTGGAAATTCCCTGTGTCCGGGGATAGAAGAGCCTTTCTAGAAAAATCAACAGCCAGGGAAAGGCTGCTGCATTCCTGGGTGGGGGCCTGCTGGAACAAGAGGAAGTTGCAAGTGATATTTTGAGATATTTTCAGTCTAGTGTGATGTCGATTGATTTTCCAAAACACGGGTACCTCCTGGTGTAGGGAGGGCTGAAGTTGGGCTGGGACTGACCAGAGGTGGGGCAGGGTGCAGGACCAGCCTGGACATAAACAGGAGCTGACCCAGTTGGAGAGTTCCAGTGATCTAGAATGCTGGCTTGCAGCCCCCAGAGTCCCACAGGTTTGTGTTCCAGACCTCACCTTGATGGGGAGAGCGGCAGGTAAAACGGGTCCTCCGCTCGGAAAGCCTGAAACATAGCCCAGCGTGTTCTGCTTGCCTACCTCTCCTAGGGGGTGCTGTCTATTACACAACTAGTTCTGCTTCTGAAAAGCAGATGGGAAAGGTAAGAGTGTTTATGGAGAAGACAGAGCTGTGAAGAGAGCCGGCAAAGGCGGTCCTGTGGAGCTGACACTGAGGGGGCAAAATGAGTAACACGCACAGCCTGTTGGGAATGGAGGGCACCGCGAGAAGATAAAGCAGAGAGCAGGCTAAGAGGGTTTGGGTGCGAATGGTCCGGAGGGCATTCCCTCCTCCCTCTCATTGGGACCTGCCCTCCTGCCTAGTGTCACAGCCCCTGCTGACCCCTCATAGGCCCATTGGCTCCAGTGTCCTGGCATCTCCTTGCTCCAGGCTAAGCAGGACCAAGCTC